AAGAAGTCGTTTATTTAAGGATTTGTTTTAATGGCTCAGCAGATAAGGATACTAGCTACCATGTCTGAGAACCTGAACTCCATCCCAGGACACACTTGGTGGAAGGTGACAGCTGACTCCAGACGTTGACCTCTGACCTCCACATTTATATGTGCACAGATGTGCATATACTCAAAACACAGAAATAAAATTCAATGAAAATTTAAAGAATCTCTTAAATGCCACTTTATAAACAATGATTTTGGTGCCACTTTGGCCAAAGATAACTCTATTGCTTTGCTGGTTCCTAAGCTTCCTGTAAAACCCTCATGGCTCAGCTAAGTCTATGTCATTCACTACATCTAAGTAAATAAAAACTACATATAAACAAACTAACAAATATAACTCTAATGAACATTTCTTTTCCAAGTTAGTTTTTACAAAATACTTGAACTTATTGGTTTTATTCTCCTTTTCAATCTTCGTTATCAGTCTGTTGACTTTCTACAGAAGTCCGCCCCCATGAGAACAAAGTGGGGTACACTTGGAAGGTGCTGGGTCATCACGCACCATTTTGATACTAAACTCAGATGTCCTGAGAATGGTGCAAGACAAATGGTGTTAACCAGAGAGGGAGCACGCATCACTAATCTCAGAAGTGTGGTTGACTTCCCAATCAGAATGGCAGCCTGAGCTCTGGAATGATCGCCTGTTTTGCCCTTCCTGTAAGGCCTGCTGGTTAGAGATGAGATGGAAGGCATCTTCAGATCCCTTTTCTCACATCACTATGTGGCTGTGAGGCTGGCCCCTGGGTTCTCCTCCTCTGACTACTTCTTTATTTTTTTTTCTCCCAGATTTCTCCTATATATTTCTCTCCTGCCAGCCCTGCCTATTTCTCTCTCCTGCCTCATTATTGGCCATTCAGTTCTTTATTAGACCATTGGGTGTTTTAGACAGGCACAGTAACACAGCTTGACAGAGTTAAACAAATGCAACCTAAAAAAATAACAGACCTTAGAATAATATTCTATATTTCCCCCTTTTGTCTAAATAAAAATAAAAGTTTTAACTTTAACATATTAAAATTACAAAATACAACAAAAACAATTATCAAGTAGGAATTACATTTACAAAATTCTGTCCATTTGTAGTTAGCCTATTCAAAGAAATTAACGCATTAGCTATCCTTTCTTAGTGAATCCAAAGTTTTACACCTAATTTACTTTCTATCATATCTGAGGAAAACTGCAACTATAACTATGTAGCCTCCATCTCCATCAAAGGCCCAGAAGGATGGGATATCACCTAACAACAGGGACATTTGGCTACCTGGACAGTGACCCAAAGTTCCTCTGCAACATTGGTGTATCCATCTTCAGCCTACAGGCCCAGAATATCTGGCAGACTTTTCAGTGAAGCAGGAAATTTGAAAGACTGCCCTTTGCCAAAACAAGGAAGGGCAGTCCTTCAGGTGTCCTGAAGAATATCTGGCAGACTCTTCTGTGAAGCAGGATTTTGAAGGCCTCTCCTGCCTTGCTTTGGCAAAGTTCAACAGTTTTTTTCCTCTGGGTCCTGCATGTCCAGTCTGCATAGCACATAGCCAAGCAGTCAAAGGCAAGAGCAGTTTCTTTGCCCAGTGGATAAGCTTGCCACAACAAAAGCAAACTCCATAAGGAGTTTCTTCAATTCTCATCATCTCTGAAGTAAATTTGTGCTGCCAGGAACAGATGTGTCTCATTGTCATGAAAAACTTTATGTTAACAAACCGTTTTAAATGCTACATTCTGTAGGTCTTTAAAAAGTTTGAAGATCATCTATCTATCTAAAATATATCTCTATATGATCTGGAAAGCATACCTAACATATCTACAAATTTGATTATTATAAATGACTAATCACTAACCTGTGTTTCCTGATTAGCCTATATAGTTTATTATAACAGCTTTCAAAAATGAGAAATTTATCTTCCATTTTAAAATAAACTGCATAGGTACAATACCTTAAACAAGAATAGAAACATATATACAATATGTTGTAACAAAAATAACCTTAAATTCTTATTAATATGCAAAAATTCTTTAAACAAGAGTAGAAACATATACACAGTGTAACAAAAATAACTTTAAATTTATATCAATATGCTGTATTCCCCTAAATGATAACAAACATCTATAGCCCACCAAATAATTAAAAGTCTCCCACACTCCTCTTGGGGATGTGGACATTGTGTTCTTCAAACTGCTACCTGCTGTCTGTGAGTGAAGTATCCTTAGGGGCCCAGAGAGAAAAATTTGAGATAATGACCAAGTCCTGGGAAGATCAGCAGTACCCTTTGCTAATAAATATCACCTGTCACGTTTTAGGAGGTCTTGCCTGATCAATCCTGATCCATATTAATGCTGAAAGAACCCACAGTCTTTCATCTCCTGTGAGAACAAAACTCCAAAGCATTTTTTATTTCCTCTTCACAAATATATTTTTTGACTTTTTAAAAGATTTAAGGCATTCTTAAGGTATACAGGCTGATGTATTTCAACAGTCCCTCTTTCAATTTCAGGTCTCTCTGCAGCTGTCCTTTGCTTTTCAAGAATTAAAAAAAAATCAAAATCAACACAATAACATACACTATCCAGAATTCCTGTGAATTTCCCATTTTACGTGGCTTTTTTCCTTTTATATTCCTTTTACTCTCTCTTTAAAGACTTTATTATTATTTTTAAACTGTTCATTTCTTTCTATGACTATACCCTTTTTCTTTTCTTAAGCCTATGCACATTGTTAAGCACACTATAACCTGTTCAGAGGTTTTCTGTCTGGACCTCTTTTATTGCACATCTTCAGCCTCTTTGACTATGTGTGAGTAAACCTTTTGACTGCTCACCTACACCTGGGTTCTTTGAATGCAGCTCTCAGCTGGCTTGGCCTGCTTCTCAGGTCCTGAAAGCCAAGCCTAAAGCTCATGGCTCAGTTGGAGTTTCTGACAGAGAACTGCCTTAAACCTTCCTAGCTATGGAATGCAGGTACCTGAGCTGCCACAGGTGTATTTTGCTTAGCTTGCCATTTTTCTTTAGCTGCTGCCTTACCGGCTGAACAGCAGCACCTCTTAAAGGAACCATGTCCTTTTTCTTTTACTTTTCAGGTTTCCCATGCCCTGGAGATATTTGAGGGCTGTGTTAATTTGCCAAAATGTTGTTGTTCGTTTTTGTTCATTTGGGGGCCCCGCCACCCAGCTCCCAAATAAATCACACACAGAAGCTTATTCTTATTTCTAAATGCCCAACCTTAGCTTGGCTTATTTCTGGCCCACTTTTTTAACTTAAATTATCCTGTCTGCCTTTTGCCTCTGGGCTTTTCCCATTCTCTTACTTGTGTAAATCTTATTCTTTCTCTGTGGCTGCTGTCTAGCTGTGTGGCTGTGTGGCTGGCCCCTGGGTGCTCCTCCTTCTCTGACTATTTCTTTCTTTCTTTTTTCTCCCAGATTTCTCCTTCTATATATTCTCTCTGCCTTGCTACTGGCCTGTTCAGTTCTTTATTACACCATCAGGTGGTTTAGACCGGCACAATACCACAGCTTCATAGAGTTAAACAAATGCAACATAAACTAAAGTAACACATCTTAAAATGATATTCTATAACAAATTAGTGTGTGTGTGTATGTGGGTGGGTGTGGTCTCTGTGTGTGTGCACACACACACACCTGTGCAGTGAACTCATTTAGTAGTTATTAGAGGTATACAGATAGCTGATTTTAATTTCCATAGCATGTCCCTTAAATGAGAGGGAGGCATAGGAGAAATGGGACAATGATTGGAAACATCTGTTTGCTTGTTAAGGATTGCATATAATTTCTTACAGAGCTCACTAAGGACACTCTCGCATACAGTATGTGAGAGAAGATTAGGCAGGTAGGTTGTGGGATGAATCACTTAATTGTAAAATTAAACATGATTTTATGCTACAAAATGGCTATTTTAATAGCAGTCCTGTGTTGGAGGCACCTGTGTCTCATTGATAGTTAAGACTATTTAATTAAAACTCTATTACTTCCTTCAATTTAGGTATTTCTTTAAAACACTTCTTTAAACAATTTCTGTGATGTAAGGACGTAGATACATGTATAATAATTTGTTTGGAATGAAACTGTCAAACTACTCAAAAAAATGTCACACTTGGCTCCTCATTTTGTTAGAACAGTTCCATAAAACATTCGAAATATACCATAGACATTCTGAATATGTAGGCACTTATGAACTGGCTTATATTATTGTATAGACAGAATTAGACGTTATCCTTTCTTGAAACTCTTTTCATTAAAAAAAATTGTGTATGTGTGTGTGTACAGATGTATGTGCAAGCTACGTGGTATGGGTGTTCTCAGAGGGTGTCAGATCCCCAGAGCTTGAGTTCCAGGCATTTGTGAGCTGCCTGAGGTGGATGCTGGGCACTGATCTAGAGTGCTCTGGGCTACACCATTCTCCAGCCCCCCCTTTTTTGTAACCTATTTAAGGCTTATTTTCCTTTGCCTGTTCAGTTCTCACTGACTGGTCATTCTCCTTTTGAGATTGGTACAATGTGGAGAACTCCATCTGATGCACAGTTACCAAAATTGAGACTGTATAGGTAATGGAGACTTTTTTTTCAGGAAAGTGTCTGGAATCCTTAACTTGAGGTACAAGATTCTTTAAAATTTGATTCTTCTTGTCTTTCCAATCTCCAACCAGTCACCCTGTGCTTTGCCATATAGAATGGACCTCGGAATCTCCAAATTCATGATGTAGTGCCAGATTCTTGTGTCTTAATTAACATGATGCTCACTGTTCTCCCCAGACTGCCATGCCTTACCTTCCCCAGCAAGCTTCCGTAGTTCATTATCTTTACACCGATTCTCAAATCCTCTGAGTATAAGGATCTGATTTTGCCTTTCTTATTAAAGAGCTCCTCGGTTCCCTGTGCCCTTGCTGTTGACACACTCAACACTCCATACTGTTATGCTTAACTTGGTTTCCTCTGATCTCTACCAGGGGCTGACGACCTGCTTTAGATACACTTGAGTACACTGTGGGCAAGTATGGCATGTGGTGATGAGTGATGCTCTATGAGACTCTGAAAATACAAGTAACTGGGTGAGGTAAGAGACCCATGCCTACACTCCTGCCCAATTACTTCTTAAGTATCCTGGGCCACAGCCATCCCTTCTTTCTTCAGATTTAATCATTTCCCCAGACACACATTCTCAGTCATTTTAATATTTGGTATCAGTGTTTGGCTCACCATTATATGTTCCTGTTTTAATATTATGGAATAGAAATCTCTGTCTTCTGACTTATTTGTTTATGTATCTCTTTCTCTCTATGTATCTGTGTATCTATCTATCTATCTATCTATCTATCTATCTATCTATCTATCTACCTACCTACCTATCTATATCTATATGTGTATCTTTCTATCTATCTACATAATAAAATCTACTTATTAACAGACTTAGACATACTCTGCAACAGATATCTGAGCATTTGGCTATGCTTCTAAAATATTTCTTTCTAGGTTATCTTTGCAGTCTCCTCTTTCTTAAAATTTATTAATTATTAGTAATCCTTGGATTTTGTATTTAGTCCCTTCACTTCTATGATGCTATATCTCTGTGTCCAAGCAAGCTCGTTTGGTCCAGTGGCCATTTTTTAAATCACTAATGAGATATCATTACAAATCTATTCCAACATGGTTGAGACCTTGTGTTTTATTTTATTTTATCAAGACTTTTTTTATTCATTTACATACCAATCACAGATCCCCCTCTTCCCTCCTCCCAGTCCTCCAGCCTCACCCCCCCAACCCACCCACCCCCATTCCATCCTTCAAGAAGAGAATTGACTCCATGAGGAGTCTGCAGAGCCTGGTACATTCAGTAGAGGCAGGTCCAAGCCCCTCCCCGTGCCTCAAGGCTGTGTGAGATGTCCCACCATAGGTAGTGGGCTCCAAAAAGCCAGCTCATGTGCCAGGGATGGATCCTGATCCTACAGCCAGGGAGTCCCTTAAGCAGATCAAGCTACACAACTGTCTCGCTTTATGCAGAATGCCTCATTCTGTCCCGTGGAGGCTCCACAGCTGTTGATCCAAAATTCATGAGTTCCCACTAGTTTGGTTTGGTCGTGAGACCTTGTGTTTGATGTCTAAGCCTTCCACATTTAAGAATCTACATTACATGGCATACAGTAAGTCTCAAAGCCAGTCAAATTTAGGTGGATCACACATGTGTTCATGACCTTGGCTTGACTTGTGTTCGTATTCCAAGATTCGGGCATCAGAGAATGGCCTAGTAATCTATGCTGTGGCATGAATTACAATGTGTGTGTGTGTGTGTGTGTGTGTGTGTGTGTGTGTGTGTGTGTGTGTGACTGTTTGTGTGATGCATGCTTTTTGCATGATTGCATCTATGTGCTGATGCACATTCATTTGGGGGACCAAGGAGGCTATTGAGAGAATTTCTTTTTGACTGCCTTGAGACAGGATCTACCACTAAACTAGGAGCTTGCTATTTTGCTTAGACTCACTAGTCAGTGGGCTCCCAGTGACTGCCTGTCTCCCTTCCCTAATGCAGAGCTATGCAGCTGTATCTGTGTTTTCACATGGGTGCTGGAGATTTGAACTCAGTTCTTCATGCTTTCCTAGCAAGCACTCTTGTGTATGTAAACATCTCTCATCCCTGAATTAGAATCTTCAGAGTCTTCCTTGACAGCCCATTTCTCTGCTCTTCTCTGCCCCCCCATACTGGGTTTGTTAATGACATCTTACTTACCTTTTAACACCTGTCAAATAAACTCACACCTTCCCAGACTTGTTACCTAGACCTCCCATTCAGCTGTAATTTCATCAAGCTGCCATCATTTCTTTGCCCAGCAGCGGCTTTCTCTCTCCCTGCCTGCTGACTAGAACTTTGCTCCTACCGCTGTACTGTACTGGAGTAATCTTTACGAAATGCAAAGCCATCACATCTCCTTAAAAGCCTTAGTAGCTAGCTATAACACATGCTCAAAGGACCTGCATGCTTCTTAAACCCTCTCCTGAACAAGCACACTTTGTCCCACTCTCCACTCCAGCCTCCTGGCTCCTATGGGAACCTGGTTCCGCATTCATTCCTTCAAGCCACAGGCCACTGCGTGTTACATATGACAGTGGTCTGCTCTTCTCTGCCTGGACCCTCACTTTTCCTTGTTTTGTTTAATTCTTGTTTAATCCTCTAGAAATACTCTTTGGCATTGCTTCTGTAGAGAATGTTGCATCTCTTTGACTTGGTCACATCTGTGATTTTTTTGGTTGTATGTGCGATCATATGATGAATGGTTCTTTTCTTGATTTTTGTTCCTCGAGAACAGACCACACACTGATTGTGGTCATTCTTGTATGCCCGCCACCAATGTTCTGTTGAAAGGAAAGTTGATCAGTTTTTCTTTTTCTTTGCAGATTTGCCATCTCATGAATAATGACCGTTTAGAGGAAACAGAGTAAAGGATATTTACATTTTTAATATTTCCCAATTCAGAATGGAGGCACAGATAGCAGCCAAAATGGGTAACTTTCAATTCAGAATGATATTTATAGCATTACAAAATATATGCTTCACAGATTGAACAGTTAAAATAACTGCATTACTGTTTCTTGTTTCTCAAATAATAACCCTGAGCTCCCTAAAATACAAGTAAAAATATCCCTCTTCTTTCCCTTTTTAGAAGAACATTGCACAGTGATTTTAGAGGAAATGTCACAATTAATCCTAGAAAATATGCCAAAGGCTGAGTAAGTACTTTTGTGGTAATCAAGATTTTGGAAACCATGTGTAATATTCCCCTATTCTGCTAGAGCTGTTTGACCTTATATGGTAATATTGATCTGTACCTGCATCTGTCTCAGCGTGTGTGTGTGTGTATATGTGTGTGTGTGTGTGTGTGTGTGTGTGTGTGTGTGTGTGTGAATGTACAATACATACATGATATAAGTATATGTAATTATTTGCAAGTATGTATTCATCAATTTAGGTTATTAATAACAATGAAATAATAACAACACTACTATTTTGGGGTATTATGCCATCCACATGAATTTTGTTTTAATACTTTGCTTTCTTTTGTTTGTTTTTTAGCTACTCCAGCTTATTCAATGATTTTGTTGAATCTGAGTTTTTCCTGATTGACGGAGACTCCCTACTTGTCACATGTGTGTGTGAGAATTCACTTCAGCCAGGACAGAGTCTCCATTTCTTCTACCTGGTTGAGCGCTATCTGCTGGATGTTATTAGCAAAGGAGGACAGTTTGCCATAGTTTTCTTCAAGGTAACACAGACCAGCTGAGTTTTCTAGTCTCTGAAGACTGAAACCAGAATTCATTAAAATAATTGATTAGGCACAAGGACTCTTATAGCAGAAGTGGCCTCGGACTTATGATCCTCTTGCCTCTGCCTCCCAAGTGAAAGGATTTCAGGTGTGCACTACCACACCTGGCTATGACTAAGATGGTTTTTATAAAATTGTATAAAGATTTCGCCTCTGACTGCAAAGTAAAATGCATTTTGAAAAGTTTAGAAGATGAGATGGAGGCTAAGGCACAGAGGATCAAAGTTTGAAGCCCATTGGAGCTCCCACAGTGAGTTGATGAGTAGTCTAGCCAACCTGGAAAGACCTTCTTAAAAGAAATAAAGATCTAGAAATGCAACTTAGCAGTAGAAGACTTGCCTAGTATACTCAAGACTGTGAGTTCAATCTCCAGGACAAAACAAAACAAAACAAACAGCACAAAATAAATAAAATTTCAAGGGAAGAAGAGAAGAAAACAATTACCCAGCATTGCAGTGTTCAGGAATAAACACAACTAGATTATTTTGTAATGTGTAATGATAGAATTTTACTAGATAGAGTCACAAGAGTTGGTCAAATTCTCAGCAGTGGACCCCCCTCCGACCTCAATTCTAGTCCTCTAACCCTGAGACCTACTCTGCCTTCAAAACTCAACAGGCAGTTTATTTGAGTACATTGTTAGGTGTACCTGAGCCCACATGAACTCACTAACTCTGTTTTGCTATTGTGTGCTCTGTTATAAATATCAATGAGAGAATACCATATTTGGTACAATTAATAAAATTTTGACAATTTCAAATACAGGTATATGTACCTGCTACCATATCTTCCTGTTCCTATACTCAGGGCAGCTAACGCTCTGCTCAAGGATTCTGGTGTGGATTTGTTCAATCAGTTTGCAACTCATGTGACTGTATATTTCTGAGCATTGATAGCCAGCAGAATTTTGTGCAAGTGGCCAGGGTTCTGCCCTATATTTGCAATTTGTTGTACCAATTTTGGTCTACTGAGAAAAACATATGCTATTTAAGAAATGGGAGAGCACTCGGGACTAATTCTGTAGAATAACATGTTCCCCTTCAGTTCCCAATTCCAGAAAATTTATAATTACAAATTACAATTTTCATAGTTTTTTTCTATTCTTTTTCTTTTTGAGGTGAGGTTGGACAGGAGAATGACTAGAAAATAGAAAGGCAAAGTGTAATGAATGCTGGGTACTACGGGCCTGCTTACACTTAAGTCCAAAGTGTAATGAACTCTGGGTACTGTGGACTTGCTTTCCCTTAAGTCCAAAGTGTGATGTACTCTGAGTACTATGGACTTGCTTACTCTTAAGTCCAAAGTGTAATGAACTCTGGGTACTATGGACTTGCTTACTCTTAAGTCCAAAGTGTGATGAACTCTGGGTACTGTGGACTTGCTTACTCTTAAGTCCAAAGTGTAATGAACTCTGAGTACTATGGACTTGCTTACTCTTAGGTCCAAAGTGTAAGGAACTCTGGGTACTATGGACTTGCTTACTCTTAGGTCAAAGTGTGATTTATAGCATATATTTGTGATACAACAAAATTCCAGGGTCAATTTACTGACTAAAGGGCAGAAAAAAAACCCCAAACCCTGCTGTATGATATTTCTTCAATGACCTTAATGATAGGTGTTAACTGCCTGAACTAATAAAATACTAAATGATACTTCTCCAATAATGTACTTTACCTCCTTCTCCATAGGATGCTGAATATGCATACTTCAATGTCCCTGAACTTCTCACCCTGAGAACTGCTCTAATTCTGCACCTTCAGAAGAATACCACCATGGATGTTTGGACTGACTTTTCTGGATGCTTGTCAGAAGAGTGGAATAATGTCTTGGGTCAGAGTTGCCCATATTTCTTGATTATTGCTGACGAAGGCCTGAACAACGAGCAGACACACCTTTTCAACTTCGTAGTCATTCAGTCTTGGGCAGTGAAGGTCAACATTGTGCTCTTTTCAGGGCAGAGATCTGACATCCTCCGCCTTTATGCATATTTTATGCAAAGCTCACATTCAAAGCAGATGTTTTTCGAGAAGGTAATGTATATCTAAAAGATGATGTTCTGAAATTTTATAAGCATTTCTAAATTAATTCAGGAGATAAGGCTCAGTGGTTAACTAAGAGTGCAGACTATTCTTGCACCCATGTCTCGGGTAGTTCATAACTGCCCATAACTCTGGCTCCAAAGGGATTTGACATCTCTGACCTCTGTGTATACTACACTTACATACACATACCTACATAGATACATACATATATACAGACAGACAGACAGACACACATACATACTCACAAAACTAAAAATTAAATAAATCTTTAAAAATAACTATCTTGATCCAATATTGACTCAACCCACAATATAGAAACTATTATAGATTTAGTAGGATGATATATAGGTTAATAATGATGACAATAAATTAATAGTAATGACATATAGTAATTTGCTAAGGACTTCTTGTCATATAATAGTTCTTAACACTTACGAATTATTTATATTTAATATTCACAGAAGTCGTAAGAGCCAGGCATAAAAATTGTCTATATTTAAAAATGATGAAATAGATACTTGAAAATGTAGCCTGTTCAAAAACACTACCAAATGAGTGATATAAAGGAATGTAGAATTGATGAGAAGCAGTGTTACTCTGTCCCCTGTGTCCTCAAATACGTGTGGTGTGTGAAATCCAAGTTAATGAAGGCCAGAAAGACATGAAATCAGAGGCAAAGGTATGTCTCTGTTGCTGAGATCTACTAGTCAAATGATACATTATGTGTTTGCCTTTAGTGAGAACACACCAGAGCAAAGTAAAATAAAGAAAAGAAAGTGATGGATTTACTTCTTCATGAATAGCTTCAGTCAATAATTCATTGGCTTTTCAAACAACCAGAATTCAAATTCCGTGATGGTATTATTTTTTACCTATGTTGGTATATTTGAGAACTAGTTTGTTGAAATTTTCAGCATAAAGAATGTTTTCTAACTTTATAAATAAATATAGTTTGCTTATTTTTCACTAGTTAATGATATATGAATATCATTCCATAGCTCATCAAAGTAGCTTTAGAACCAGTTAACGTGTGTCCCTCTTTGAGAATTGCATCATGCCCATCATTGCACACTGAATATGTGCAAATAGTTGTTATGACATGACAGGGTAGTTTATTCTGCTTTTATTAGGATTCCTATCATTAAAGTATTCCTAACTCTGACTGCCAATTGTGAGAAGAAATAGGCCTAGGCTTTATTTTATACCTGGGACAAATATTAAATACTGAGTTTATGTTGTGGTTATTTTTTCTTTTTGTAGACCGCGTCTCACTGTATAGCTTAGGCTGGCATGGAACTCACAAAGCTATACTTTCCTCTGCATCTCTGGATGTTGGGGTTGAAGGCATGTGCCACCATACCCAGCCCGAGGTTATAGTATTCTGTTCATAGCAGTTTCTGAATCAGAGTTCTGAGAAATCTTGCAATATTCTGCCTAGAATAAATTTTAATGGACAATTTTATTTATATATTAATTTATGCATAATTAATTAAAATTCACCTTAAAGAGGCTTTTTTTTTGCATTAACCAATTTGAGGGGTATTTAGAATTTAAAATACAATGAAATACATCTTACGACTCCATGTGTAGACTAGTAAATGCCCTTGAGACTGCTGGCAATGACTGTTTCCAGCACCACATGCCCATGGGGAGGAGAGTCTGGTCTCTTCTCAGGTGCTTGGTTGAAATGTGTCATAGTGAAACACACTGAATTTATATTATTTGTAACTTTGTGAAACTGCTAAAAATAAGGTGCTAAATTGCCAGATGAGATAAATAAGTATTACCTTCTTCCAAGGATTTCTAAACATTGCTGACCATCATCCTCAATTGCATTAGTGTAGATTTTAAACTGAGGACTCTATTGCAATATAATTATTTCTTAAATTTCTGAGTTTTATAGCTGGGAAATAGTAATTTTATTTATAGCAATTTATCATACTTTGTTTTGCAGTTTAAGAAGGTGGTTATGATTGCTTACAAAACCCTGATTCGACAGTTGGAAAAATATAGAGACCTGGATTTAACAACTCTGTTTGGAGATTTAAAATTCAATAATATGGTGGGAAAGGTAATAGAACTTGAAAAAAATGCTTTTTAGTTGAGCTATCTTTTCAAAAGTGTGTGTGTGTGTGTGTGTGTGTGTGTGTGTGTGTGTGTGTGTGTGTGTGTGTGTGTGTAGGTCAGAGTATACCTTGTACATCACTCCCAGTGTTTTGCCTTGAGACCAGCAAGCTTCCAGGATTTCTCTGGTCTGATGGGCATGACTACAGGCTTACTGTAGCAGTGGAGAGTGGGAGAGATACTAGCCATCTTCCCCCTGTTCCTGGTCTGAGTAGAAATGTCTCTATTTCCCCCTATAAGTAGGACTAAGATGTAGATGTGTCTAGACTCTGATGTAAAGAAGATGACCCCGAGCTTCTCCTACTGTTCATACCGTGAACACAGTAGTGTGAGTAGACCTCAGTACTGTTGCTTCCCCTTAGGTTCATTGTTGTCCTGTCACAGCACACGTTTTCTAAGGCTGCATGCCTGGTGTACGTCTACTTCATCATGGTGTACTGTTTTCTTAGTATGGTGTTGGTTCTGTTTGCTGTATTTCCTGTTGAATTTCTGCCTTGGTTGACATCCATGATACTGTAATATAATTTTCAGGTTTTGTCTTGTCTTACATGTATGTGTAAGGTCTTATGTGCTTCATAGAAAAGATCAGAATATTCACACTTTCTTTTTATTATTCTGAAATACTGTCTAGATCAGTGGGACCATACAGTCTTTGAAAATTCGGTAGAGTTCTCTGATTGAAGATGGTGCTTATTTGTTGGGATGGTTCCTTAGTCATTTTACCTACATCATGGATCTTGGTGTACTTAGGCCTACTAATACCAAGAGAATCAATTCTGTAATTTGTTCTGGGAAATCAGGAGTTTCACTCTTTCAAGTTCGTTTCCATAGAAGTTTCTAAAGTAGACCTTTGAAATGCTTTTCTGTCTCGGTGTCATTCTCACTTATTTTTATTTCATACACTTGTGGTTTCTCTTATTTGTTTAATGATGTTTATCTAATTCCAGCTTGAGTTTGCAACTATTAACAAGATATACAGACTTCTACTCTCTTAGTTTATGATTTCATCTTTTACTTTCTTTTGATTTTCTTGTTTCTTTTTATCTATTTTTTTTGAGCAGAGCATCTAATTGTTCTATTTTCTCACTCTTGATGTTAAACATTGTTTAGTCTGATATGTTTTTCTCTGAACAGTGCTTCCATTGCACGACATAGATTTTTATATACAGATAATAATCTTCATTGTATTCCATAGATTATTATATTTAATGATTTTATTATAATTTTTAAGAAATTATTTAACTTCAGTCTGCATTTTTTTTCACATGAATGACTTAATAGAAAGTTTAAAAGTTTGGACAGGAATGATGGGATGGTGGTTAAGAGCATTAAGTGCTCTTGCAGAGGACTTGGAATTTAATCCCAGCACTCACATGGTGGTTCACAACCATCCATAACTCCAGTTATACGGGATCCGATGCATAACATCTATGGGTACGAAGCATATATTACGTACAATTGTATGTGCAGGCATATACTCACACCTTAAAGTAACATGAATAAATCTAAAAAAATGAAAATTAAAAATTTCAGATTAAAAGATTACTTTTAAAAATAGCCTTTGCATATCTAGGGCAGATTCATTATTTCTTATGATTGTTCTAATTCACTCTTTATTGATATCAGTCCTTTGTATTTCCCATAAGATTGTAGGATCTCTTTGGTCTCTACAAAGTCTTGAGGTATCACAAGTATGATAGGGAACTGGATATATTCTCCAGATGGAATATATTATTTCTTGCTTATACATTTCATCATTGTTGTTTCCTGGTACTACTATTTTTCTTTTAAACTGATGCAGAAGAGGAGATTTGGTGCAAAGTATCTATAAAAGTACCCAATACATTCAGAAAGTTGATTGCAATGATATGTGTTGCTTCCAGTCATGTGGATTAGCCACAAAATTATATATGGATATACTTTAAGAAAATATAAGATGAGGGCTGGACAGTTGGCTCAGTGATGCAGAGATCTTACTCTCTTGCATATATACATGCAGGCAAAACCATTCATATTCATAAAATAATTTAAAATATAGTGTAAAGAGCATAAAATTTCTTGTGAGTAATCCAGTGCCTTGGTTAATATAGGAATGCGGGAGGATAATGTATCTCTAAATTTCATCAATAGAATTATAGTATTTAGATTCAAGAATGTGATGGTATTATTCTGAATACATTTCCTTATGTCTTACTTGCTTATATTGTCAACACTCAGAGGCAAGACTCACATATTTAGAATATATCCTTTAAGTGACATCATGTATTTTACAGTATTAATGGTATGTTAGATGCACACCCTTTTATTACTTTTCAAAATTGTTACATACATATTTTATGATTTCACTAAAATTCTAACAAGTAATATTTTTATGGACATATGGTGTTTCTTGAATGCTAGACATTTAAATTGTTTGAAGATTTGCTTTTACAAATCATTCTGTGATGAACACCTTGGTGTACATACATGTCTACAGGCAGATTTTGGATTGTTCCTCTAGGTTAGGTCTCTAGAACTTGAATGAAAAGTATCAACATATTGACTGTCAATTAAATGTGTTGTCATATGCCTTTGCTTGTTTATAACTTCATTAGCAGAGTGTAAGGAGTGACAAACCATGATTTCTGGTGCTGTCTGTTATTGAAGTAGTAAAAGATGAAAAAGTACTTTGATATCATGGAAGTTAAAAGTGCAATTTTTATATTACTAAAGAATATAAGCTGTTTTACTATTTTTCTCATTATTTGAGTTTCATTGGAGAATTAGTATGAAAAGAGTCATGTATTTCCTTGTTGATTTACAGGTGTTATGCATGTATTTGTTAACAGTTTTTTGAAATAGTTTTTACCACTCAAAATTTTTGTTCATAATTTTCTTAAGCTGAAATAGCTATATTCTTTTTTTTTTTTTTTTTTTTTTTTTTTTTTTTTTTTTTTTTTTTTTGGTTTTTCGAGACAGGGTTTCTCTGTGTAGCTTTGCGCCTTTCCTGGAACTCACTTGGTAGCCCAGGCTGGCCTCGAACTCACAGAGATCCGCCTGGCTCTGCCTCCCGAGTGCTGGGATTAAAGGCGTGCGCCACCACCGCCCGGCAGAAATAGCTATATTCTATATGGTCATATTCCCCCATTTCTTACTATAGGATCACTTATGAATAAATATAGTTTTCTAATTATCCTGACATTATAATTTTCTGCTGTGACAGGCTTGTGAGACTCTATCTCTGCTTAAGCAGCTCTGGCCAGAAGGATCTGACATCCGACGGGTCCTCTCTGTCACTTCGTGCTCCCTCTCCTTGGAAATGTACCACCATATTTTAGAAAACAGAGAGAAGAAAGCATCCAAGCAGACAGGCCAAGTCCAACAGGTGTAGTTGTTACACTGGGATACATGACTGCTTCTCTGTTTTATTGTTTTTCACCCACCGTTTTCCCCACTTGGCACTGGTATTTTCTCTTGTGTATATGAACTTTAGAAATAGGAAAATCCCTACAATTCATGTTATAGAGAAGTATGTTGCTCCATGATTTAGTGTGTTACCTACAGGTGTTTCATGTAGGATATATTCAGCCCCTGTCACCCACAGGCAGGCAAAAGGAGAAACCACCTACCATGCTCCTGTGCTTTGGGCTTTTCTGTGTGCAGTGTATGGAATGCTCAGGAAAGCCTTTGCAGGACTAGCTGGGAGAGACTACTGTTCTTAGGTTTCTTTATTGCAGAAAAGGTCAAGAATTTTGCTTTGCAGTATCTCCTTAAATATAATTTTCAATGAAACCTTTCTACATGATTAGTCATCCAATTTTAAATCATCCCTAAATCATGATAGTAAGTCAAACTTTTCTCTCTGGAACTTCTAACCATTAGACCTTCCCTGGGATCTTAGAAGTGTCCCAATGAAGTCTTCTTGCTCCCCAAACAAGTCAAATGTTTGACAATAACAAAGATGTTCTTGTCCCATAATGCTAAATATATCTACTTACTTATTCGTCTTGTCATTGTGAACTTACACCTTTTAGCTACATTGCTACCCTGCTGTCCTCATGCTGACAGTTCATAATATTGCCTTCAGAGTAGGTTGCTTAGACAGAAGAGAGTATTTAGCATGTAGCTTCACCCAGCCAAGGTCTGTGAAACCTCCCCTTCATCACCTGGTTTATTAGCTTAAACCTGTGGTCTCTGAAAATACTGAATCATGTCGTATACCAACATCTGCAAAGCTTCCTTTCCCCTCTATCTCAGACATGTTTAAACACAGCCTAGTTTTTGGGTAAGTGCTGTCTCCGAATTGGAGAATGTATAAACATGGAATTCTCACATAGAGGGCTTGGCTTCAGAGTTTGTGCTTCCACAAATTGAGTGTGTAGTCTCCCAGCCAGCTCTTCTCTACTCACCTTCTTTAATTTCCTCAGGAAAAGGGTAATTGTTTAACCCTGAAGGACATGGAAGACTTCTGTAAGCTACATTGCCTCAGTGTGGCTTTTCAACTCCATCTACCTCTTTCCCAGCGAGCTCGCTCAAGATTCATCACTTCTGGTTGGATTCAGGACCTCAAGACTGTCTTTAAAATGGTAAATATACTCTCCTTTCACTTCTACTTTTGTTTTAACTACTTCAAATATATGGACCACATTAACCTTCAAAACAGATTCATAGAGGGCAGTGTTAAATTTTGGGGGTCTTCAAAAGGTCAGCTTGCTTACATCAGTCACTTGACTAGTGTTAACAATTATATTAAGCAGAAATAATAAGCATCATGGCATGTATCCAACCCAAAGAGGAGCTTCTTAAAATTTTCCTTCTTAAAATTCTGTCAGCATTAGGGTTTTCTGTCATTAACAAGGAAGTTCCCAGTGACTACCACATTCTGCTTTGAGAAATAGCTGAGGAAATAAATGCAAGGCTTTATGATTTTTGTCATTACAGATTATGTATGGATAGAGAGATTTTGGAGAACTTGGGAAAACTGAAAGCAAAAATCTCTTTAGTCTTCCGTGTAAATCAGTGCAAGACTCCGTTAACACTTCAGTTTATTCTCTTCATTTTAAATGAACAATATATATATATATATATATATATATATATATATATATATATATATAATTTATATTAGCCATATATACTCTCTTTTAGGATCCTGAGATAAACAGTCAAGAAAAGTGTCTTATGCCCAATGGAATTAGGAATGTGCTTTTCCAACTTGGAAGTGGAGTGAGATAAACATCCTTCGTCATCCGACCCCAGCTCTTTCAGACAGTTACATTTTATAGAGAAGACACATATTAAATTTTAACAATTATCATGAAGGAAGAACTAGAGTATTTTAGAATTTGATAATGAAAAGATCTAGCCAAGTTTGCAAAGGTTTCTCTTAAGAAGTTATATGACTCAAGTCCTGGAGGATAGATAGAAGTTAGTAGGGTGGAGGGAATGGAAACCAGATTTTGGGAGAAGAAACATTATGCGTGATTGTCCTAACAATAGCATGGCCAAGGAACTGGGGTCCATCCAGTGTATCAAGGACAGAGAGTAATGGGGTTAGTGATGAAGCTGATGTAGTGGGTGAGAGACAAATCAAGTAGACAAGGGTACATCAGGGTAGATAAGTTTATCATAAGTTCATTGGTGCCTACTAAATGGTTTTAAGCAGGCTAATGGGACTTCTATTTTTTAAAAAGTGTTTTTGAGTTGTAATGTAGACCACACAGTGTAGACACAAACCTTGATTTGGGGTAATTAGGGGGTTATTTAGCCACATACCTATCGATGGTGTAGAGACTAAGGAAGTGACTTTTGAACACTCTAGACTTAAGGCTCTGAGTATGTGTCTTCTGTAGCATTCTGAAGAGTGACTTAAGCATAACTGGAGGCAGCTGAACTGCATGGAGAGTGTCCCTTTCTTACTCAAGGAGGAACAGCATTTGCATAAATGCCCTGGTCAAAGTACAGCATGGGAGATGTGGAGGGAATTCATGAAGGGCATTGATTTGAGTGTGACTAAAGAGGCGATTAAGTTACATTAATTTTACTTGGTAGTGCTTGTGTTACATTCACTACTACTTATATACATACTACTATATTAGCACAGTGTGAACTGTGGTTGGAAACTGAAGGTCAGGTATAGGGCACAAGAATGATGGTTCAGTTGGTAAAGCACATGCCTCGCAAGCCTGAGAACCTAACTTTAATCTCCAATGTAGAAGCATGTCTGAAATCAAGTCAGGTGCAGCAAGACTCACTTGTAATCCCAAGGATAAGCAGATGGAAAGAACACTTATTGGCCATCTAGCTGACTTGGTCAAGGTCCAGGCCAATGAGAGACCCCTGTTGCATACATCAAGTGGGATATATGTGGGAGCCCGTTCTCGGGTTCCTCGTGGCTTTACCCAGCAGGTCCGCATAGAGGATGATTAGACCACGGGCCTGAGTGCAGGTGTCTGAGATGGTCTGCACTTGGCTGTGCTGGGGGAGGAGGTCTTTTGCTCCACCCCTTGGCGTCTCTATAAAAACCCTGGGGCAGAGACAGTCGGGGCCGTTGGAAAAGGTTCCAGGCCCTCTCGAGGCTATCCTTTATTTTCTATCTGTTTATCTCCGCAAGATTCTCCGCAATAAATCCTTCTATCTAATATTTCCTGCTGCTCGCACTCAAGAAAACTCTGGGGAACTGTGGGGGTGGTGGGTAAGCGCCCCACAGAATGGCGCCCGAACAGGGACTAAAGAAAAAAGAAAAAGGAACTAAAGAAAAAAGGGGGGACTAAAAAAGGGGGGACTAAAGACAAATGAACAGGGACTAAAGATAAAGTAATAGGGACTAAAGATAAAGGAAAATAGTTTTATTACAGAGTTTTTGGCGAAAGTGCTGAGTCAGCCCTGCCAGTGGATAAGGCATGCCGGTGTTATGGAAAATATATATTTTTTATATATATTGAGAGGCAGGGGTTTTATCCTCGAGAGAAAAGGAAAGCGGACTGGAAGGATGTCTGATGCTGCAGCGAAATTCTCTTCTGTCAAAATTTTCTATCTTCTATCCCTTTCTCAATTTCTATCTGTGAAAAATAAGCATAAGGCATAGGGTAGTAAAATAGTGTAGGAAAAACTTAGAAATGTAAGATTGTGTAGGAAAAAATAAGTAAGGCAACTAGACAGAAAAACTCTACAATTTTCTAACTTTGGGGGCTATGAATGCAAACTGGGAAAAAAATCTTTCTTTGGGCTTTATGGGTAGTAAAAAAGCTCTTCTCTGAGCTTATGGGGAAGAAAAAGTTTCCTATGGAAGCTTTTGTCCTGGGGACAGCTGAAATGCAAAGTCCAAGCGACAGGAGAAAGTGATTTCTCCCTGAGGCAAAAATGGGGGTGTAAAAAGCCAAAGTTTAAAGTTGGGAAGTTTTGGGAAAAGTTGGTCTTTCTCCTGGGGAAAAAAATCTTTCTCTTAAACTATAAAGCTTTTCTTGGAAAATTTGGGGGGAAAATTTCTCTAAAAAGCCTTCATTTTTCTCAAAAGCTCTGAAAAACTAAAGCCTTTAACTTTCTCTCTCAGAAGGACAAAAATTAGAATCACCTGAAGATATTAGTATGGGGACCACCTGTGACTAGCTCAAAGGGAAAACAACAAGCCTTAAGACAGCAAAACCTCTCCAAGTTCTCTTTCAAGCTTTAAAAATCCTCCCTGCAATGCAGGAGGCAGGGACAAGTTCCTAAAAACCTCTTCTAAGCTCTGTCTCTTCAAGCTAGTAAAAGACAGTGGGTCAGAGTACCCTGAGGGAAACACTTGGGAGAGTGTGGGTAAAGAGCTACAGAGAGCCCAAAAGGGCCGGAAACTTTACCTGAGAAAAGCAAATGCCAAGCTTTTCAGTTACAGCCCAGTTGAGGCATCAAGGGTTTTGTTTCTGAGTGAGCGTCTTTGAAAAGGTGCTCTTAATCTTCCTAATGCAAAGATCCCCTGAAGCATGCAAACTGTTAGCATTGTATCCTCGCTTCTGACCAAAAACCCAGAGGTGACTGGCCAGCATCTCTGAGTTGGAGTGCGTTTCGGGGATTCTAGGGTTCCTGCAGTTGCAAACTTCCTGGAGCACAGAGCTGAGGCAGGAAGGTGCAGGACCCTGGGGAAGATTGCCAATGAACAAAGCTAAAGCCGGTGTGAACGGCACAGTTATCCACTTTCCTACAAGTCCCGGCTTGATAGGTCCACAGCTGAAAAAAAGAAATCCGAGAAAAAAGTTTTTCTATCAAAGTAAGGACCTTTCTGGGAAAACTGTAAAGCTGAACTGTGTCTGAAGCAGTCGTGCTACTGAGTCAGAACGCTGTCTGGGGAAAGAGCCCAGCCAAGGCAGAACAGAACTATCCAGGAGAAAAGATTTCTTTTCTGTCAGAGAAAGCAGCTCTTTGAGAAAAGCTTTGTTTCCACTGACTCCCGTGAGATGAGGGGGAGTGTAGCCCTGAGGAGTGATTGCCTCTGGCATAAGCTCTGTTCTTGAGCACCCAGACAAGCAAATGCAACCCACTGGGGGACTGGGCCAGGTGAAGGCCTGATAAGGCAAAACACCTGTCCTAATGGGAGTTTAGAAATGGCAAAAACCTCCCTTGTTAGATTTTCAGTCTGTATGCAAACCACACAGACCCCTTCGGTAGCAGGGAAAGCCGCCACTGTAGTGTCGGAAACTGTTTCTGGGGTATCGGGATAAACTGAGATCGAACTGGGAACTGTCTGGGAGAAAGACTCTAAAGAAACAGAAGGGACATAATCCTCCCCAGAAAAATGCATGACCTGAAAAAGCTGCTAGAATTTGAGGCAGATTCTGGGGGAGAAAAAAAAAAAAGCCCCTACCTCCAAAAGCAGATAGCAGAGGAACAGAGCCGCAGACAGATACCTGAAGCTCTGCATCTGGGGAAGGAAGGAACAAGCAAAATGAGATCAGTGGGAGAAAAATCTCTCCGAAGGAGCTATGGAAAAACTGTTGTGAATGTTTTTCACTGACTGGCTAAGACAAACACAAGCCCCGAGGAAAGTTGCTATCAGAAATTGCCCACCTCAATGCTTGCTAAGGAGGCAGGTACAGTTCTGATTTGGGGGCCAGTGTCTGATGAAGGAGAGACACCTGTTAAAGCCAGTTGAGGAGAGAATAGAAATCTCCCAATGTGCCATAGTTGAAAATGTAAAATGCTTGTTCAAATCTCCCGTTGCAAAAGCAAAAAACTTTGTTCAAACCTCCCGGGCAAGAATTTGTAAGCAAGTCTGGTAAAAGAGAACCAGTTGACTCTCAGACCCGAAAAGAACTATGGGAAATGACTGATATAAGGGAAATGATATAAGGGACTAATATAAGAGACTGATATTATGGACTGATATAAGGGAAATGCATTCTGGGAAAGGTAGTTTTTCCATTAAAGATGGCGACATTGCCAGGAAACACTTGTCAGCTCGAAAATACGTTCATGGTAAACTTAAAATACAGCCTTTAAAAGAATAAGAAGGAAAATCATCTAAGAGTTTAAGTGTCAGTTCCATTGGAAAAATTGAAAGGATATGGAACTAGGTGCTTCTTGGTTTGGGGCTCCATTGGTAAAATGCCTTATTTACCCTAATAGCTGTGCAAAGTTTTTACGGTAGTTGGATGACAAAAAGCTACCTTTAAGAGCAAACAAGCCACTTTAAAATCCTTAAGAAAGCAAGGGAAAGCAGTTTATACACTGAACGTTGTCTTAGATATGAAGAAACTTATGTTGAAATTAAAAAGTTCTTTGCCTTTTGAACAAACAGCCTGCAATGAGTGATTCCTTTGCAAATCTAATTAAAGGGATAAGAAACAGGCATTCAAAAAGAAATGACTGCTTTATAGATGGGAAACAAACTTCAGAAAAGCTGTCTTACAAAAGAGTTGCTTCACCTGAAAGTTCCTTGTAAAAAATCAATGCTAAATATTACAGCTGCTAATAACATCAGGAGTTAAAGCTAATGAAGTGAAAATACTAAATACAGTTCAGAGCTGTGCCACTTGTGCCTTTACTTGCTCCTTTAGAAAAATACTTCATATCACCTAATAGCTGTGCAGTATTTGGTGAAGAGCTTTACAGCAGCTAAATACGGTAATTTCACCATCAGCGTAAAGTGAATTTTTTCGGTAGAACAAACCAAAAATACTGCTGTAATAGAAACGTTTGTCTGAATTGAAGCACTTAGGGGAGCTATTATGAATTTGGGTGAAGGGACAGCCTCTAGTTAAAAACCGTCTACTACTGACAGTGCATCTCTGCCGGTCCGGAACGGCTGAGAGAACTGGCAACTTTGGAGTGTGGCTTCGTCCCGAAGATGTTACAGTCCCCTAGCAACAACTATCACAATTCTATGACAACAACACTCACTAAATTCCCAGTGCTTTATAACAAAGCTGACTATAAACTCTAAACTTTAGAAATGATGTACGTACTTCCTGTCTAGTTAAGAGAATCTTTCTAATAGAGATAATAATTAAGAGTAAGAAGTAGAAAATACGTAGAAAAAATTCTCTTGTTAGATCTCTGTGTTAAGAAATCTTTAGGTGTTTGCTGAGTTAAATATATGCTAATGGTAGCCCTATATAAGTTTGTAAAATAGATCTATAGAGTTCCTTTAAGAATATAAGCTTGCAAGAAGTATCTAATGTAGTCTTAAGACATATAGTAATAAGCTTGTAAAAAGTAAAGATGCTACTTGTAAATGTAAGTTTAAATAAGAATAAGATGGAGTGAATATAAGAAATATATAAGAAGTAATAAGAAATATATTTGCTAAAGTAGTTCTATAGTTTCCTTAAGGAGTATAAATAAGTAGATGATAATATGTTATATGTGAGTTTGTAAAAACATGTAAATGTTGAATGTGAGTCTAAATGCTTTGCAAAAAAAGTTATATGTGAGTTTGTAAAAAAGTGTAAATGTTAAGTGTGAGTCTATTCTTAATGTATATGGTGAAAAGAACCTGAGATACAGAAGTTAGTGTCCTAGCAGACTGCAAAGCAGGCAGTCTGAGCGGTTTGCAAAAGTTCCAGAAGCCGCTAAGAAGCTAAGAATGGCAGACGCCAGAACCAGCACAAGGCATCCGCAGCTGAGATCGTGGAAAATCAACGCAACACAGAAAAACCTGAGCTAATATCAAAAATGGTGCGGTTTAGAATACTACTGTACCTAAAAAGGTCTCTGGCTTGAGAATAAGTTCAGAGACGCTTGTTTGAACAAAAATTGTTAACTGCAAAAAGTTTTGGTTGAAAAACGTCTCTTCATATTTGGAAGTGAAAGCCTGATACTAGAATTTATTTCTTGTTTGAACTTTTTGAACTTAAAATGAGATAAAATTACAAAAAGATTTTGGTTATGGATTTCTCATATTTGGAAGGCTCGTACCAGAATTTATCATTTGTTGTAGAAATTGTATAAGTTTGGGTTCCTCTAACTAGGTTTGAGATTTTGTTTAAAAAATTATAAAGAAAAGGAGGAGTTATGAGATTGAATTACGTTTGTAGAAACCTATTGATATTAATACACCCTGATTTTGTGGAGTTAAGGAATATTTAAGTTTGATGTGAATACAGTGAAGTTTTTCCTATGTTCTGTTAGCAAGAAAATTCAAATGATTGAGTTAAAGTTGTAAGACGGAGAAATTGTTAACTATATATAGCACCGTATATGCTAATTCAAATGGTTCTGTTAAGAGTTTGCTTTGAGTTGTAAGATTGAGAGAATTGTGACTATGTATAGCAATATTTATGTTAACCTGTTAATGGTAATGATGAAGCTAAGGGATTCTTTAAGTTTGTAGTCGCCTTAAGAGTTTTTGGCTTAGAAAGGGCTTGAGGCAGCTAAGACCGCTGTGGTCACCTTGGACCTAATTCAAAAGAGAAATGCCATCTTTATCATCCTCTACTCCCATATTGGGAGGTGTAACAGCTATAGAGATTGCTGTAAGCCATTAATAGTTATTTTTTTATATATTAAGAAAGGGGGACCTGTGGGAGCCCGTTCTCGGGTTCCTCGTGGCTTTACCCAGCAGGTCCGCATAGAGGATGATTAGACCACGGGCCTGAGTGCAGGTGTCTGAGATGGTCTGCACTTGGCTGTGCTGGGGGAGGAGGTCTTTTGCTCCACCCCTTGGCGTCTCTATAAAAACCCTGGGGCAGAGACAGTCGGGGCCGTTGGAAAAGGTTCCAGGCCCTCTCGAGGCTATCCTTTATTTTCTATCTGTTTATCTCCGCAAGATTCTCCGCAATAAATCCTTCTATCTAATATTTCCTGCTGCTCGCACTCAAGAAAACTCTGGGGAACTGTGGGGGTGGTGGGTAAATGCCCCACAGATATACGAGGGGAATGTCTCCTGAAGTCATGCACACTCCTCCACATACCTGGACAACACACCCACACTACACCCATATCCATACAAAAGAGTGGTAGGATATATTGAATATCTGCATTTGTGAACATTCATAGCTATTCTAATGGCATTTTGAAAGAGTTTTGTGGTGCCGTAAATACTAGACATGACGAAGATGACTCTGTGTAGGTTCTACTGATTCATGAGAGAAAATTCTGTATCCTAAACCCCATAGAAGGTCATTCCTCTAGGTGCTTTGTTAGTCCCACAGGGGGCAACAGACTATATATTATTAATGAAATGGATATTAACAGATCCACTTCTGGATCCCATTTTCATTTAAACACTTTAATATGGGTCCCTTCAGGTTAATATAATAAATCTACTGATGTCTGAAATTTAAATAAGCATTGTGGCACCAGGAATGTGCTTTGGATTTTGTTATAAAATTTATTCCTCAGTTCTATTAATTTTTTTGTCACCTTTATGTAGTTGAAACCCTGGAACTCAAATGGGAGCTGGAGTGAGCACAATAGGTGTGATACAGACTTGTATGGATGCTATTGGTGAAATTATTAAGGCCACTCCATGTAGTTAAAAGGAAGATTTATTTAGTGGGTAACTTACAAATGAAGGGATAGGTAGGTGGCAGGTTCTGGAAAAGACGCAGTGCAGTCTGGAGGTGTTCTCTGGAGAACTCCCCTTCATCTACCTCTTGCGTCCAGGTCCAGGCAACAAGAGCACGCAGTGGGTCTTCAGAGCCCTCCCTTAGTCCTGCCTTGTAGGCGTGATAGTTACTGAAGCTTCAATGGGGGTTGGAAATTCCAGACCAAAGCTGGAATTGCTACCCACTACAGGATGCCTTCGATATATAACTGTTATTAGTGAGGAACTTTGGACTTTTTTTTTTTTAATACACAAGGAAGGTTAAAAGACATTACAAAAAGTTGTTCAATGTTTGACGACATTCTAAGATGGCCTGGCAGGATGTACCTGGAAATTCTAGCTGATCATGAACAGCAGCTTCATTTCCCTCATTTCATTGGGAAGCATTAGATTTTAACACCAAGGGAGAGTGGATGAAGAAACCTCCCACAGGAGGCTCTCACTTTAGCACTGTAAACCATACCATTGAAGAAGACTCATGTCTACCATGGCCAGAAGTAAGTGCTGTTAGTGCAGACATTCTGCCAGTGTTAAGATGGAGCATCCCTGCATAGCCTTAAGTTGGTGGAGACCTAACAGCTCAGGTGGATGGGAAACATTTTGTTGTTTCTAGAATGCTTAGTAGTCCAACACTTGGCAACTCAAAAGTAAACAAGGAAACCTAAATAAAGAACAGAGGCATATTCAAAAGCTGAAGAAATACGCAGTTTTTGAGATTTCAAATCACAATGAAAGGAAACTATCAACAGTAATTATAGATATTTCTTTAACTCATGAAAACGAGATTTTTTTGGAGACAGGTTCTCACTGTGTGACTCAGGTTGGTCTGAGACTGACTGTGTAACAGAGACTGGTCTCAAACTCTCAGCAATCTCTTGCCGTAGCCTCCCAAGTGCTAGGATGACATTCAGTTTAAATTCATTTTTGAGTCAGGGTTTTATTTTATGTTAATGCTTCAGTTTTTAAGGGACAACATAATCCATATTCAAATAAATGGGTTTACATTCTAATGAGAATTGGGACAGTCCTGCTGTTTACCTTTCATTTGGATTGTAGATGTATATGGAGTCGTTCCATGTATTACTGTGGACAGGAAAGCTGTCAATAACTTTGTTTTTTTTTTATTTTTTATTTTCAGAAAAAATGGTGCGAGTATTTCATCCTAAGCAATGTACATAGGTTTGAATTTGAGAGTCTGAATTTCCTTCACCTTTCTGATTTAAGTGATAAGCCTTTGTTGAAGAATATTGCCTTTTACTATGAAAATGAAAATGCAGAAGGTATCAACTTACTATATAATGCACATCATCTTCCTTTAGAGAGAAAGCTCATGAAGAATTTTAAACTTCAAAACCATTTCTTAAATGTCTGTTGTTTAAATAATAATTATTTTCCAGTTTCCCAGTCTTTGTTTATGATTTTTATTTATGGCAACAAGGATGAATACAGCAATTCAAAATATTTTTCAGCTTAATATTACTCCATGCGTATTTTTGCTAAAAGCATGAGTTTATGACATTTCAGAACAGTTAGTTTTCATGCATGGTACATAATTATAAAATTGCTCTCATGAATAGAAATATTCATTGTTAATGGATATTTAGAGATTTTAAGTTTTTCCAAGAGATAATCTCTATTCTTTCTTTGTGTAATTTGTGTTTTTTTGTTAGAATAACTTTTCTTGTGTTTTTATAGTCAAAGGAACAGAAAACACATTTTGATTGAGTGCTTAATTGAGTAGTATTGAAATGTCTTTGACATCAAGATTTGGTCTCTTCATATTGCAGGCACTGGGGTAAATTAGTTACTTATAAAACAACAATTCTTCCTTAATCTTTATTTTAGTTTTATTCAGTGTTAATGGTTACAAAGTTATATGTGGTATAATATTTTTATTACCTTAATTAAATCTCCACTGTTGGTTATCATTAGTTAAGACATTATTTTTTTAATATTATGTTGTCAAACAGAAAAGCATGATCAATTTTAAGACGTGTCATGGCATTGTCCACAGCCATGATCATTTTCATTTACATTCAGTGAGAAGCCCACTGAAAATCCCACTGCTTGCCTCATATTTCAGAACCTAGTGACTTTAGTGAAGTTGTGTGTTTCTATGCATTTGTCGATGCTTCTTAATACAGAGTATTTTTACTTATGATCCAGGCCTGGATTTGGATGTAGGAGATGTCATCATGAAGGAATATGTACATCTCTGGGACACTGTGTCGAAGTTGGTCAGAAACTTTGATGTGGGTAAACCATTTCCTTTGAGAACAACAAAATGTCATTTTCTTAAAAAGACCCCATCGCCAATTAAAGGTAATTTATTCCTAACTTAAATTGAGGGAAAAAATGTTTGAAAACTCTAAGTAGAAATAATTTTCTAGCATTTGTGTGTTTAAATAATTGTCATGTCTATGTGGTGGTGTGCTTTGACTAATATTGAACATTTATATGTAGTTTATAATTAATATTGCCAATTTAAAAAATCAGAAACAAATGGGTGTGAATTCTATTTCTAGCAATGTGACCTGTGTCAACTGAAAATTTCAGTATTCTATTACAGAATGATAGTTCCTCTCCAAACAGTAGAATGGGAGAAGCCTGCAAGAGCTTCTAACTAGAGCAGCTGAGAACCATCTAAGCCAGCATAGAGACTAGCATGGCACCATAATCAGCATCTGTCTTATATAGTAACAAAACAATCAGTAGGCATGTGTTGGGCAGACGATGATATGCCAAAGAATAAAAAGGAAACAGCAGCCCCTTTAGAAAGCCTTTGCCCAGATCACTGTATTTGCCTTCTCTGTGCTACAGATATGCAGAATGTCTCTGGTGACAGGTACAGGAGATGAGGCCAGAACCAGGAAGTGGTAGAACAGACAGTCTTCATGAAGACCAGGTCCATAGCAAACCCCAAAGTTTAGCTCCCCTGGACCTGCCTTTTAATGAACAGAAGTAGCAAAGGAGTCACACTGGTTCTGGAAAATGATAGATGGCTATTGAGAATTTGGAATTTAAGCTGAGGCCACAAGGCCACTCTAATCCTGTAAATGAAAATGATCGAAGAGATCTGGCAAATTATTATGAGGAACAAATCACAAACATTTGTTTTATAGGATTATGTGTCAAAGATGGATGTTGATAGAATTTATGAAAGAGCTGAGGAATAACTAAGAACACAATTAGCTGTGGACTTAGAACTGATAACTTCTGTATTTTTTTAAAAAATCATCACAGCTATTATATACCTTCTGAATATAATTTGAAAACATTTAAGAGAGATTAAATATTAAATTAGAAATGAGAAAACTAATAGAAACTCTAAACCAATATTCATTCCTATAAGCAAACTTGTAGAAATCAAAACACTGAGTGGGTTTAAAAGCTGATTGGATATTAATAATGGGGGAGTTTGAGCAGCATAAATAAATAGAAAAAAGAGTCACACTTAGGGTTGGAGACATTCCTCACTTTTAGTGTGTCCAACCATGTATGAGGCCATGGGCTCAATTTCCAACATAAGAAAACAAAACAGGTTAAAAATACCATTATGAGAAATGACTTAAGCTGGTTACAGAAAGAAAACTACTGTGTGATACCATTTACATGCACAGTCTTAAAAAATACATAGAAGTAGAGCAAAGTAAACAGGTAGTTATTGAGGGAGCAGTGTTAGGGGATGGGAAATGTAGGTCAAAGTGTATAAATTTACGCTTATGGAAGAGAATAGATCTAGATTTGATGTACTTGATGAGGGTAATGTATTCTATGAGGGCTAACACTGATCACATTATATATTCTATTATATACACTAGTGATTTGGGAAAGTAAAAGATTTTAGGTAATCTTAACACCAAAATACCCACAAAAACTTACAAGGAAATACAGAAATATTTAATAGAGTGGACATGTTGTTTTTCCTGACTGTACCACTAGTTTACTCTGTATATCCTTTTGTTTTCATGGTGTGTGCTTCTTGAGATAAGGTGCTGTGTAGTCTGGACTAGTCTTGAGCTCACTCGGTAGATGAGGATGATCTTGAGTTCCTGATCATCCTGCCTCCACCTTCCAAGTGCTGATATCACAGGGATGCACCACCAGGCCCAACTAACATTATGCACATCCATCTATCCATCCATCTATCCATCCATCCATCCATCCATCCATCCATCCATCCATCCATCCATCCATCATCTATCTGTCTGTCTGTCTATTATCTACCTATCATCTATGTCTTAAGATAAGTATATTAAAGCATAGTATATACCTTAAATAAATATACAATTAAAATCTGACACACATTAAAAGATGTGAAGAATGAAAGTCAACCATTGGTTCATTTGGAAACTTAGAAGGAAAGAAGGAACTGATGTGAGTGGAGTGATGTTTGAAGACATAATGACCTAACATTTACCTGAATTAATGATGACAAGTTATACACATTGAGGCTCTCAAATGGGGTAAATGAAATGCAGGAACATATTGAACTGGACAAATACATTCCTTAGACACACAAAGTGAAACTGTAACTTGTGAAAAATACAGAACATCTCAAAGGAATCAGAATGAAATACAAAGGAAGAAAAGTTAGTTGTGACAAATTTCTCAATGATGACGAAATTCAGAATGCAGCAAAATTATATGTAATTATTAAATTGTCAAAGGGTGGAGGGTACTATGCATATTTGCATAAAAACAAAAATTTGTTTAGTCATAATAGCGTTCTTAATACTGTAATGAATTTCAGGAAATATGGTTTAGAGGAAGTTTCAAAAGAAATATTTACTGAGAACTTAAGATACATGCGTGTGTGAGTTTGTGTGTGTGTGTGTGTGTGTGTGTGTGTGTGTGTGTGTGTGTGTATTCTTGTCTTCTATGACAATGAATCCCACGAGACAAATTCCACTGGTGTAAGGAGGTTACTGGGACAGTCAAGGAGTGGGTCAAGTGAGATTAGGGCAGGAGATGAAGAGCACTATGCAGAACCTATCTATGGGTAGATTTCTACTTGGGGAGACACAAGGTGAACTGGGAACCTTGGAGTGAGGTGCACATTATCTTGGAAACATTTCTTGTGAGGAATAAGAGAGATGGAGTAATTATTCTCCAGTTCCTATCATGGCTTTGGATGAGGGTTATTCTCAGGGCTTCTGGTTTGATCTCTGTGGGCTACATGGAGAAAAGTACTTAAACTAATTGTTGCAGAAGGTATTCTGGGAAAACACAGAACTAGAGAGCATCAGGAGAATTATGAATAATATGTTAAATAAAAAGTATTCATTAGCCAATTATCTCGGCTAAAAGATGTATCTGATCTCTATCTATCTATCTATCTATCTATCTATCTATCTATCTATCTATCTATCAATCATCTATCATCTATCTATCTATCTATCTATCATCTATCATCTATCTATAATCTCTCTACCTATTTATAATTTTTCTATCACCTGTCTGTCTATCTGATCTATCTTTTTTTGGTCATCTATCTACTTGTTTTTGTATAAGCTTGTATATAAATCAAAAGGGAGCTCAAAGGGAGTATTATAATGATATCAATCTCATCACCTTTGCTTTTTTCTGTTTTTAATTTCATTTTGACACTCTATATGTGATCTTTCAGATTGCTATCTTTAGATACTTTATCACTTAGTAGTCAAAAATAAAAGGATTAAACATTTGAACATAAGCACCACAGGAATCATCTATTATGTGTCTCCCTATCATCTGTCAATAATTTGTCATGTTCACCATCATAATGAATCTATACAGACATATATCTATCAATTCATTTATCTAGCCACCCAGCCACCTACCTATTTAATCTATATACCTATTTGCTTGGTTATTATTTATCTATTTATTTTCTACTATGTTCCTAAAGACTAATCTAGGGAAATAACTTTATGAGCAGGATTGGAATTAAAATATAACTGAAGTGAATATAAAATATTTTTAAATGTGAAATTTTAGAAAACAATGTATTTATTGTCTTTCTTTCTGAAAGTTTCACATTTAATTTGATCATTTTTTTTTGTTTGTTTACAGAAAGTTCCCAGGAGAAGATGCCAAATTTGGGTTTTATTCCAATGTCATGTAATTTGGTTGATGAATTTACTGGAGACATTTTGAAAGACTTGCCTTTCCTAAAGTGGTAAGGCCTCCATATGTTTTAATAAATACTTGTTTGGAATGGATAATATTTATTAAATATTCTTTGAGAAAGCCTTTTCTGAATAAACTCCAGAAACAAGCTACTTTTATGATAGCAAATTACACATAATATATATTTGCATCATTTTGCCCATTGACCATCTTTATCACATCTGTATGATTTTAGTTGGAGAACAAAGCACTCTCCCACTATTTTTAAATTAATAGAACAAGGAATGTTTGAGAGTGTTGGAGACATGATAGTCCTGGCTTCTGAAGCTTCTAATAAAATGCCCTTTGCATTCTACCACACATGCTGTGTCCCAGGAAGAGGAGAAGGAACTATAATTTTTCAAAGTTACAAAATGTGTTGGATTTGGAGACATGAAATTTGAAATATGCTTGTATTTCTTTTTGTCTCACAGTGATGACCCCATCGTCACCTCACTGGTTAAGCACAAGGAGTTTGATGAACTTGTGCACTGGCATTCCCACCGACCCCTCAGTGATGATTATGACAGGACAAAGTCCAATTTTAATGGTGAGCTTGCTGATTCTGTTAAACCAATATAAATCGACCTCACTCTGCCCTTTATTTCAAAGTGAAAAACACATTATGAATACCAATCAGAAGTTTTGGGGAAGAACAGTCAACAAGACATTCAGATGGACACCAGGAAGGATGTTAACAGAGTTCTCCATTTGTTTCCTGGTGGTTATCCATATGGAGGTTGTAGGTGTCTTAGGCAGAGAAGCTTGACACTGTGTTAAGGGAAGATGGTTTGTGGTTTAAGAAATCTGGATGTTCTTTGTTGAAGTCTAATATGTAATGGTTAAACTCTCTGCTCTATGGCTGTGGCCAAAAATGAGGGCCTTGTTTTTTCCTATCCAATACTTCAAGGAACCAGAATGTCTCAGATGGTTTTCTTCTTGATTTTGTCTACTGAAGCTCATTCACAGGGCACACGACAGGTAAAGCTCAGAGTCTGTCTCTAAAACAAAACACTACCACCCCAAGCACCCTGGAAGGGTCCTCATGGGTCCGTACTCCTTACTGCTAATTCTGATGGATTCTGGAGGAGAGATGGCCATTATCGTCAGTTGTGTATCCAATGACGCGCTCATAGTGCCCCACTGGCAGTTGTTCAAACCTGTGGACAAAGCATAGACCTGATTAAAATTAGTGGGTCAGGAATTAAAAAAAAAATAGATGAGTTTGGGGAAAAGACTTGTAGGGAAGTGGGGGAGATGACAGGTTCAAAAGGATATAAATGAGATGGTGTAATTAATTAGAGTGCATTACATCCACTGCCAAAGAACACATTTAATCAATAAAATTAACTAACATTCTTAGTATTCACTTTTGGAAGTAGACTGTGAAAAATTGTTTTGAAAGTATTTGAGCTGCTGGGAGTTGTTGGCCAGGGGCAGAACACTTGACCTGCATGAATGAAATCCTAGACTTAATTCCATATGTTACATAGCCTATGGAATTAAATATATTTTATTCAAATATATATATTTATATTCATATATATATATATTTGAAAAGTTGCCACCTTTTTAGATATGTTGAAAGTTATTCTATGGATGAGATTTAAGATACCTTCTTTGGTCAAACTGATCAGACAAAATTGCTATTCTGTACTAGAAAGGAAAGTGCCTGTATTTGGAATGGTGGGAAGAGTTAGAGGTACATCTAAGAAATCATAGTCATTTTGCATTTTAAGTTTTTTTCTTTTCTCAGTGCATTCAAAAGACCCCCGTCAACTTAGAAATTTGCAGAAGTATCATGTCTTTCAACGATTTTATGGGAACTCGTTAGAATCAGTCTCTTCCAAGATCATCACAACTCAAGGTGTTAAGCCAAAGAAGGATTTTAATAAGTCCAGGGGCTCGAAGACACATGTAAGTTTCTGTAAATTCTATTATAATAAAAAGCTCTTGCTGCTGTTCTTTATTAAAGTGGTGTTTGCTCATCCCATTGATGTTTCTTCCCATGCGACATCTTCCTTTTTTATAAGGGTCTAGTGGTTTGAATGAGATGTCTCCCATAGTCTCAGATATTTGAATGCATGACTCCCAGTGAGCAGCACTGTTTGGGGAGGCTCAGGAGGTTGGCCTTGCTGGAGGAAGTGTGTCACTGGAGGCTGGCTTTGAGATTTTAAAGCCTTGCCATTCCTGCTTGCAGTTTAAGATGCAAACTTTCAGTTTCTAACTCCGGGTGCCATGCTTCTGCACTGCCATCATGGATTCTTATTCCTCTGGAATCATAAGCTCAAATAAACTCTTTCTTCTATAAGTTGTCTTGATCATGGTGTTTTGCTACACAGAAAAGTAATAAACACAAAGAGTAATCACATTTATTATGATATCCGCTAAGAAAGTCTAACATATATAAATTATTGCATATGATCCCCTCTATTGCAGTGACGTATACTTATTTAGTGAAGCAAATAAAGCATTAAGTGACTAATGGCTTGGCTTCAATATAATATTAAAATGTAGGTTATTAGCTAATAACAATCAGAATGTTTTTCACAAATGGAGCATAAATAAACATGAAACACATGGGCTTCTTTGCTTGACTTATATAGATTTTCTGTACTTGCCTCAAAGTATTTAAATAGTTAATTCAGTCACCATTTTTCGAGTACAACGTTAAAGCTGTTCATTTCCTCTTTCTGTACAGATTACTTCCCTCTAATTTTACTATTTATCCTACTGGTATGGTTATTTTCTATCAATTCCTATCCAAAGGCCATAACTGAGGATAAAATACAGGCGATCAAAGCTCAATTTATTTCTAGAGTAAAATACTAAGATGTGAGAATTAAATGTTAGTATTTCTGATAATATTACCATACAAGTATAGATTACATTTGAAAACTGGACTTACTCATTTGATGAAGGTGAAGGTCATATTTTAAATGTTTGGCAATTTGTTAGCATTTAGTGGGCTCCAGATCTGAGGATCTGAAGAAGGCGCTTATTTCATGGAAACTCTCTGAATGGCAACCGTTTTAATATATTGTAGAGAGAACAACTTAGCATATCCAGCTGATAGGAATCGTGACAGGTGGCCTTGTCAAAGGCAGCCAGTGTGGCAAAGTCATCAGAAGTGAAGTCTATGAAGATCCCACACAAAACACGAAAACAGTTTTAGATTATCATTTCTGGATACTTAAGTTTGGGAAAAGTTTAGCAAAACAACAACAACAGCAAAACAAGTGCTACTTCTTTGCCAGGTATCCAACTAATTAACAAGCAGGGAGTTCAAGTTCTACAACTCTTCAGGACAGCTACCAGCTGGGTGATTAACAAACAGCTCTCTCATATAATTGTTAAGATAATGCAAACAATCACAGAGTCCCTGATGTTCATGCTGGTGTGAGTTCTCTCTCCTTGACCTGCTTCACAGGTTCGCTGAGCATTGGTGACTGGCTCAGCTTTTGCCTGACTCATCAAATAAAGCCTCATCAGCTTCCACTTGCCGTCACTGCCTCTCTGTTAGGAGGTCAGGACCTGTTCAGTTTTATACCCAAATTGGTCAAACCTTTGCCTCTTCATTTAGGAACATCAAGAGGAGGAGGAGGAGGAGGAAGAGAAGGAACAGTCTTCCTTTCTTCCTCTTCTCCTTCCCCTCCTCTTCTTCCTCCTCCTCTTCCTCTCTCTGGCAATCTCCCTCTTTGTCACAAAAATAACAAACTGGCAAAAATTCTCACCATACATCACAAGTAGACTGAAAAGTAGTATAAGCTTCACCCTTCCCAATATTAAAAATTAGATGAGTCATCAAGGACATTCAACATCATTAGTACTTTATGAATGTACTCTGTGACCAACAGTGTAATAAATCTTCACATTTGAGATAAAGGGACCATCGTACTTGACCAAAGTCTGAGGCTTCTCATTGTTCTGTGTAGAAAAACTTTGGCAAATGGGTCAATAGGGGACACTTACTTGAAAGTTTAAATGTTCAGAAACCTCAAATGTTATTGATTGGAATTAAGTAGTTTGAGAATGTGACAACTAAATGTGATCTTATTATAGGTTAATGTTTAGATATTAATCCCATGACTAACCTAAATAATGGAAAGTTATTGTCAGAATTCTTTTGCCAACATAATTCTATAATTTGTCCTTTAAAGATTATTTATTTTTTTTGTGTGTTTGTATGATGAGTATATGTGGTGGGTGCCATGGTGTATATGTGGAGGTCAATGGGGGTTGCCATGATACATATATTGAAGCCTGAAAAGTTTTGTAGAGTCCTCTCGTAGCACCTTTCCATGGATTCTGGGGACTGAACTCGAGCTTCAGGCTTGTAAGACAAGCACCTTTACCTGAGGAACCATGTCATTGGTCCTCTAATTTGACCATGTAAAATAAAATAAATAGAGTTCATAAAACCACAGTAAAAGAGGGTCCATATTATATTTAATTCATTTGAAGACACTTATTTAGGTAGGCAAATCATTCGTATATATGATGATCCCTGTCCACTCCTTGCTTTCAGCTCCTGTTTCTTATTCACTCAATCAATATTATGGACTAAATGTTTTTGGCTTAGGGAATCCAGGCAACTTCAGTGCAATTTTATCTCCAAGATCTCAGATTAGGGAGGATAAATGGTGCGTGTAGGTACAGGCATAGTAAACCTTGGTGAATAGTTTGATAGGTGCTTGCCAAGGGAGTGATACAGTATCATTAGGCATGAGATTCAGAGAGTGATTCATGATAGGAACATCATGATCATGTAGGGAGTTGGAAGGCGACTTGGTAGAGAAGGCAGCAGACATGCAGTCCCAGAGAGGATAGCAGATATCACTGCATGGAGACGTGAAAGAATCTTTGCAAGGTCTCTTTGACATTGATTACGTTTACCCTTTTATATTTGACACTACATAGATATTTAGGAGATTCTACAGCAAGTCTTTATATTCACCAAGTTGAATTATTATGTTTTCAATCAATAGAGTCTTAATTAAAAAACATATTTTTATGACTATTCAAGTAGGTGATGACGGTCAAAATTATCAGTGCATACTTAAAAATACCATTTCACTCATGAAATGTCCATTTGGAATAGCTCTATCTTGTCACGAAATGTTTCTTTCCATTTGGGCAGGAGACCAAGGCTGACATCATTGCTAGAGAGAATAAGAAGAGGTTAATTGCCAAGGAAGAACAAAAAGAAGAGGAAAAATGGAATACCCTGTCATTTTCTATTGAGAAGGAGATGAAAAGGAACTTAAACTCTGGGATGAAGAAGCTGGAGGAGTTTTTGAAATCGTGTAAAAGTAATTCAGTGAAAGCTCAGGCTGAAAAAGTTGGGTTAATGGCTGGCTTGAAGGCATGGAAGGATCACTGCCGAGCTGAAGGTGAGTGGCCTATGGTTCTGTTGACTTACCTCGATGAACTAGTGAGTTCACAGTGATGTGATGATGGTGGTTTGTCACCTGCTAACCAGAAATTTGCATAGTAGGTCCCCTAAAGGATTTTTGCCTCTGTTTTTTATCAATGAGCAATGACATCTCAGAGCGGTGGCCAACGGCAAAGACATAGCACATTCGTAAGCACAATTAAAGATAGGTTTAAACTAACTGCTGACCAGGAAGAGAGCATTGTTAGCAAAACCGATAACAGTGCGGCACAGAGCAAGAACCCGTCATCCATTTTTGAGTTCCGAAGTATAAACATTTTCTTTCTGGATAAGTTGTTGCTTATGTTAGCCTCTTAAGTTAGTTTCCTGTTGGTTGTTGTTATAAAATACTTTGACAAAGGCAACTTAATGGAGAAAAGGTTTATTCTATCTGACAGCTCAAGGGGACAGTTGATTGTTGGGGAGGGCATATCAAAGTAGCAGGAGTTTGAAGCAGCTGGTTACATCCTATTCCACTCACAGTTCAGATGGGTTTTCTTGCATCAGTTAGCCTAATAAAGATAATCCCTTACAAGCATGTTCATAGGCCCATCTTCCAGGTGATTCCAGATCTTGTAAAATTTACAATCAACACCAACCATATAGACTTCAACATTGATCATCCCTAACCATACAGACTACTTCCAAAGTGAGCGAGGTTATTCCATGTACTCTCCTTTACATTTCCATGGAGGGAAATAAGATGAGACATAGAAAGAGGATGATAAGGATAAAGTAGGACTGCTTAGGTAGAGATGTCTAAACTGGTTAGAGGTATATGATTTACCTTAGCATATATTTATCTTTCTTTCCAACTAAGACACTGAATAAGGATTTGCAGCTGGATACTACCAACAGAGATCAGAATTTAGAGTGGCTTAAAGAATATAGTGCTTTATTTCATTTGAGATTTCTTGTAGGTACTGTAGACAGATAGCAGAGTTCCAGCTGGGATTTCCAGGTTCTTCTGTCCAGCAACGAGAAACTGGGCAGGACCCATGGTTAGTGGTAGAAGCAGAGACAGTCTTTTAAGGAACTAAGTACTTCAGGAAAGGTCAGAAGTTTAATATCCTAGTGCCTATGCCCAGAGTTGTGACCTTTTACAAGTCATTTACATAGCTCTGTCTTACACTCCATCAGCACACTGAAGTGTCTTCAGATTTATTTTTTTTATTTCTGTGTGTGTGTGTGTGTGTGTGTGTGTGTGTGTGTGTGTGTGTGTGTGTAAGGTGTCCACAGATGCAGGCGAAGACATCAGATTCTCTGAACCTGGAGTTCCAGGTGATTGTGAGGCTTCTGACATCATTGTTGGGAACCCAACTCCATAAGAATGGCAACTACCCTCACCACTGACCCAGCTCTCCAGCACCCTCTCTCTCCTTTAATGTACTTTCCTGGCCACCAAAATCTTACACTCAGATATCCTTAGTCAGAATTTAGTCACAGGGCACTTTAACCACAAGGAGGACCAGGAAACACATACTTTTACCTAGGTATGTAGAATTCCCAGTACCAAAGAGACATAAATAAGGAATCTTTGGAACTACATGGTAGATAGAGAAATTAAGATTAGTAACTGCCAGAGATGCTCTTGTTCTTACTTTTCATACAACCAGATTTTACCTATCCTCCACATCCAGTTCATGAACTATCTCTCCATAAAGACTTCCTCTGGAATCAGCCCCATATAATGTCTGTAGTTTCTAATGCTCGGTGTGAACCAATCGCATATCATATACTGTGTAAGTGAACTTAATGCTCCCGGAGTGTAAGACCTCTGTTTCCTTTACTTGGCTTCATCTTGTATAATAGTTCTCAATATGGGATTGGTAGTACTTGTTTAATAGGTGAGAGTGGGCACCAACTGAAGGAAAAGTGGAACCAAAACAGGTATGAGAATGAAGAGTTTAGCAGCGGGGAGAAATAAACAGTGTGTGTGATGCCAGAGAATTGAACAGGTTGTCAGAGTCTGGATGTGGTAGCTGGAAGAGATGGATTGCACTGATCGAACTGTGGATTCAGGGCTCACAGCCAGTATTTCTCTGTGGAAAATAGGGCAAAATTAATGTTGCTAAGATTATAGTCTTATATTTAAAATAATGCAATTATTTTTTTTAACGGAGGAGACATGGCAAAAAGAGACAATCTTTATAATTCACCATAATATCCTACAAACTTCAATTTTAATAATATTTTTATTGTGAACTGTAAGATTTTTATCTAGTCCTTTCTATTCTCAAATATCAATTGATGGTGAGTAAGACAGTGAGTTTCAATAAGTGTAGTGAAGATTGATAGGCTAGGTAATTGATCTTTATTAATAAACATTTGTAATGTTGATGGCTTTTATAACAATTTTATTATTTATATTTTGTGCCAAGGTAAAACCTCAAGAGACTTAAGCATAGCTGTTGATATGATGAAGAGAATCCATTCCTTGTTGGACAAATACTCTGAACTTCTGCAAGAACCAGATCGGAAGCTCATAGCCAGAAGTCTTATGTACTTAGGGTTTGAGGAGCTAGCAAATTCTTTGTATCCAATCCAGGTAACATATTGTGATAGATTAATTTTAACTCAACCATTATTTGCTCTATATAAAGCGCATGTCAAATAGAGTCATCTCTTCTGTGTATATTTTTAATAGAAAATATCATCTTAGTTAATTCAACTGCCAAAAGTTGAATTAATCAAGAATTAGAAATTTTTTATACAACTTGGCTATCACACTAAATGTCAGAAGATTTCTGAAGACTTTTAAAACTAACCTGATACTTAATTTAACAAAACAGCTCAAATCTATAATGGTGTTGACTTATTTTAAATATGTCAGGCTGTAGCTACAAATATTAGAGTAAATATTTGAAAATCTTGACATCTACTGATTAGTTTGTATTTCAGAAAAGTCATAATGTCTTCATGATATTTGAAGGATGATTAAAATTGTTTTCATATAGAAGAAGCTCAGTATTAAGCCTTTTTATTATTTCAATGATGCTATAACTTAAATTGCTTTCAAAATAATCTTTTAAAACAATACAGGATGAAGCAGATGATATAAAAACAAGAAAAAAGAATAAATATTCTGTTGGAATTGGGCCAGCCCGGTTCCAACTACAACATATGGGTCATTATTTGATACGAGAAGAAAGAAAAGATCCAGACCCAAGGGTCCAAGATTTTATTCCTGATACATGGCAGGTAAAAATTTGAATAAAAATAATTCTTATATGTTGTAATCTTGTATGCATCATGGAGTTTCTTTTTGCTACATCTCTCTCTCTCTCTCTGTGTGTGTGTGTGTGTGTGTGTGTGTGTGTGTATGTTAATATTTGTATTTGTCATGGACTTCATGATATTGAGTTATTTCATTTAAAAGTCATTTCACTTAAAATTCATTGTTATTTAAAATGTCTCATTTGGACTAATTCTTCCATTTAAAGAAATTAAAATTTTCATTTACTATGTAGACCATTTCCTTGGTGAGGTATTGGATGAATTCACACACATAGATTCAAAGCTTAAAGATGTCCGTGCTATTAGCTATTCTCATTCTGTACCAGGCTCCAGGTTTTCTCTCTGTCAATAGAATTTCATACGTAAACAATATAAATACTCGTGAAGAAATTCAGGTAATTTAGACGTGGAAAAATTGTTTATGGATTTACAGACTGCACACACTACTATTCTAGCTATATTTCTGTAAACACATATAAGATAAATATTGATAGCTACACAATTTGCAAGTAACTACTGCACACAATTAAATATATACATATATATAATATATATCTGATAAAATGAACATTATTTACTTATACAAATGCAATTTTGTAGGTTTAGTCTGACTTGTTGTCCCATTCAGTTCATGTTTTGTAAGCCATTTTTCACTAATGTAATGAAAAACGCGAGGCAGCCTAGCTTTAATGTAAAGATGTTCATTTACCTCCCATTTCTGGAGTTTCCACACCCGAGATTGGATGGCTCCATTGCTCTGGCTCCCAGTGCCAGCTTGACAATAGAATGGCATCACATTATGGTGGGGCAGCTTGTGTGAGAAAGCATAAAACACCGTGAAAGCAAGAATCAGAGAGAGCTAGTTGGGCTGAGGCTTTATAGAACAAACCTTTTAGAAAGGATTCTCATCACAATCATTTCCCAAGGCTGGGACTCATAGTGACCTATGGACCTCTAGGTATACTCCGCTTCTTAAACTTCCCAAATGCCTCCAAATAGCTTCACCCTGGGGACAAGATTCCAGGACTCCTGGGGGACATGAAGCCATATGCAAACTGGAGCATGGACCTTTTCCTAGGCTGTTAATGTTGGGGTTCCTTTACAAAATGCTGATTTTCCATAAGCCGGGGATCAAGTACTTATTTCAGCGTAGGCTACAGAGCAGTCACATTTACTCCTACTTTTCATGCACCTTCTGATTCTTTCACACCCCGTCATTCTGACGTGTGGCATGTGGGGAGGACTAGATTCGCGAGGTGGACAGGCTGGGATTTTAGAGTACTTCCTGTCTTCTGTACTTCACGGAGGTATTCCTTTCTTTGGACTACTCATCATCTTGATGGACAAAATCATAGGATGCAAAGAGAATGCTCCCACATAGTTGCCCATCGAGGGTAAGCAGGAAAATGATGAATTTGCTATTTCTGCGCTTCAACCATTTGCTGACTGCCATAAAAATATGGGTTGACTGGTTCCAACAACTGTATTTCTCGAAGACACTGTGTACTCCTAACTATTAAAAACAGCCTTCCTAATAATAAGACCTTTTTCTGACATTATTTTTGAGTGATTTTTCTTTATTATTATTATAAATTCATTATATAAAAGAACATGTTTCATTATGGTCTTTTCCTCCATGCATGTTGTGTACTTTGATCACCTATCCATCCATCCACACACTTGCTTCACTGCCCTCCTCATTGTCTCCTTTTTCATCTCCCTTTTCTGTGCAGCGCTTTTTGGACTTTTTTACTCCATTGTTGCACATGAGACTCATCTCTCAGCTGCTCAAAAGCAAGCAAGTTGCATCATTTGAGAGAATGAGTAGTCTATTGGAGCTTCCTTTTAATTTTTTTCTGTGTGTCTGCAGCACTCCATCCCTGAGGTTCAGATAAATCATAATGGAAAAAGACTGATCTCTGTGGGTAGCATAGGGCTTGTTTGATTGACACAAATCATGATCTGATCCCTGCAGCGAGAGCTCCTGGATGTGGTGGATAACTATGAGTCTGCAGTGATTGTTGCCCCAACATCCTCTGGGAAAACCTATGCTTCCTACTACTGCATGGAGAAGGTGCTGAAGGAGAGCGATGAAGGCGTGGTTGTGTATGTTGCACCAACAAAGGTAGGGATCCAGTGCATGTATTATTTTTCTTCATTCCAGAACTTACTCAGAAATATTAGACTTTGGTTATGTGGTAGATCTAGTTCCCTTTATTTATTTTCACCAGTTAAAAATGATCATGCAAAGTAATGGGCTTTATAATAGAATGTTTGTATATAGTTTTTTTTGGACCCTCCTTCACCACTCCTCTCTCCTAGGATGTAATCCCCCTCCACTGCTCCCCTTCATTCCCGTGTAGCCCCCATTCCACTTTCAAGTCATGAATATTCTTGTAGACAAATCTTAAAAGGTCTCATTAATAAAAACAAACCCAGGAGCCAGGTATTGGAGTGAATTCTGAAAGATCAGAGAGACAGAGCAAGCCACAGCTAACCTCACCTTGCCAGTTCCTCGGCTGGTCCTGTTTCATCAGACTGGAAGGTTCTGAGTCCTCATCCAAATGGATCTCAGCTGAACTGCTGCTAAAAGCCTAAAAGCTTAAGAAGGCTCTAGTTCCTGGTCCTCACGCCTTATATACCTTTCTGCTTCCTGTCATTATTTCCTGGGATTAAAGGCGTGTGTCACCATGCCTGGCTGTTTCCAGTGTGGCTTTGAACTCACAGAGATCTGCATGGATCTCTGTCTCTGGAATGCTAGGATTAAAGGCATGTGCTACCACTGCCTAAACCTATGTTTAATATAGTGGCTGTTCTATTCTCTGACCCCCAGATAAATTTATTGGGGTGCACAATATATCAACTACACATTCTATTATTTTATTTTTCTTCCCCTTTATGACCTATTTTTCCTCTCATAATTCCCTTTCTAGTTTCATGACCTACACCCATTCTCACCACATTATACATATACATATTCTAAAAACTAAATTTTATTATCCAAATATAAGAGAATACATGTGGTGTTTGTCTTCTAAGTCTGTGTTATTTTGCTTAATATAATATTACCCATTTTTCTGTGAACAACATTGTTTCACTTTTGTTTATATTTGAATAAAATTGTGTAGTTGTACATGTTCTATTAATTTGTTCATGGATGTCAAGGCTGCTTCCATTTCCTAGCTATTGGAGTAGTGGAAATCTGAACATGGATGTGCACGTATCTCTGTAGTGAGACTTGAAGATCTTTGGGTATATACCAGGGAGGAGTGATGTAGTTAGGTCATGAGGTAGTTCTATTTTTAGTGCTTTGTGAAACCTCAACAATGATTTCTGTAAAGAGTGTACCAGTTGGTCCTTTTCCCATGGTGACTAAGGGCCCCCTTCCATATATTCCCCCAACTGTTAACACTTGTTTTCTGGATTTAACCATTCTACTTGGAGTGAGATGGAATCTCAAATCTTTCTCAAGGTTCCTGTTGTTATCCAGTGAGCTTCTGCTACACTCAGAGGCAACAGAGTTTTTAGATGGGCATTTGGTTGTACATTTTTTATATTTGCATATTTAGATGTGTATTTCTCTGAGTAGTGATTTGGGTGATTTATTATGCATAACTTGTGATATTTCTTTATTCGCGAAGTGCTTGATGAGGATACATTTGCCTACTTTTCATAACAGAAGAGTTCGCCTTTTCACTAATTCATCAAATTTTTCTGAACCACAATGAAATACACATTCATGGATCAAGCTTTTATCTTACATTATGAATGACCAGAGTTATCTATTCCAACGATAATACTAAAATTCGTGTATAATTAGCACTATCCACATTTTCATTTGGAGGCTGTCTTCTTTCTTGTTCCTATTGCTGTGATAAAACACCATAACCAAAAGAAGCTTGCAGAGGAAAGGCTTTATTTCAGCTTACACTTCCACAGCACAGTCCATCACTGAGAGAATCAGGGTAGGAACTCAAACTGTGTAGAACCTGGATGCAGGAATTAATGCAGAGGCCATGGAGGAGTGCTGGGTGTTGGCTCTCTCCTTCATAGCTTGCTCATCCTGTTTTGTAATAGCAGGCAGGATGACTAACCCAGGCTTTCCTGTGCCCAAATAACGACACAAGCTTGGGTCAAATTAACATAAAACTAGCTGGCACCAGGGGATTGTGTGTTCAGATACATTAATGTCACTGTCACTGGAATGTCACTTTTCAATATATTTATGGATATATAATAAATTTTACACTTTCATCTATATGGTGTGTACATTTGGGAGTATAAAGCATGTAACAGATGTTTTAAGGTTTATGGATGCCACTGGCCATGCTGTCTGCTTGATCCTAAGGAGGCTATACAGATTTGTGCATGTAGTCAAGCTTCTGACATCTGGGGAAGGTTCTGAAATAGGAGATACTAATCTATTTGTGCTCTTCCTGGGATAGACTCTGATTGGAAGTGGTGATCATTCAATTGTTGTGCTATGCATGTTAATTCTTCTGCTGTAAAGGACACATTTGCCATTTTACTTTCTGAAATCAGTAATCAAAGAAGTTCAGATATTTAGTCAACAGCTCAAAGGGAGAGCTTTTCAGTGTAGTGTAGGTAGAGGAAAGGGTCTGTCAAGTTTTCTGCATTCATGGCAGAATAGTTTTGGATATCTCCATAATTCCATTAAATTTTGCTGATTTACACTTTATTATGTAGCTAATACATCTGTTTTCCTGTCAACCAGGCTCTTGTTAATCAAGTGGCAGCAACCGTTCAAAATCGTTACACCAAAATTCTGCCAGCTGGTGAAGCTCTGTGTGGTGTTTTTACTAGGGATTATCGTCATGACGCTCTGAACTGCCAGGTTGGACATACTATTTAATAAATTTGATATCAAGTTATATAACATTGTTATATCCTTTTGACTAGAAATCAAACATCTTCACAAGGCCTGTGGAAATAATTTCCTTGAATTTGTGAAGGACAAAACTGCTTCAGAGAAAATAGAAATTTGTTACATTCTAAAGAATGTGAACAATAGAACTCATTTTCTCTAAAGATGCTTTTGTTTTGATTTAAACTTTTAGTTTATAGCTCATTCATCCTGTTGCTTTACAGTGGGATTCAAAATGATCCACAGATCTTTACAAGCTACCAAAACTTAGTGGACAGCATCATATTATCATAACTACTTTCTCTTGTTAAAGATACTTATTTTAGTTAAAAAAATGTTGTGTTGTGTTGTAATTAATGAATGTGTTGTAGTGTTAATGAATTTATGGTTTTCTTTCTTATTGAATTTTCAGATCAATAATTAGGATACAATGAAAAATAAAACATGCTTGTAGAGCATGATATTGTAGAATTGGCAGTGTGCTGCCTGGATTGCCTTTCATAGTAACATTTTCTAACACAAATTCTCTGTTACTGTTAGATTTGAAAGAATCAAAATAGTTAAAATTAATGACTTTGATTTTTCTTTCTAAAATATTTATTTAGTTATAACATTTTTATTTATTCTTTGAGAATTTATGCATTTTAAGGTGCATTATGATCATATCCACCCACCCTCATTTTCTCTTTCTACCTCTCTTTCCGCCTTCCAACCCACACCTCTCCCAGTATCATGTTCCTTTCCCAGCAACCACTAAGTGGCAATAACTCCTCTGCAGGGGTGTGGCCTTGTGAGCTGCTTCCTCATTCATGCTGGAATTTCAACTGGTTTGATTTACTGCAGGTCTTGTACAGATAACCATAGTTGCTGTGAGGTCATGAGGGAAACTGCCATGATTTGTGGAGAAGATGGCAGTCCACAATACTCTACCCCTTCCCCTGGCTCTCTCATTTTTTCCACCTCCTTTACTGACTGTTTCCTGAAGGGGTTGGGAAAGAGGTCAATATTGGTGTCCCATTTAGGGTTAGACACAACTGGAAGGCTCAGAAACAAGAATCTGCACTTCAAATTTGATATTTTACTATTTTGTTTAATAAATTGAAGTTTCATGTGGTTTAAACTAGTACATCACAAGTGTAATGAGTCTAATTCTTAGAAGTAGTATCGGATTTCTAATATTAGAAGATGCATTCAGGATTCATAAGCTTTACCTCATGTAGTTTTATAACTATGCACATTCTAAGTGTTACTTCACATGATACTGTTGTTTTTAGGTGCTTATTACTGTGCCTGCCTGCTTTGAAATTCTGCTACTTGCTCCTCATCGCCAAAACTGGGTGAAGAGGATCAGATATGTTATATTTGATGAGGTAGGTTTGATTTCACTTCTCAGGCTAAGTTCCCAGTGTTCTTAAATACTTTTGCTGCTTTGGGACATCTGCCCCTTGGATGGAGTTCAGTTTTGGAGGCAATTTCCTTCGGAACATTTTCCCCAGTTGAATTACCCCTTTGGCTCACTTCTTCTGCTGTGACTCAATAGTGTATATGGGTGAGAGTTCTACATGCGTAAGAAACCAGTCTTCATTGGGGATGCTGTTGTGGAGGAAACAGAATTAAACTCATGACACAAGTTTCCCTTGATGGAAATCCAAAATCAAGTCTGGTCTTCAAAGCAAAAGTTTTTTTATGTTCCACCAAGTGATGCTGATGATACAAACAATTCTGTCCGTTATGACTGTTGTATTTTAAAAACAGCGAGAAGGAGTCACACCATACAACAGGGCCCACATGGGAGGTTTATTGAGGGGAAGGGAGAGAAGGGACCAAGACTAGTCCCTGGGGATCAGAGCAAAGGAAAAGAAAGAGAAAGAGATGGGAGGTGGGCAAGGTCCACCTTTTATAAGGAAAGGTAGAGAATACACACAGTGGGTGCTCTTATTGGCTGCAGCTGAGTATATATCCTGTCAGGACTATAATACTTTTGTTTTGTTTTTTGTTTTTTTCAAGACTTTTTTTTTTTTTTTTTTTTTTGTGAAACAGTCCTGGCTATTCTGGAATTTAGTCTATAGGTCAGGCTGGCCTTGAACTCAAGAGATCCACTTGCCTCTGCCTCCCGAGCGCTGGGATTAAAGGCTTGCACCACCACTGCCCACCTAACAATGATCTTTAAGGAACACAAATAGCCCAATCAAAATACGGTTTTAAAAGTATGTTTTTAAAAAGACATTTGTGAGGAAATCCAGAGTGAGGAACTTATTGTTAGACCTAAAGGAACAAGGGAAGGAAGTATTTGATTCAAGTTCCAAAAGAGAGGAGTGTACCTTAGCTGAGGTACACAGCTGGATTGGGCAACCTGGGAGGGGGCCAACAGAAAACCAATCTCAGCTCAATCCCTCAGTAACCACAGCTCAGAAGTTGGTCAGAGCTAGAGATTCAGAGAACAAGGGAATCCTGTTGAAGTAGTATTTATTCATCAGTTTTTCTCTGGGCAGAGAGAGTGGGTGGGAGTGGGGGTGGAGGGGGTGGGGGGTGGGTAGGTGGAGGTGAGTGGGGGGGGGTGAAAACCAGTGTAGATGTATAAGTTCTAATCGAAGCTACAGAGTAAACTTATATGGCAATACCATTGAGTATACTTATTCACAGAGACCTAGAGCATCCTAGGAAAATACATTTTTTTATTCCTGGATTTTAAACTGAGAAGAAAAAATGAAGCCTATATTTAGCTAATCTTTGCTTCATTTCAGTAATAATAATAATAATAATAATAACAATAACAATAATAAATAGTTTTTAGTCCCAGAGACTAAATCCAGGTCTCTGAAGTGGTCCGCCACTGACCCAAATTCCCAGCCCCTTCCTTTCTGTTGTAAACTTGAAATTACCAAACAAGCTGGGCTTTTATATTTTGATACTGACTTGTTATTATTTGTGTCCTGGGGACTTTGGATAGTTTTATTTAAATAATACAAGGCCATACATACATGTAGATCAAACACTCATATGTATAAAACTTTAAAATATTAAAATAACAAGAGGATCTAGAACACCTAGTTGTAGCTTGGATTCCAAACTCTGAAATGATGTAATATTGGACACTTCAGATCTTCCAGTTTTATATGAAGGCAACCCCTAAAGGCTTTGAAGGCTACTGTCTATTCTGTCAGAGTCAGGGAAAACTGCTAAATATTGCAAAGCTTAAAGTTAATATTTAGCAGAAAGGTATGTCATCTGACCAAGACAAAGTCAAACAGGCAGTAGAAAATATGCACATAAGCCTTTCTGCACATATATGTAAAACTGCTTGACTGATAGTAAGTCTTTTAAAGTTTGTTTCCAAGTGTCAAACTTAACTTGTTTATTTAAGATCACAGTCAAAAAAAATAAAACCTTTTGTCTGTCTAATTGAGTTTGGTCATGCATTCATTTACTCGGCTTCATTTGAGAAGTGCCTCCCTGTGGGAATGCTAGAATCATTCAGATTTGAAGATAAAGATTAAGTGAGAAAGATAAGTTAAACCAGGGAATACAGATGTTTGCAAGCTGCCAGTAGTGCTACTGTGAAGACCAGGAGTGTCAATCACAATTGCAACCATGACAGAAGGCAGGCTGGAGGACCCCTCTGGAATGGATGGATGGTCGGCAAAATCTTTTTAAACTAGTGACACCAAGATGAACTTCACAGATTAAGAGTCTGTGGTTGTATTTGTTGGCTTCTTACTTTATTGATAAGACTATTTTATACATGGAGATAGCAATGTGAAAGTTCTGGGGTGTCAAATGTATGCTGAGAAACCAAGAAATGGCTGATGTGTCTGGGGTCGCAGGAAGACTGGGGATGAGTGACTTCAGATGATGCTGGAATAGTAGGAGTGGGCCCAATATGCCAATCATTGTATATCCCTTTAAGTGCTTAAATTTGTCCCACAACGAATGGAGAAACATTAACTAGTGACATGACTGGATATGGCTTCTCTTTGAAGCATATCATTTTGTCTGTGATGTCAAGAATGTAGGTGTACAATTAGGGCAATAGTCACAAAGGTACTGTATAGTGACTGAGATGTGGTGGTGCTTTGATTGTCAATAGACATGGCAAGAAATACATAGGCCTGGAAGAAAGTTTTGAAAGCAAAACAAAAAGGAATCACAGATGGGTTGGTTAAAAATACTAAGCAAATTTCATGTGCCAAAATGTCCTACGTCTGGATTTTTCTAGCACTTCTTTAAACTTCACGTGGTTCATTAAAGGTGATGGGAAATACTTATGACCAACTTAAGATTCCACATATTATTTTAATTTTCCATTCTTAAAGCTAACCTACCAATTGAAAACCTTCTTTTTTCTTATAGGTACATTGTCTTGGTGGAGAAATTGGAGCAGAAATCTGGGAGCATCTCCTTGTCATGATCCGATGTCCTTTTTTAGCTCTTTCAGCTACCATAAGCAATCCTCAACATCTTACTGAGTAAGGATTAGGTTCTATTTTGGACAGAATGTTTATCTGTTTTTATTAATATTTATTTATTTATTATGTGTACAGTGTGTAGCTCAGTCAGTAGAGCATGAGACTCTTAATCTCAGGGTTGTGGGTTTGAGCCCCATGTTGGGCACCATTTGTAGCTGAAAGTTTTCCTGTGTCCTGCCCAGTCAGCAGCAGCTCAGACCCAAGTAAACACTCAGAGTCTTATATTAATTAAAAGTGCTTAGCCATTAGGTCAGGCTTACTACTGACTAGCTCTTGCATTTAAACTCAGCCCATTTCTGTTAATCTGTATGCCGCCATGTTTTCCATGGCTTTACCTGTGTGCCATTACATGCTGCTCCCTGCATGGCAGGCTGGCATCTCCTGCCTCAGCCTTCTTCTTCCCAGAATTCTCTTTGTCTGCTTATCCTGCTTATACTTCCTGCCTGGCTACTGGCCAATCAGTGTTTTATTAAACTAGTGTACAAAAGCATTATCCCACAGCAACAGTGTTCTGCCTGCAAGTATGCCTGCATACCAGAAGAGGGCACCAGATCTCATTATAGATGGTTGTGAGCCAACATGTAGTTGCTGGGAATTGAACTCAGGACCTCCGGAAGAGCAGCCAGTGTTCTTAACCTCTGAGCCATTTCTCCAGCCCCTGTTTATCTGTTTTGAGAGTTTAAATTTTATACATCTTTTACGGGCTTTAGAGTTACCTCAATTTTTGGTTAACTCATAGCAATCCCTGAATTTTCAAGCTACTCTCTGTTGAGTTCTTTCTGATAAGTCTTAGCTACTCTCTACAAAGAAGTACCCAGCACTCCTTGGGTCAGATCTGCAGTTGAATAGGAAGTATCATATCATAACTCAAAAATAAAATGATAGCTGCATATTCCTTTTCTTTTTCCCCACCCCCTTCACTAGGAAACAAAAATCAGGTGATAGAATGATATATTCAGCCATAGATTCCAAGATCATCCCATTCTGTAGATATATTTGTTTAGAAAGGGAGCAAACCTGTATTAGTTGAAAGCCACACATCTTGTCATTGGACTTGAAAGTTGACTACTGATAACAATGTATCCCGTAGCATCTCCCATGTGTCACATTCCTTGCTAAGTATTTTGCATATAGTAATTTATCTTAAATATCATCAATATTTGATGTACTACTATTTCCGTTGTATTATTAGATAATAGTACTTTTACTACTCTATTGATTTTTAAACATGAAAGACAGTCACATAAGTATTAAATGATTCATGCAGGATTCAGAATTAATAGTAAGGAAGCTATAATTTTATTTCAGGTTATATGGCCCTAGAATTAATTCCCTTCTGTGAAAATTTTAAGACACATGAACCTTTTGTAATTAATTATTTAATTTCATGTAAGTTGTTTCTATTTTCTGCTTAAATAATGTATGAGTTGCTTTTGTGTTGATGTGAACAAAAATACCTTAAAAGAGGTACACCTTTATTTAGACTCATGGTTTTAGAAAGATTTCAGCCCATCACAGTGGGAAAGGCAGGGAGAAGAAGCTTCATCCATGGAAATGGAAGCCTGAGGTGGCTGCTTGTTCACATGGCAACAGACAGGAAGCAGAGACAGCCAGATAAGAACCAGTGGCTAGTATAACCTTTGTGATGGCTTATATTGGTTATCAATTATAATTCTTCAAATTTCCCTGCTAGTGACTGGTTTCTGTTGTGCAGCTCCCACCTTCTAATGACTCCACAGCTTTCAAAATAATACCAAAGACACTCGAAACATGAACCATTGGGCGGATTACTTATTACAATCTTAAGTAATATATCTATGTTTTAAAGGTGGCTCCAGTCAGTAAAGAGGTACTGGAAACAAGTAGACAGTGCAATGGGAAAAGGAACTTTTTCCAAAAGAAATGCTGGCTCCCACGGCAGTCATCACAAAGACCAAGTGCGAGCCAGACAGTCATACAAAGTTAGACTTGGTACGTATGCTCTGTGCATTGGTATTAATCTTGTTTTTGTTTGGTTTGGCTGCTTGATTTAAAATTATTCCACTCATCACATTTCTAATCATTTGGAAAAATCTCCCTCTTCCCCTTTTAGTGCTCTATGGGGAGAGATACAATGATCTAGAGAAGTATCTGTGTTCTGTGAGACAAGATGAGGTTTGCTTTGATCATTTCCATCCATGTGCTTCACTAACCACAGATCATGTAAGTAACAGCCTTTGCCACAGTTTTCCCACAGAACAGCACTGCCCGGCTAACAACTGAATATGTAATACTGTGCAGATAGTAACGGAAGCACAGCCTGATACTAGCATGCAGAGGAAACACTACGACTTTGATTTAAAAATGAACAGCAGTGTGCTAGTTTCCCTAGTTTCTCAATGTTATGATGCTATCAGGATCCTTGAAGTTCAAAAACTACTGAATACTATAACTTGATGGTTTTGTAAGTTTGGGGGCCCTATTTCTCCCTACTCTCCTCTTTGTTAGGCACCCATGTCTGCTTGTCTCTCTTTACTAGCTCACGACTGCACCACTAATGAAACGCTGAGGACTTAACCTCTCCTCTCAGTGCAGCTACAGCTACACTAAGCTACAGTAATGGCCCAGTTCAAACTCCAGTTTCAACTGAAATATGGAAGAAATCCAGTGCCTTAACTTATACTAAGAACACAGATGCTAAGCCAGCCATCAATAATAAAGAAATCCTTTTGTTTCCTCCCTCTCTTCCTTTTCCCCTCTTTCCTTCCTTGTCCTCCGACTCCCTTTCTGGTATCTACAGATTTTCAGACATTCTCAACATTATCCAGTATCTGTAAAAGTAGCACAGTGCTTTAAAAATTGCTTGTTTTGTGTAAAGTGAATAAGACATGTTATCTTTAAGCAGCCTCAAGTATACTGGTTCAATGCTTGCTCCAAGTCCCTTCCCCCTCCACTTGGTAGCTATTAATGTTGTAGTTGGAAAGCAATAGCGTCGCTACAGTGTGGTCTGACCCTACATGACTTCTGCAAAGGTCATGCTGTTGTATGAGCCTTAAGAGTTTTAGAACTTGGTAGCAAGAATACAGAGTAAATGCTAGGCTTAGGCATTGTTAAATAAATTTTTAACAACCACTTGCACAATATGTACTTATACAGGCCATTTCCTATGGAAGAAAAATAGAAATGAGTATAAATTCCAAATGTGTAAATAATTCTGAACATTTTTATTACACTTAGATTAAATGAATGAACTGAGTGGGTTAAAAATACCCCAGAATGTGATAAATTGTAACAACATAAAGAGAAGAATCATCTACCTCTGCTTCCTTTATGGCTATGTCAGAAAAATGATTTCCAAAAGCAAGAGATAGGAGAGTTCAAATGAACTGCCCTGAACCCAACAGAAGCAAGGGATCACCAGTGAGGGTTTGCCCTCAGCCATCTATGTCTTGTTTCTGGCAAACTGCGGCCTTGTTTGACCTTTGCCCTCAATTATCGTGCCATCCAGGCACAGCTGCTGCTGTCTGGAGAGCTGTTGGCCTGGGAAACTCTTGAAAGAACTACCATCTCTTGCTCAATGTAGAGTGATGGTTAAGATCACCCGTGATACTAGGAACACTTGGATTTACAATATAACGAAAGGACAGAACACCGCTGTATGGTGATTCACTGTTACTTCTCTTTGCTCTCTGCCTAAATTGGTTCAGGTTTTGCCTCTTTGCTGGTTTGTTGTGGGAAACAACAAGATTGAACCCCAGCTTGGACCATAGAATTATTAAATTCTTTAAAAATTATGAAATATGAACTTATTAAGTGATAAAACATATCAGTGGATGGTGAGCCAATCATGTGCCAGACATTTGGCTAAGACCCATATCTATTATCAAGTTTATTTCTCACAACAATTTAGTGACACAGACAAAAGAAATGTTTTATCTTTAGAAATGAGGAGACGGTAGTGTAGCTGGAATTATCTCTGGTCCTGCCGGCCCCACAGTCCCATGTTCCTCAGGTCCTACCTGGCCCTATGGTCCCTCAGCCACTTATAAAATAATCTCTCAGAGGCTTAATATTATTTTCAAACTGTATGGCCTATGGTACACCTCTCGCTAGCTAGCTCTTGTATCTTAAATTAACCCTTTTCTATTCATCTGTGTTTTGCCACGTCTTCCGTGGCCTTACAGGTCTGCTGGCTCTGCTGCTCCTTGGGTGGCAGGCTAGCGTCTTTCCAGACTCCTCCTTTCTCTTTCCTGTCTCTCTCCTTGGATTTCCCACCTGCCTCTAAGCTGCTTTGCCACAGGCCAAAACAACTTACATATTAACTAATGGGAACAACATATATTCACAGAGTACAGAAAGCTATCCCTCAGGACTGAAAATGGTGTAAAAGGGTAAGAAACTTGAGAAATGTCAAGCCTGTGACTCAGCAGAAGATTTCTATTTTAAAACTTGCAAGGATTCTTAGATTAATTTTTGTTTCATTTTGGTCTGGCCAAAAAGGTCACCACTCTCAAGCAACAATTAAAAAGAGAACACAAGGCTAGCATTGGCTGTGGGGGTGGATGGATGTCTCTGCAGTTAAGAGAACCCTGCAGAAGACCTGAGTTTTCTTCCAGCACCCACACTGGGTGATTCACAACAGCCTATAACTCCAGCTCCAGGGTATCTGTCACCCTCTTTTGGCCTGGAGGGAGGGGGCAGAACCCCCCCCACACACACACATAATTTATAAAAATTCTTTTTTAAAGGCAATATGCTCAATGCAGTCTTCACCGTTTTTCCCAGCTCTTAATGCTCAAAAGTATTCCTTGTAAATGTTTGCATCTTGTAGGTAAAATAAAATATTAATAAATTTGATTTAATTTTAATCATAGATTGAAAAGTATGGATTCCCTTCTGATCTTGCCTTTTCACCTCGAGAAAGCATCCAGCTCTATGACACTATGCTTCAGGTCTGGAAGAGTTGGCCTCAGGCCCAGGTAAACAATCTTCATGGAATCCATGCTGTTATGGTAGAACTAACTCACCATTACTGTTCAGAATCACATGGTCACCATTTCTACCACTTACATTTGGTGATTTAAAATGATTGGCAGACCTTTTCCTAGAGGAAATGGCCTCCTTATGCCTTCCCAGTTAAATGGGCTAGAAATGGTATTTTATGTCAACTCCTGAAAATGTCCCTTCTTTCTCCTTCCCAGACACTGTGGTATCTGGGTCTCCTTTCCCACTCTGGGTTTCTAGTCTTCAGATTCTTTTCACCTCATTTTGTTCTCCGTGTCCTGAGTGCTGGTTGCTTTCCCCAGAGACCTGTTTGCTCTGTCTTCTTGCCTTTGAAGAGTTCATACATAGTTCTATATACTAGAAGGTATGGGGAGGTAAGAGAAGTCCACTGCCTCTAACCTAAGAGATCGTAAAACTGTCAATGAAAAAATATAATTGAGAAGTACCTTTAAGTTTTCTGGCATTATTTTTATAGAATTTTATGTTCTTCCTTTCCCAGAACCTGTGTCCAGAGAACTTCGCTCATTTTAAGAACAAAATCGTCATTAAGAAGTTGGATGCTAGAAAATATGAGGAGAGCTTAAAGGAAGAATTCATGAATTGGATTAAAAATGGAAATGAGAAGCAGGTAATTTCACACGTTTTGGGCAAAGCATTCTGTTTTTTCAATGCTTATTTTAGAATTTTAAGTTTGACTTGATGTGTGGTGATTCTGAGCTGGAACAAAAAAGAGAAAGGAATTTTTTTTTTAATCTCTTCTTCAGTGTCTCCTAAACTTGGCAAGACACCATGGGTTCCTCATGGATTTGATGGCAGACAAGAGAGAAATACAGGGCTCGTGGTTGGGACAATTGATGTTTTTGCAGTTTAGAGATGGGACTCAAGGAACTGAAACACATTGTCACCTTTCTTCCTTTCTTAGTTTTGGAGTTTTATTCTCTTTAACAAGTTATCATTTGGGGATTTCATGTGCATGTGTTTTCAGATCCACTCCCCAATCCTCCCCCACCAAGTCCTCCTATATCCCTCCTACCATCCCTTCCAACTTCATGCACTCCTTTCAAACTCACTGAGTCTGCTCAGTGTTGCCTGTGTACGCGTGGGTGCAGGGCCATGTTCTCCTGGAACATGGGCAGCCTATCAGCATATGAGAAAAACACTGACTATCTCTCTTCCACGGAAGACATCATTTGGCAGTAGCTCCTCAGCGAGGGTTTGTGAGCCCCTCCCCACTCATGCTGAGATTATTTCAGACTTGATCTTATGAGTTTGTTTGCAGGTATCCACAGCTGTTGTGAGCACATGTGTTCCATGTCCCTGTCGTGTCCAGAGACACAGGTTTGCAGCTGTTTTGGGGGTTTTATTCCTCATGATCTTTATTTTAAATGGTAAGGACTCTTTAAGTAAAGAAGTCTTACCCTAGAACTAGATGCTTACACATTTATTTTGTTTAAATTTATCATCAAAAATTGAGATTTCTGATTTTTTTTTTTTTAGGAATAGTGTACATGATATCTTTTTCCTGTGATCCTGTCCCCACTCCTGTACCTTGATTTGTTTTTTATTTCATTTGGAAACATAATCTAGTTAAGTTACATTTTCCTTTGGCTATCTCGTCATTCAAAACCTCTCAGTCAGGTTTAGTATATTTTCCTATGCAGTGTGGAGAGGACTCCTTTCTCCTGCTATGGCGGAAACATTGCTGACCGAGCAGTGCTTTTCATCCTGCTGGATTTGTGTTGTCTCAAACAACTGCAGGTGTGTGCGTGCAGTACACCAGAAGTTTGTTATCAAGTCTGCGGTTTGCATGTGTCTTTGCTGTGGCTTACCACAGTCCTGTGGTGTAGTCTCATAAGATTATTTTGGAGAATGACAAAAACAAAGATTAAACAACTATGAAAATAGTTTCTTTGCTGTGCACATTTTAATACAAATACTTTCCATTCACTCACCATCACAGGCCAGGATGGTGCTGCAGAAACTGAGTCCCGATTTCCATGACTACTCAGGGCAGATGTTGGACTTCTTTCCGAATCTTGTTGAGAAGCTCAGGGAAATGGAGAAGTTGCCTGCACTGTTCTTTCTGTAAGTTATATAACATTGTGACATAATTTGTATTAGGCTCCTTCTTTTTTTTTTTTTTTTTTTTTTTTTTTGGTTTTTCGAGACAGGGTTTCTCTGTGTAGCTTTGCGCCTTTCCTGGGACCCACTTGGTAGCCCAGGCTGGCCTCGAACTCACAGAGATCCGCCTGGCTCTGCCTCCCGAGTGCTGGGATTAAAGGCGTGTGCCACCACCGCCTGGCTAGGCTCCTTCTTTTAAGGTACAGGAAATCATATACACGTTACCACTGTGGTCTAGTACTTATTATTACTTTGGGAGTTTGTTTTCTTGTCAAAATCATATGACTTATTTAAAGTCCTAAAATTGTCTAGATCCACTTTTTGTTGTTCTGGTTCTGTTAGTTTGTTTGAGATAAGATCTTGATATGTGCCCAGGCTGGCCTTTCTGCCTTAGTCTCCTCTCTGCTGGGATTAAAGACATGCATGCACCATTATGCCCAGTTTTAGTTATGTTCCTAAAAAATATTTTTAGTTAGCCAGGCAGTGGTGGTGCACACCTTTATTCCCAGCACTTGTGAGACAGAGCCAGGTGGATCTCTGTGAGTTCGAGGCCAGCCTGGTCTACAGAGTGAGATCTAGGACAGGCACCAAAACTACACAGAAAAATCCTGTCTCAAAAAAAACAAAAAAAAATTTTTAGTGTTCTTTTATTTTTTATTAAGTTTGATACCTCGTTTTCTTGTTTTACTATAAAGTATTATTTTTGTTTGTCTTAGGTATTACTAATAATTTTCAGTACAGATCTTGATTCTTTGCAAAGCCCATTGAACATAGCCATCATCGTTACTATCCTGCACAAAATTTAAAGTTTTTATAATATGGTACATTATATATTGGTAAACTATTAAGCTATTTCAAATGAATTGTAATGAGAACTATAACCTAGAGCCAGTGATAGCTTGCTAAATTTCATGTTACAGAATGTAGTAGCTTAAAATGTAATATACTAGTTTAATGGATACAGTTCTGATAAAATGGCACCAAGGATAATTGTTTATAGATTAACCAATAGATTATCCAATAAATAAAACCATTGTATTATAAACCTTAATACTTATGCACATGCACAGAAACATATAGTAATGAATCATAACTGGTGATAGAAACTCAAAACAATGGTAGTAGGTGAGGCACGGTCCTATTTGATTATTTTTGGAGATTCTAGTAAAGTTGTTCCTTTTGCCTGTGTATGTAGAACAAGAGAAAAACTCCTTCCTGTGCCATGAAAAATTCATACAGTTATCTGCTTCCCTTCCAAGTACAGCCATGGGTATTGGAAGCAAGAACCATTCTCTGTGTCTGAGATACGTATGCAAGCTTAACCGCAGTGTTGAAATCACAGAACAATTCTTTATCATTTATATATTCGTATGCATAGGGATTTGAGCACATGCAGTTTTTCTTCAATCCCGTTGAAAGAATTCAATTGGTCAATATGGGAAAAGCATACTCACTGATTTAGGATAAATAGTACGTGGCATGGGAGCTTCATAAGGAAAGGGTGACCCAATGACATGAGGAACAGACACTTCAGCCTGAACTGAACTGCAAGTTGTACAAGTGTGACACACTAAATAGGCATGTGCCATTGTCGTTCATGAAGGGGAGAAATAGATGCCCAGGGAGAAAAGCCTTGAGCACACTTCTCTCGCTCTCAACTTCTCATTCTTACTAAAAGAAGGGCCATTCTCCTTCTGGTACAAGGGTGGCATGTTCTGAGCTGTACGCTCATAAGGTATCTGAAAAGGCTAATAGTAACAAAATATGACAGGTAAAATTCTGTGTGTGGAGTTCCATCTGGGTACTTTTAAAGGTACCTTTGAAAGACAAACTGTGGAAATCCTTTCTTTTTTTTTTTTTTTTTTTGGTTTTTATTTTTTTATTTTTTTATTTTTTGGTTTTTCGAGACAGGGTTTCTCTGTGTAGCTTTGCGCCTTTCCTGGAACTCACTTGGTAGCCCAGGCTGACCTCGAACTCACAACGATCCGCCTGGCTCTGCCTCCCGAGTGCTGGGATTAAAGGCGTGCGCCACCACCACCCGGCCAGGAAATCCTTTCTTACATGCTGTGTGAGTGTTAGTCTTTAGCGGCTTATCACATATTGATAGCCCCAACATTCTGTACCCCGATGTTTGGGAAAAAAAAATGTGTGGAACGTGTTTAGAGGTTTGGAGGTTGGAAACGTTGATCAGTGCTTAAGGGTATACGTTTCAAGGCCAGGGCTCAGCGTAAATCCCACTTCTCTCCTTGTAGCTGTGTCACTGATTGCCAGGTACCCAGTGACAGTAATCAGAGAATTTTGGTGAAACCAAAATCCAAAGGTCATGGGTGTGTAGTCCAGTGGTATAAAATATTAACTGCTGATGTGCCATTTCTAGGTCATTTTCATTCTGTGTAATTCTGTGCCAGAGAGACTTGGGAGGCACAGTTACTTTCAAGCGATGTAGTAGTTTTTTTGTTTTGTTTTGTTTTTGTTTTTTGTTTGTTTTTTTTCTTCGAGACAGGGTTTCTCTGTGTAGCTTTGGCGCCTTTTCTAGAACTCCCTCGGTAGCCCAGGATGGCCTCAAACTCACAGAGATCCGCCTGCCTCTGCCTCCTGAGCGCTGGGATTAAAGGCATGCGCCGCCACCACCGCCTGGCAATGATGTAGTAAATTTTTGAAAAGAGGTACTTTGTGGTGGAAATGGCTGGAACTTTCATGACATAAAAATAATATCACAATCGTACAGTCAGAAACGTGGATTAGAAGACACACTCTGTTACATACAAGCTGTGCATACTCATGGGTAGGCCCTTTAATCTATTTATATCTTCATTTTCTCATCTGTAGTACGGGAATGATAGAGTTGGCATAATACTTGGTATAATGGTTCTTGTATCAAATGAGTTATTACATTCAAGGCACTTAGAATTGTCCCTGACAACAGTAACTATAATCCATTTATTCTTCTTCTTATTTTGTTACCTGATTTAGTCAAGTAGCATTGATGGCCATTTCTTAGTTCCTGCTTCACCAGGGTAACTCCCTCCATCACTGTGGATTGTATTTTTCTAATTCATTTTTGTGACATTGACTGGGCTCAATCCCAGGGCCTCACACACTAGAAAATCATTCTACCACTGAGCAATAGCCTCAGGCATTTTTTTCCCTTTCTGTTTTCTTATAAGATCTTACCAAGTTACCCAGGCTGGTTTTGAACACATTTATATATTAGGCTAACCTTCAACTTGTGATCCTCCTGCCTCAGCCTTCCTCCTAGCTGGGATTGTAGTCAGGCCTGTGACAACAGGCTCAGCCTCACAAATTTTAAAATACTGGGCTTGCAAAGTTTTGCTTTTTTTTAAAGAAAATCTTTTGTCCCACACTTTAAGCTTAACTTTATTATAAAATTCCAACCTGTCATGTGCTATAATATAGTACAGCGATGTTGCCCAGTGGCTACTTCAGACACAGTGTTTGGCTCCTAGGCAGTGTTGAAATGAAATGATTTTTCTCAAGCCTGCTTGTCATCAGAATCTCTACATTCTAAACATTGTGAAATTCATGTGATGCAAATGAGGTGTGTTTGCTTTTACTGTTTCTGGAGAGAGAATTTGACCAGCAATGTTTGTCGCTCAGATCTCAGAAGTCTAAATGGTTGAGATGCAGACAAGGTCCGCAGGGTGAGCCCCAATGTGCCAAGAATTCTGCCCCTTTAGAGTCCTAGGTATTTATATTTTCAAGGTATAAAGGCCATGTCTAGCAGACCTTCTGGCTTGTAAAAGCTATGACCTCCAGGGCTTCCTCCCTTCTAGAAAGAAGTAATCATGTGATAGTGAGAAACTATGCCTCTTTCCATTTTGTCAAAAGAACAAATTTTTTGGGTTGACTAAAAACTTTTCTCATCTTTCAGGAAGGTGTGTGAAAAGTGGGGGTGATTTTTTTTTCTGTTTACAAATCACTGCTTCGGTTGTTCCTGGGCATGTCTGTCCTGTGGAGAGTTTCCATGAGCTCACACTGCAGTGTAACAGGAATATGGCATTGGAGAAACTTAAGTTTCACTTCACGGTCGCTAATTTGGAGTATGTGGACCTAGAGCACCCAGAATTCAGAATAAAATTCACAAAGGTGGGCTTCAAAAACCCACAGGTATATGTCACTGTTGTGGTTTTCATGTGACATGCTTTCCACCAGTGTGTGTTTGGACAGTTGGTGCTAGCTGGTGATGCTGTTTTGGAAGGTTTTGGAAAGTTATGAGATGCTACCTTACCCATGGACCTGGTCTGGGATGTCGTCATTTATACTTCTCAGATCAGAGCTATGAATTAAACAACAGACTTGCAGATTATATTTGGGCCGATACGTAAGCCTTTCTGGGTACCTTAATGCTTTTCTATTGCCATGAAGAGACATCATGGCCAAGACAACTTGTAGAGGAAAGAATTTACTGGGGTTCACAGTTCTAGAGAGTTATAGTCATTGACCATTATGGCAGGTGGATGTGACAGCAGGCAGATAGGCATGGTGCTGGAGCAGTAGCTGAGAGAGTATATCATTATCAGAAAGTAGGGTTCAGAGAGAGATAGCTAACTGGGAATGGCATGGGCATTTGATACCTCAAAACCTGATCCCAGTTGCACACCTCCACCAACAAGGCTACACCTCCTAATCCTTCCCAAACAGTTCCACCAACTACAGACTGTATTCAAATACATGAGCCTGTTGGGGACCATTCTTAGTCAAACTACCATCCTGGGCCACTGGGGTCAAGTCGTGAAGTCTTACAGCCAGCCCCACTTTCTGTTTGTGTGCCGCCTCCTGACTATAGGCACAATGTCTATAGTGAATGGCCACATTTTGTCACTATGCTTACCTTATCCCAGAATAAGTAACTGTGTCCTTTCAAACTGTAAGCCAGTTTAAACCCTTCCATAATTGCTTCTTGTCAGCCATTCACTCATAGCCAGGAGAAATGTAACGCACAACCAGAAAAGATGGAGAGACCTAATCTTATGACAATATGATATTTTATTTTATATTTTAAGCTTTTAAAAGAAGCATTTATTTGTAGTATGTGCATTACAGGAAACACAACACAAGAAGCCAAGAACAGCCCCCTAGTCACAAGCAGCTCAGCTTGATGTGTCCTTCTAGATGCTGCAAGTGTACATTCATTTAGGGAATTGAGATTATACAGCATGTACCATGCTTTCCCCCACATTGCGAATATTCACCAACTAAAAACCCCACGCTACAGGAGTATTTTGATAACCAAGAATACACCACGCTATCTCAGTCTGTCAGACAAAACTGTAATCCTGTCTTCCTTGGCAACAAAAATTTCATAGAAGACAAAAATGGCAGCAGGCTTCTAGATAGAAGCACTGGCGAAGTTACAATTAAAATTCTGCATTCCTCAGTGCTCAGCTTACAAGAAAACAAAGCCACAGACCACATGAAGTACAGCAGTCCTAAGTTTATCACCAGATCTATATACTAAAATATGAGGAAGAAGGCGTGTTCCTGCCCAATAAATGTATTCCTATGGAGTAGCTGAAGATTCACCTATGGCAGGGCTTCTCAGGATATCAGTTTCTTCCCTCCTACCTCCTCAATCCACTGAACAAGTACAGCTAGTGCACTGTTCTCAGAGGTGGGTTAACTATTCTAAACATAGTATCTCCAGTTTTTCAAAAACTATTTACACAAAATAGTATTCTACTACTTCTACTTTTAAATGTATCAAGCACTTTTAAATATGTAGAAAGACTAGGGATTTCATTAAGACCTTATCTGCTATTCACACTGCACTGGTAGATAACTGTTTGCAAAGCAAAGGTTATAATCTGAGGTATCTTCTAAACACAACCCTCTGGGCTTTGATGACCCACTTTCTTCCTCCTCTCTGCCTTCAAACCAGTAGACAAATACAGGTATATGTAATGCTTAGAAATAGCTGAACAAATTCATATTCCCAAATCATTTACAGAACAATCTTTCCTATAAATTTTAACAGGGTACACAATGTGTTAATTTTACTTTGTCATAGACTGGCAACCTCTCTAACATCTAGAGACTAGAAGCTGAAGATTTCACAGATTTGTCCATTATTTACAGTATACACCCAGCAACACAAAATGCAAATTTACAGAAATGGCATCTGAAAGGTCCCATATAAACACTAGCACATGACCGCGCTGCCTCCCAGTACTTCCTCCAAACCACTGAGCAAGTACAGACAGTACTGCTCACAGAGGGGTTCAAATTCTACTCCCAAAAGGCAGTGTATCATGAATTTTAGCAAAAAGATATTTACAAAGTGATTATTTTACTACCTCTACATTTAACATACGTTGGGCACTTCTAAACATCTAGATAGACCAGATGTTTCAAGTAAGGACTGTTGTCCACTATGTACACAGCAATCCAGTAAACGGCACACATGTAACAAGAGTAATAAAATTTTTTAACACAAAAAGAAAAAAATTTAACACAAAAAGTACAAAATGTATTGTTCTACTACCTCTACTTTGTCATACCCTGGCAACCTCTAACATCTAGAGCGACCAGATGTTGTAAGTTAGGACTCCCATGTCCTTTACATGTACTGTGTACACAGCAAAGCCAAACACAATAGGACAGTGGTTTCTTTTCCACCCATGGAGCACAATGGCTTGAGCTCTGCGTGTCCTTCTCCCAGGAACCAGGGCCCAAACACAATGTGGTCAACTCAGGAGGGGTGTGGCTATTCTTCCCCAAATAATATTTCAAATGAATCCTAACAAAAACGTATTTACGCGATGTGTTGTTTCGCTACTTATAAAATACGTCAGGCACTTTAGAGCATCTAGAAAGATATTTCCAAAAAATACTTGGCATTGTCAAACACACACACACACACACACACACACACACACACACACACACACACACACACGGGTGGGGGTGGGGAATGAATAAAATGCATACACAATACAATAGTTAGAACATCCAGCACTTGGGAGGCAGAGGCAGGCGGATCTCTGTGCGTTCGAGGCCAGCCTGGGCTACCAAGTGAGTTCCAGGAAAGGCGCAAAGCTACACAGAGAAACCCTGTCTCGAAAAACAAAAAACAAACAAACAAACAAAAAAAAAAAAAAAAAAAAAAAAAGACGACGTCTTCACACGACCAATCTGGCTCCGGACCTCTTCTTCCTCCGGCTGGCTGGGTCCTCCAACTACTGAACAAACAAGGACGAGTGTTGCTCCTGGGTCTTTCTAGAGGTGGCCTAAACAATTCCTTTTCAAAGTCACTTCTAGAAGACACGTCTACGATGTTTTCAAAGACGACTGGGTACACACCTGATTTCCGATTTCCTACCTCTAACTTTACCCTGCATAGGCAGTCTCTACAGCTAGATGTCCAGATTTAGCCAAAGGTCTCTCTAAAAGGGTCGGGGATAAGGTTGAGAGCAGCTTTTTCATATTATGTACAAGGTCTTCTACCAGCGGCGGGTAAATCTTCGCCAGCTTTGCTGAGCGAGGGCCGCATGCGATGTCACGTCCCTTCCTCCGCTCACCTCCCTCCAGGACCGTCGAGGCCTCTGTTCATCCAGGTCTGGGGGTTCTCATCAACCGGGCGGTCTCCTCCCAGCGATGGCCCAGTGTTCCTGCGCAGACCCGCCGCCTCAGGCTGCAGAGGCCAGGAAGGGACAAGCTTGGCCTTCGGGTGGCCGTCATTCTTTCCGCCGTGCCACGCTGGAGAAGTCCTCGCAGGCCCGGTTGGGGCATCTCCATGGCCCCGTCCTGGAGAGCAGGGGCCCGGTGCAGTCCAGGAGGCCGTACAAGAGGTCACCGCCAGGATGGAGACCGAGGCTGTTCCCGGGGCCCCCCCAGGCTCACCCAGCACAGGCCGGAGGCCACGGGGGGGCCCGGAGTAATATGATATTTTAAATACACGTTCGTTTGCTTCCAGATTTAGATTAGGTTCTGTAGAAAACTGTGCTGAGGCTGCCTGCGAATTCCTGGAGAAGAAACAGGAGGAGAAAAGGCCTCCCAAAGCTGATAAAGAAGCTCATGACATGGCTAACAAACTTCGAAAAGTTAAAAAATCTTTGGAGAAACAAAAGATAATGTAAGTATTTCACTAAGCAAATTGGCCACATAAAGGTTTGTTGAGCCCAAATGGCCTAGTAGGAAATGCTCATTTGAAAATGCTTTATAATGAAATTCTAATTATGACTTGGATTGTTTTTGTTTTTAAATTTCAGAGGGAGAATTGGGTGGAGATAAGTGACCAGCAGCACATATTCCTTATTTGAATAAATCAGTTTAATATACGGTTGTTTGAAACAGGTCCAGATTCTCTCAGTCTATGTGTTTTACAGAACTTGACAAGATCATCCCACATTGCCCATGTGACTCTGTCTTGACTCATGATACATTATCACTGTGTGAGCCATAGACTGAGTTTTGGACTGGACTACAACGCCAATTTTACACTTGGAAGGCCATTGCTCTCAGGGTGTAGCTAATGTGTCCTCCTCATGGTCCTCTCCACCTTCAGTGACTGTGTGGGTTGGAAACTCTTCTTATTTCTGTTCTCTGAATCCTGTGCTCATTCCTGGACTTATACCTATGCTTCCTTGTTCTACTTTGTTTAGTTAGGAGATAAATTGTTCTGTATTTTTAAAATATACACTCTGACCATACCTAAAATGAAAAATGTAAAATCCCAAATCCTTCAAAATCTGAAACTTTGACTGCTCAGGTAGTACTGTATGTGGAAATTTTTACATGATAAAAATTTGCTTTATGTACACATTTATTTAAATTATGTATAAAATTGCCTCCAGGTTGTATGTAAGAGTAGTATAGATAAAATCTAAATAAATTTTCTTGTTTAGACTTGGGGTGCCATCCCAAGATATGCTGTTATTTTTTGGCCAATATTTCAAAATCCAAAACCTAAAACTCAGTTCCCAAGCTCTTTGTATATGGGACACTAAATCTTTATTAGTTTCCCTAAATCCTAAGCTTCTTTACAACAGGAGGCATACATTTTTCTCTTCTCATCTCCATAGCCTGTCTGATAATAGTTGTTCCAAGGATTTTTACTTTAAAACTATTATAAAAACATATTATTACTATTGGGAATTTTATGCATGAGTATTATGTTTATATCATTCCTCCACACACTCTGACCCCTCCAGCTCCTCTCCTCTCCTGTCCCTTCCCTTTCAAATTCATAATCCCTTCTTTTGTAATTAGTACACACATACACACACACACACACACACACACACACACACACACACACATACTCACTCACATACTAACAGATTCTATTGATTCCATTTAGTGTGCATATATGATTACGTGTTTAGTGATGACTACTTGGGATTGGATAAGCTATCAGGAGGCTAGTAACTAGAGAGGACTGATTCTCCCTCTTTTGCCAGCCAATTAATTGCCTATACCTTTTCATCTAGGGGTGGGTCCTCCTGAGATTTCCCACATTCGTGTTTGTTATGGACTAGAATTGCCACTGTTCAGGTCTTGTTTGGGTGACCATATAGTTCAGATTTTGTGGACACAGCTTCTCTGTCATTTATAGAAGACATTATCTGACAGCAGATGTCCTGATCCTCTGGTGCTTACAGTCTTTATGCCCCCATTTCCTCAGTGTTCCCTGAGCCTTACGCGTAGGAGTTGTGTTGTAGATGTATCAAGTGGAGATAGGCACCCCATGGTCAGTTGTTCTCTGCCTTCTTGACCAGCTGATGATATCTATGATGGGATTTGTCTTCTGCAAACAGAAGCTTCTTTGATGAGGGTGAGTGCTACACTTACCTGTGTCTGTAAGAACAAGTATTTAGAATGCTGTTGGTGGTTATACTGGTTTAGGGATGTGGTAGCAGTAAGTTACCCTTTGTGGTCCATTATTTCACCAGTGACTTGCAGTTGGTTAGGTTTATAGTACCAGGCATAAATATCCCACTACTGAGTGAGGCCTTAAGTCCAACCAGTTGTTGGTAGTTACCCCGGAGATGTAAGTGCCACTATTGCACCACTGGAGATATACTGCCATACTACTGTTGCAGTTTGTAGGCTTTACAGCTGGGTAAGACTTTTCATTGTTTTGTTCCCTTGGCAGCTTGGATAGTACCTTCAGGTGCTAAGAAAGCTAGTTCTTAGGGAGGTCTTGAGATTTTTTTTTTAAATTTAATTTAATTTTACACATCAGCCATGGATTCCCCTGTCCTCCCTCCTCCCTCCTCCCCTTGCCCTCCCCCCTGCCCACCCCCAATTCCCATCTCCCCTAGGGCAAGGACTCCCCTGGGGATTCAGCTCAGCCTGGTAGATTCAGTCGAGGCAGGTCCAGTCCCCTCCTCCCTTCACCCAGGCTGAGCTAAGTGTCCCTGCATAGGCCCTAGGTTCCAAACAGCCAGCTCATGCACTAAGGACAGGTCCCGGTCCCACTGCCTGAACTGTTTGAGATATTTTTAATGAAAGAGCTAGAACTCTTTTGAAAGTTGAAACAAACTTTTAGAGCACCTCTGATTTTAAATATTCCAAATTTTAGAGAAAGCTAGAGTTTGCTCTGGATCTTTTCATGTAGGGTGACTCTTCATGTTTTGCTGTTTCCTGGGTAGTATATTTCCTGGGTAGTATGGAGGAAGTGGACTCCCAGGGGAATGTAGGTAGGAAGTGTAAGATTTCTTGGGAAATGATCCTCCTTAGGATATCTCTGCTTCAGGGTTTCAGGAGCCACATGGTCAAGGTGGGTTGGTGACCAGCAACTCAAAGCTGTCAAAATGAAAGGTGTTTAATATATTCAGCACTCTCACTGTAAGGAGGATGGGGACCCTACTTCATGCCCTATGCATTGGAGGACAAAACTCTGACCCTTCTCTGACTTCATCCATTTCTATAATAAAAGAACCCCTAAAGAAACACACACACTAAGAGCTCACTTTTACAGGGTCATGCGTGTTGAGCGGGAAGGACATTTTGTCTGTTTTCTTTAGCAGTTTTTATTTATTAACAGTGATTTACTTAATAGTTCAAAAAATTGAGTTAGACAACATTCTGTATTCCTCTGTAAGTCCGTTAGCATGTGTTTTGAAAACATACAGCTGGTCATAATCATGACATTTCCTTCCTCATTAAGGTTAATGCTACTTGGAGGTGATGTATTCTAGATGTGTGTTGTATACCACTACATGGTAGAATGCAAGTGACCTCATCTTCCTAGGTTCAGAAATATCTTATTTGCATGGTTGAGACAAAAAAATGTGAAAAAAAAGTATACATGAACCTAGTGATTGTAAAAGCCTGGTATACTCAGAGGTCCTGGAGAATATAGAGTGATTACTTAAGGGTCTCAGCCAGGTTATGTAGCACATGATGAGAAGGGCTGTCCATGTGTGTACATGCCTTGGTGAAGGGTGGGCACATAAGGAAATCATGAGGAAGACCAGGAGGAAAGCAAAGTTAAGAAGGTGTGGCTTCTGCTATATGATAGCCCAGACTTGGCCCCTGCTTGCAGTGTCTACCACAAGGAGGAAGGAGAATATCCTGAATTGGCAAAACAGAGAGAGGAGAGCACATACCTCCCACCTGAGTGTGAGAAAGGCTGAGGGAGAGAAAATGATCATCACATTAGCAAGATGAAGCAAGGTCATCTGGGGAATGGGAAATAATGGAGGAGAACACTATAGAAAAATGTCACATCCACAGTGGTTTTATCTTGATGGATCATAGGCTCCAGGGGCTGATGAGTAAACACATTAGGTGCAAGGGACCAAGTCATGATAATATAAATGCAAGAAACAATGATTCTGGCTGGTAAACATGACTTAAGATACTCTGGGATACTGTGGTGATTGGATATAAATACTGATTTTTTTGAAATTTTGTTCTTATAAAGAGATGAAAAAAGCCAGAAACCCTCCAGAAGATTGGATCAAAGCATCATTCACGAAGCTGAACACAATTACCTCCTGAAGAGTCTGGAGAAGAATCTGGCAGTTCCTCAGGACTGCACGTATGCTGATCAGAAAGCAATAGATGATGAGGTTAGCACCCAGAAGGGACCGGTGCTCCCAGAGAGTATATTGTTCTTCAGAGAAGCCTCTTCCATGCACACAGTATTGACCATACAGCATGAAATTGCTCCCATCAGGGAAGTCTCTATGAAGTGGAGACATTGTAGACAGGACCTTTGCTGCACAGAACATCCAAGTACCTTGCAGTGCACACTGAAGATAGGCTCAAGTTTTGTAGTCTGATTTTGTCCTGATGACAAATTACCCAAGTGGCTGTTTTTGCACCATGTCTTCTGTAAAAGTCTGTATATTAGGGTCAGAATTTGTACCCCTGTAGACTACTATATTTAGAAACTGACAGTATTTCTTAAAATCAGAGTCTTTCTATATTGCAGTTAAAAATTTTCACCAAAGAGTCATTGGGATATCTAAAATTGGGTTAGCCCATCATCTTTAAACTTTTTGTCCTTCAAACTATTCCTGTTTTAGACAACATATTTAACAATAAATGCAATGTCATCACACACACACACACACACACACACACACACACACACACACACTCTCCCACATACATTTGCATGTTTTCATTGTATCATGATTCTTCTTTTGTCAGTTTCTTGGTCTGTCTAGTTTTCATGACCATGTATGGACACCATTGTTTTAATTGATCCTTGACATTCTGTCTTATAGACAATCAAAATATCTAGGCACTAGTCTTTTACTTTTGGAGACGTAAACTTGTCCCTTCTCTCCGACTGTTGATCTTTTTATATATTGTAACACTGGACACAACTGGAATTCCTCCTTATTATGTGGGTATTCTTAAGGCCATTAGTATGTCATTTGCAGTGGGAAGTAGGCATTTCTTGACCTTACAGTATAAAGGTTTTGCTTTACTTTCTGGAGAGAACTTTAGAAAAGATTTCATAGTCACTTGATCTTGTTTAGATAGAAGTGGGCCACAGTCTTGTACTTCCCTTGGGGCTGTCTACTACACTGACAGAGTTTTCTCTCTCACAATTGAAGTGAGATTGCCAGGAACTGAGAAGACTTTTCTTGTGACTGTTTTGCCATAAAACATTATTTTGTTGTTGTTGTTGTTGTTATTGATGATGATGATGTGTAGAGGAAAGGCCAAACAGTGACATCATTTGGCCAACATATTATGTAATATGTATATTAGTTTCATTGAACATTTTTGTTTGATTGAGGATTAGATAAACAATACTCTAAATCTCTTGTTTCTTTTAGTCGTTGCAGATGGTGTTTAGTCGAGTGAAATTTGAAAGAAAAGGTGCCATACTGAAGAATTTGGCAAGAAGAGGAATTGGCTATCATCACAGCTCCATGAGTGCGAAAGAAAAGCAGCTAGTCGAAATTCTCTTTAGGAAAGGATTCATTAGGGTGGGTCAATTTTTCATTGTAAAATTTGAAATTGTGAAGATATGAAGCAGAATGTTCATGAAATGAGGAAATACAGCCACCCCTTTACTTTTTTCCCCTCGTGTAGCTATGCCTCTTGGGCTGTAGATATTGTTTACTGACTGTAGCATCTTTGCATATGCTCCATGTCATTTAACTGGGGAAGAAGGTTTGACTGGTGTCACTCACGCCATACCCTTACACAAGGAAACGAAGCATGTCTATGCTGATCTCGGTGCTGTATCTTACTCTTTTGTTATTCTATGTAGGGTTTGTTGATGTGTTTTTGCTACAAATATTACCTCTAAGAATTTAGAAGATATTTATATTTGAAGCTGGAGCAGATCTTTTCCTAGTGTGGTAGCTGAAATCAGAGCACAGATCTCTGCTTTCTCAGGACTTCAGCTTATCTAAGCAGAGCTTGTAGACATGTCTATACTGAATGTCGTTTCTCCTGTTACTGATGGGGGACAAGAGGAAGATTGCCATAAATAACTTTCTGGCCACATCCTTATCGTGTTTTCTTTAGTGCATCCTGGGAAGGTTCATGGCAATAATCCAGACAAGTATTCAGAGGACACTTAGTATTTCTGAGTCTTGAGTAATCTTTAAAAATTGACCCTGACTACTAAAAATTATCAACCTTAAATTTTGTGTGGCATAGGCTAAAAGAAAAAGGATGTAAGGAAGAGAGAGAGAAAAATAGAAAGAGAAGTGACTGAAATAGTATCTGACAGTAATTTCTTTGTCACTAATAAAGTGATGAATAACTTGACTGATAACAGAACAGCTACTAGGCAAACAGTAATAGTTTCATCAGAGAGTACATTTTAGGAAGGCATTTGTCCTGTTCATTTTCTAAATGTAAAGCTCCTACTCTCTCAATATTTGTGCTTGTTAAAGAGATTTGAATTTAAAGGATTTAATAAGTACCATGTTTCATTTTGACAGAGGCATAAGCCTCAGTTACAAAACAATTAGAAAGCATCACTATACATCCTTAAACATCATCACAAACCACAGCACAAACAGCCATCAATCTGAAGAAATAGTGTGGATGGATTTTTCTTCAAGCTACCAGCTCACAAAAAAATGACATAGAGACTTATTATTAATCATGAAAGCTCGCCTATAGCTTAGGCTTGTCTTAACTAGCTCTTATAACTTAAATTAACCCATTTATATTAATCTACGTTCTGCTATGTGGTGTTACCTCTATTCCTCTCTTGCACCTCCTGTTTCCTCTCCATGTCTGGATGGTGACTCTGCTTTGCTTTTTTGTAGAGTCCTCTCTGTCCCCAGAAGTCCCTCCTAATCTCTTCATCTCTAGCTATTGGCCATTGAGCTCTTTATTAAACCAATCAGAAAGCACCCTGACAAAGACACATCTTCACAGTGTACAAAAAAATGATTCCAAACAAGATAGGACAAGTCAACATATATTAACCACATCAGGAAAAAAATGAACAAGAAGTTAGATTATGTGAATAAACTTTACATTCTTTTCTGTTTCTGATTAGTGATCATGCAAATTTATAACAGAAAAAGAAAATGCACTTTGTTCTTATGTCATTTCTCAATGAACTTTACTAGATCAAATAATTACCAGGAAGTAGGCTTATAAAAGATTTATTGCCCTCTTACAGAGAAATTCCTCTCTTAATATTTTACTTACCATGTTTATTGTAATACTTAATCCCATGCCAGATGTTCTACTTGGCTCTGGAGATACAACAGTGAATGATGCTTTGACTTTAGTGTTTGAGGGAAAATAAAATCACAATGATATTGAGGAACATTGAGGGAATAATGCAAAGAGCAGAGAGAGAGATGGTGATGAGAGAAGATAAGTATTTTAGATGTGGCCTCGAAGTTCCTCTGTGACATTTGCACCACACATTTGAGGTTAAAGTATATATTCCTTGCAAAGTGATGAGTATTATAATGATTCCATTAGAGAATGTGCTGTCAGTGTTTGCAAAATACGAAGAAACATTATGTGCCTCATCTCCTTAGTTTGCCCGCTGCAGTTTTATTGGAATTTCAATACAGTTTTTAGCAATTGCATGGAAATACTTGTATTCTACCAAAATGCCGGTTTGTAGAATCACTGTTTTGTTCCTTTTTAGGTGGTGACAGCTACTGGAACACTTGCTTTAGGAATCAACATGCCTTGTAAATCTGTGGTTTTTGCTCAAAACTCTATCTATCTGGATGCTTTAAATTTCAGACAGGTATTACAATATACATTAACTTAATGTAGTAATACTACACAACCCTGAATTAGTGAAAAAATTACTTTAACTACTGATTAATAACATGCTCCAGTTCATGGCAGAGCACTGTAGGTGAGTAACATAGGACTATGAGATTATGTGTGTGATCTTGGATAAGACATCCAATCTCCTGTCTTATCTGCAGAATATGGGTAACCATTACGACCCCATGACATGCACACAAACTAAATAAAGCAATTTGCAAAAAAAGGATCCATAAAAAAGATTATTGGGAAACATTTACTTTCTCATTTACTGAGCATGGGTTTTTCTACTCTGGAGCCATCTTGAATACTTTTCTTGACTCTCGGTACACAGTCTGACTCCAAACCAACCTCTGTGCTCTCCTGCGGTGTTATTTCATTGCTTCCTCACAATCTGTGCATTCATTATTGCCATGCTCTGCCCAGCTCCAGACACAGACCTAACTGGGGTGGCAAGGTAGTGAGAAAAGGACAGATACACAGACACACAGAAAAGCTGGGATCAGGTAGACTTGGCTCTCTGATGGAGAAATTATGTCACTTGGAAGTTCAGTGTGCTTATTAGACAAAGTTGAACAGAAAGCAGGGTTATTGCACACAGCTGAAAGAGGAAGCAGTTTAGCTAATCTTAGGAGCAGTGTCTAGAGGGGAGAAGTCTTCAGGCACAAATATCTGGGAAGAGAAAGCACGATGGACAGTTTCTGCGTACACCATTAACATCCAAACATGGATTAGAGGAAGGATTTCCAATCCCTTTGGGGGAATAAAGGTACTTTTCAATTCCCATGGGACTGAGGCATTGGGTCCTTGACATACCCATTCCTATGTCAATGGTATACATAGAATGTCACTCATTTCTCTCAGGGCTTCCTCAGCTCTCCACACATTTATCATTCACCACAAAGTCTTGACCTTGTGTATTAAAGCATTTTCCTTGCTTTTGACTCTCCTTGTTCTATTATTGTTCTGTAGACAATAGAGTTTGTCTTCATAGAGTTTACCTTCATGGAAATGTTTGGTCAATATTTCTGCTCGCATCGAATGTAGCTGTATCCACTAACATTCAAATCATATGGAGCATGTATAATTAATATTAATAAAACATTATCATGTAGTGTTATATGTTATATCATATATTATGTAATATTATATATCATAGGTAGAATATTTTATCAAGTAAGTAATTGCCAGAAGTGACAATTATATAATTATACAGCACATAATATGTTCATAGTATTAGATATATGATTTTATAAATAGATGTAGTTCTGTACAGCATTATATAAATACTTAGTATGATTAATGATACATGGGAATGACAGATATATTACTTAAAATAGCTCTGCTTCAGATACGATAAATTTTTTAGATTTTTCAATAGCAGCCTATTCATTTTAGCTAACCCCTGGGCACAGCATACTTGCTCTAAAAGCAGTGTAAAAGGCTTAGCTCTTTACATTCTCTTAGGAAAAACATTCAGGTGATTCTCACTGCATGATTCTGCTCTGTTTCCAGATGTCTGGTCGGGCTGGAAGAAGAGGGCAGGACCTGCTAGGTGATGTCTACTTTTTTGATATCCCGCTGCCCAAAATAGGAAAACTCATAAAATCCAAAGTACCTGAGCTGAGAGGACAGTTTCCTCTCAGTATCTCACTCATTCTAAGACTCATGCTGCTGGCCTCCAAGGCAGATGACCCAGAGGACGGCAAGGCAAAGGTGCTGTGTCCCTGTGATTAGACCTCTTTCTTCACCAGTGGCTTGGCTGAAATCAGCTCTCCTGTGCTTTTTATCAGGATTTTGATGCTTCTCAATGTTCTCTAGGGAGGGATGGAGGAAGCTGGGGGAAATGATGATAAGTTTTGTTTGTTTCCATTATCAGACAGAATTTGTGACTGAGTGGCCACTAAGGTGTTCCCATGATCACTGTCTTCTAGTATGATAAATAATATTGTCTTGTACCAGAAGGTGCCACATGTTTCTACCATTCAGAAACAAGAAGACTTTTTTTTATAATTATAAAGTAATAGTTTATTTTTTATAAGACAAAAAAATCTTTAAATTCTTTAAAAATGTTTAGAAAATGTAGAAAGTTGGAAAACAAACAGAAAAAAACCCAAACCAAACCAAAACAAAAAGGACTCATGCCTAGTTCTACCAAAATGATCTCCTTACTATTTTGGTTTTTGCTTTTCAGACTTTTTTTTTTTGAGGTATGATTACACACTTTATAAGGGTGTAAGTAAGTGGACATGGAGACATAATCAGAACATTGTCTTGATGCTTTAGGGTCAGATAAAACTGAGTCTGAGACCATGAATTTGAAACTCACAATTAGGTGATTTAATTTCCATTTTTGTGACAATACACTGTAAAAAGGACTTGTGTTCATTTTCTGTTGGCTGTAACATAATACCACAGGTGGAGTGAATTATGAAGAAAAGAGGTTTGTTTTGGCTCATGATTCTGAGGTTAAATGCTGAAGGGTATTATCTAGTGAAAGACTTTCTTTGAAGTGTTCCAAGTCACAGGACATTGCATGGTAATCAGGAAGCATGCAGGCCTGTCTGTCATCTCCCTTTTGTTCCTCTTGTAAAATCTATGAGGATTCCACCATGAGAGCCTTCTACTCTTAGGACTCCCTCTGGTTCTAGTTACTTTCCTAAGTCCCAGCCCTCAATACAATAGACAGCATGGAGATTAGATTTCAGCATGATCTAGGGACCACATTAAGACCACAGCAGGACCTATTGTTTCCTAATTCTGTGTATTAATTATTACTGAAGTGAGAATTCTGGCATTTCCCTAATCGGTTTGCTGGCTTTACAAAGCATTGTTTCAGACCAAAGTTTCTTCATTTTTGAATTCTTTTAAAATGACTTCTCTCTCCCTCTATCTCCCTCACTCTCTCCCTCCTTCCATTCCTCTGTCCCTCCTCTCCATCTGTCCCTCTCTTTTATTCTTTCTGTGTGTGCATATGTCATGGCACACATGTGGTGGCCACAGAACAAATTGAGGACGATTTTCAGGAGCCTGTTTCCCTCCTTCCCCATTCTGCGTCCTGGGTCCTGGGTATCCAACTCTGGTTGTATGTATTGGTGACAAGTGCCTTTACCCACTGAGTCATTCTATTGGCCGATTTTTCAGTTCTTAATTTTTACTTCTCTATAGAGACAAGTACATCTTCTAATAAGACATATTTTATTACTATTTTGAATAATAATATTAAATAATAACATAAAATGTTTTATTTTACTTATTATCGTGTATGATATGCATGATGTGAGCATGTGTGTGTGTGTGTGTGTGTGTGTGTGTGTGTGTGTGTGTATGTGTGTGTGGTGTGTGTGTGCATGCAAATGCCAGAGAGCACATGTAGAGTTCAGAAGACAACTTTGTAGATTCTGTTTTCTTCTTCTTACCTTTCCATGGGTTCAAAGGATGGAGCTCTAGTCTCCAGGCTTGTACACAAGCACCTTTATCCACTGAACTATCTCTCTGACCCCTTATTATTTTTTCAGAGAGATAATTGGGGGATTCATTTTCTTGTGTTTCGGCATATTTGAGAAGAGTGATATGATGCCTTTGCTTACTGGGTCCACTTGCAAGTATGGGCAGAAAATCTTCAGAGTGTGCTTTTTTTAAACTATGTATTGTTTATACAAAATGATGTGTTTTGTCATGACACTTCATGAGTGTACATTACATGCTTTAGATATCTCCTCCATGTCTCTGTTGTACTTCTCCATCCCTACCACTGGTGTCTTTCCTCATCTCAAACACTCTCTCTTCTACTTTCATACACATATATGTTTAAATCTAAAGATTTAATGAGAGAAAGCATGGATCGTGATGTTCTGGCTGCCTCTTAGCCTTCAGTACTGGGTATTTCATATTTTTTTCCATCTTCTAACTATGGCAACCAGGCTAATCTCTGCTGGCAGTCTTTGGGAGAGCCTGCCTCCAGGGTTTGCAAAAAAAAATCCATGAATGTGGTGAGGGCTAGATGTTTTATATCTGAGGGGTAAATAAGGAAACACACTCTATCTGATGGTAACTTTCTCTTTTACTTCATCTTAAAAATCTCTTTCTGAAAATTCTCTGTCTCCACACAGCTACATGTCTTTCCACTCAGTTACATTCTCTACACAGCTACATACCTTCACACTTCTTTACATAGCCATGTCTCTCTTCTACACACATTTCTTCTCTCTATTCTGCTACATTCCTTCACACACTACTGCATCATTCACTCACTCTTTACTCACTCCCTCTTCTTCTTACATCTCTCTCACTTTTCCTCCTGCATACTCAGTTACATCTCCTTTTCAGTGTGCATGCGCATGTGTGAGCACGTGTGTACACACCCCCCCCCAACAGCTGAACTCTGAACAATTAATTTTCAGGGTCTGACCCATTCTCATAACACATAAGTCACACAGTTTCTTTCAGGATAGAGAGGTCACACTGACTGGCCAGTGAGTAACACTTGGCTCTGCACATAATTCTAGGTGGTTAGGGTTCCCAAATAGAAAGTGACATTGAAATTCAGGACTTAAACAACAAATAGTTAGTTGGATGAACCTTGAGGTAGGGAGTACATGCAGAAAGCCAACTGCTGAGAGGACCTGTACAGGGAGCCGTGTCTCAATGTTATTAGCCTGACTTTGGTTCAACAGACATGTGGGAACTTGTCCTTACATATTTTATTTGTAGGGGCAGGTAGTCTGTTTTGAATTTGTTCTGTCTTTGACAATTAGCTGTCCTTGACAATACTGTTACTTTCCTATGTCAGTTATGAAAAATACCCTAGTATTATTTCTATTTATCAAAATTACACAGCTTAAGCAGAAGTCATCTTCCTGACCATCTACGGCTGTATGTGTGCCCAAAGATGAGATAAACACACAAGCAGTGGGAAAAATACCCATAGTTGTCTTTAGGGAATAAATGTGGTGGCACATGAGAAAAATTAGAGACAGAAACAACAGTGTTCAGAGCTAGTGGTCCTGTAAACCTTGCTTGAGGGGATTCCTCCATTAGGGAATTATTTCTCTGGTGGTAGGTTGACACCTGAACTATAAATTGCCATCTGTTGTATTTTCTTGTGGCCTCTGGTAAAGCCATTGCTATCAGCAGCTCTCAGGAAATCTCTTTCCTCATACAGTTAATTTGACATTTTTCTGCCTTCATAGAAATATGTCCTTATGCTTTTTATTTCAAATTATTTCCCTAAGCTCTACTTTCTGAAAGTAATTATTTATTACTTATTTATTCATTGATTATATTTTTTAAGAAAGGTTTTCTCTGTGTAATAGCCCTGGCTGTCCTGGAACTCACTTTGTAGACCAGCTAGCCTTGAACTCACAGAGATCCACTTGCCTCTGCCTCCTCAGAGCTGGGATTAAGAATGTGTGTCACCACTGCCAGACTTGAAGTGTATTTGAAAGGTGACTCTTTTGTTACTTTGTAAAGACATTGTTCCATCTTGCTATACAGGTTGTTTTTATGGTGAGGAGCTTTACATATGTTCTCCACATTGGCCACATTATACGTACAGCTCAGTGGTGTTAAGCATATCCACCATTACCGTGCTACGTTCAAGTATTTTTTGAAGTAAAAAACTCTCAAATTATAATTTTGGCAATTGCTTCTTTTATTGTTTCTTCTTCAATAAGTCATTATTTTTTCTAAAATTGCAAGTCCCATTTCCCCCTTTTGTCAATTACTGTTTTTGATTATGAAAGAACATAACATTTGTCTTTTGCATTACTGATTCAGATCTTCAAATTGTTGATCATGCTTACTTTGTTGTTGTTGGAGATAGGGCCGCATGTAGTCCAGGCTGGTCTTGAACTTACTACAGAGCTGAGCATAAACTTGAACTCCTTCACCTCCTGAAGTCCTGGGATTATAAGCATGTGCCACTGTGTCTGAATCAACTTGTTCTTTAGTTAACACTAGGGTAGATTTTAATTATACTTTATTTCTGGTAGCACCTGTGGAACTCTCTCTAGAGAAAATCTGTCTATGGGACAGCAATGTCCCCAAATGAAGGTGGCATTATCCAGTATGCTGAGGTCCTTGATAGAACAGGAGTGGAAGTCTTTTAATGCAGGCTGGCTGTGAGGTGAGCAGCTGCAGTGTAATGGAGCCAGGCAAGTTATGGATTGAAGCTACTTTTAAAAAATGTGCCAAAAATAAATTGTTCCTCATTTAAGTTGCTCTTCTCAGGTATTTTGATATAGCAGTGAAAATATTAATACATCAGGGTAGTATGCCTTTTGTCATAATGTCTGTAATTCCAGGACACAGGGAACACTGTTAGTTCCTTTCCCCCAAATCCCTTACTACTTGGCTGCTTTCCAAATGCTGCCTTCTCTAATTCCAGCACACAAGGAAAATGGGGTGGTAGTAAAGGCACCTTTTGGTTCTCTTTGCAACCCACTGTAGAGCGGACGGGGAGTTCACCCCTTTTATTTTTCCTCCTGTTCCACTGTTAGGTATATTGGACTTAAATACAGTAGTAGCTGGAGATATGTCTCAGGGGTTAAGAGCCTGCAAGTTTGTTGTAGAGGACCTGAGGTCAGTTCCCAGCACCCATATTGGGTGTCTCACACCATCCTGTAACTCTAGGATGTATGACGCCTTCTTCTAGATTTCATGAGTACTTGCATGTCCTGCCTCCCCCCACCCCCATCATGTACATACATAATGAAAACCACAATAATTCTTTCTGTTTTTTGTTATTTTTTTAAAAGACAGTGGAACATTTTCCTGCTTTCTATAATCTCTCCACCTTAAGGGCAGACAGATTGACATTGAGTGGTGCTAAGAAAGTTTGCTTTTATTTTGAGTTCATAGATATTTTGGTGAGTTGAATACTACACATACAACAGTTCTGTTTGACACTAGAGATGAAGGAGTATTTTCACTCCTTTGGTTTCAGTCAATCTCCTTCTAATCTTTTTTCAATAACATTATAGACACAGAATAGTATATCTAGTCGTCCCCCCCAACACACACTCTCCAAATAACTTACGTGCTGCAAGCTCTGAAACTGATAGTCTTCTATGCTCAGACTGTTTGAAGATAATTTTGTTTCTTCCAATTTGGTTTTCTATGCTTATCTTAGGCACTTTTGTGTTGATGTGATAAAACCATAACCAAGGAAACTTATAGAAAAAAAGGGTCTACTGGAGACTTTTGAGTTCATGACCATCAAGACAGGAGCAGGGCAGCAGGAAGGCAGGCAGGGGACTGGAGTAGTGGTTGAGGCAGGACCACAAAATAGGGACAGAGAGCTAAGTGGGAATGGCATGGGCTTTTGAAACCTCAAAGCCTACACTTGATATTCCTTCCCAAACAGTTTCACAAACCAGGGAGTCCCTTTTTTGTTTTATAAAAAGAAAATGTGTAAATCACTCTTAAGGCAGTGAGTAATGTGGATAAATTAAAAATCTGAAGATGATTGGAAGCAATATTTTAATGATTTTGAAATTAATAATAATTACTAATCTATTAATATCTAATCAATATTCATACTAATAATCAATGTTTATAATTTATAATCAAGAAGTATAATTAATTATCAATCATGTATATTGATGGCAAGCTGAGAACTAGTCTAAACACCTTGTAGGTATAGTTGTATATGATTTTAGAACATCTCTGATCCAATAAAGGGCAGAGGAGTAACATAAAAAATCTATTATTAGTTAATATGACATGATGTTGTAGAGTATGTATAAGCATTTGAATCTGAGTTATCATAAAAATAATAGCTTTTTTAGAACATTAATTTTATCTATTAATCTTGGATAAGTTTGTTTTTGAGTGACCAACTACAATGAAACATTTTTAGATAAAGAGTATGCCTGAATAGCAGTGTGTGTTTGCTGAACCAAGGCTGTGGCTGAAGCTATCAAGTATCTTTAAACTTGTAATAACAGCAATTGATAAACCATTTTGGCTATGAGAGGGAACTAGTAATCTGTCTTAATATATACATAGCAAGATTTTCATACCAGAACAATTGTCAGAAGTATATAAGGAGACTATCTGATAAAGTGTACATCTCAGGATCATGGGCAAAATTTATACAATCAATAATAGAACATTTTTAAAAGGCAATCCAGAGTTCAGTATAGAAAGAAGGGAGAGTGACAGAGGGGTGTAGAAATTGATCATGGTTTCTTTCTGTTGACATGGGGGCAAAGCTGGGGGTCCTGAAGGTTGGAATGCAATGGTATGCAGGCTCTGTGATATGTGTAGGTAGCCTTGATGCAGTTTGTATTAGGAGGGTACAGGCAGTGATTAGATCAGTCTGTGTTGTGAGATGGCCATAGAGTGCAGTGGGGTGGGGGTGGGGGAGCTGAAGTGTGAGCTGGAGGGAAGAGCGCAGGGCTATAGCAAGACGATGTCCAAGAAGATGATGGGGGAGCCTGTCCCCTTTTTAATGATTAGAAATCTGCTGGAACAAATATATATTAATGAGCAGAATATGAAGTCTAAGAAAATTTAAAGAGAAGATTTTTTCTAGGTGTAATTCAAAATTTCCCATACTTAGAAAGAGAGAAAAAGAGGTATCATTTAAGAAAATAGGCTGATGGAGAATAGAGAAACAAACTGCAGCTTTGTAGTAATTTTCTTAAGTTAATCTTGACCCATCTTTTCCTGATACTCGAGATCAGGGGATCTGCAGAATCCATGATTGAGGTCTATCTGAGGCTAACTATTAGGGAGTGTCTCTCTCCAACACTCCTAGAAGGTGCTACTTGGGCCTCTCCTCCATGAAAATTTCTTCTTCTCCCATGGATAATTTTCTGACTATCTATATATAGGTCCCTGTTCCAGTGCCAAATAAAGTATGCCATGGAGTCCAGCTCCAAGGCTATACAAACAGGGTTCAAAGAAAAGATACACAGCAAAGTGAAATGAAACTTATGACTATTTTATCTGAAGGGTATTTCTAGAGCATCAAGCTTTTTTTTTTTTTTTTTTTTTTGGTTTTTCGAGACAGGGTTTCTCTGTGTAGCTTTGCACCTCTCCTGGAACTCACTTGGTAGCCCAGGCTGGCCTCAAACTCACAGAGATCCGCCTGGCTCTGCCTCCCGAGTGCTGGGATTAAAGGCATGCGCCACCACCACCCGGCTGCATCAAGCTTTTTTATCTGAGGGCCTTAGGAATAAGTTTTTATCTGTCTGAGGGAAAAAGACTCACACATTCTGAGTGTCATTTTCTTTCATTCTTCTTCAGCTCTAATTCTACAGCTTCTTTTAAGCTCTAATTTTACATCTCCTTTCCTCTACGTGGCTATAAACATTTCTAACAGCAGACTCTTTGGAATACTAAGAAAAGTTATAAGACTACCTCTCAAGGTCATAGCACATTCCTTGAGAGACGATAAGGAGCAAGGCCATTTACCATGCAAAAAAATAGGTGGTGACATGGTGCTTGGCACTTTCCTGGCCAGTGACATCTGCATTTAGCTGGACATAAAATTGTTTATCTCTGGAACTGGCTAATTGTTTAGTTATTTGGGACCTAAATAATGAACAGTTAGTTGAAGCTTGAGTTTTATATCATTAACTGAGGTTAGAATGTTCGTACAAAGTGTTAATTGCTACAGGGTCAGAGCAGGTGAATGTTGTGAGTTTTGTTATCAGCTGCCAGTGGGGGAAACTCAGGGTCATGTAGGTCTCCTTTATTCTCTGAAGGACTTTGATTCAACAAAGCCAGACACTTCATAATTTTGTCCTCGTATATAATCTGTGTAAGTCCTGCTTGTGATCTATTCACAGAGACACTTCATCTGGTCAAATTGCCCTGTCAATAAGCTAATTATGGAGAACAGGCTTCTAAGTGTCTTACAGTTCATGTGGAACAATAGATCTAGTTATGAAGAATACTTTAAAATATTTCTCTTCATCAAAGCTATACAGCTGAGTGAGAAGTCATCTTCTTGACCATCCACAACTATAAGTGCCTGTGAGACTGAGATGTAATCATGGGATGACATGTACACATTACATGAAAATGCATGTTAATGGGGAGATACCAAGCTGTTACTAAAGTACATGGCTTTGCAAGCCTTGCCTGACAGGGTTCCTCCATCAGAAAATATTTCATCTGGTGGGTTGACATCCGGATTGCCATCTGCTGTAACTGTGTCATGGCCTGTGACAAGGGAGCAGGCATCTAAACACATGAGCCTGAGAGGCCATTTTCATTCAAACTGCCCCAGTGCTCTTTTGTGTATTAAGGGATATATGCACTATGTTAGATGATGTCATATATGATGAAGGAAATTGTATTGTATTAAATCTAATTGGACTTTGTATATTGCTGCTGTATTTTATTATACTATTCATATCCTATACAGTGGGTGACCAAGAGCACCCTCTTTTCCTTGTGTGCTGTAGTCAGAGGAGACAGAGTTTGGAAAGGAGTAAAGTGGTAAAGGGGGGAACCCACATGGTTGACAGTGCTCTAGAGGTACGGAGCTTGTAATTCACATTATATGTGCATAAGATAAGTGATTTTACATATATATATATATATATATATATATATATATATATGTTATTTAGCCTGTGTTATCTCTTTCAAAGACATTTCATTCACTTAATTTTGCTAAATCAAAACACTTTTCTTTGTAGGCACTGTCAGTGCTGAAGCACTCATTGCTATCCTTCAAACATCCCCGAGTCACAGACATGTTAAAGCTGTACTTCTTATATTCTTTGCAGTTCCTGGTGAAAGAGGTAGGAACCAACTCTTCCCTCTCTTGCCCTCTCTCTGGGGTGTGTGTGTGTGTGTGTGTGTGTGTGTGTGTGTGTGTGTTTAATAGATATTCTACTACCTAGATTTTTTTAAAGTAGCAGACTTGATTTTTTTTAATTTTTAAAAATTTTTATCTACATATGTATGTATGTATGAGTAGATGTCATGTGTGTAGGTGCCCATGGAGAGACAAGAAGAGGGCATGAGAAAACCTGAAACTGGAGTAGTAGCTAGCAGTGAGGCACTTAATGTGGATTCTGGGAAACTGAACTCAGGTTGTCTGCACGAGCAGCAAGAGTTGTTGACTCCTGAGCCATCTCTCCAGCCCTAGATTTTGGTTTTTAACCACATTGCATTATTGCAATCTTTAGAAGACAATACCCAATGAGTATTGCTACTTGTAATTCATGTAATTATTAAAATTGGGCCAGTTAGGAACATCTTGTTGATATGTACTGTTTTAAACTGATAATAAATAATCTACTTGTTACTAATTCTGCGAGTGGAGCCAAACTAACAAATTACTTTTGTTCTTTAGGGATATATAGATCAAGAAGGTAATCCAACAGGGTTTGCTGGCCTGGTGTCACATTTACATTACCACGAACCATCCAATCTTGTTTTTGTCAATTTTCTTGTGAGAGGTCTTTTCCATAATCTTTGTCAGCCAACTTATAAAGGTAAGTTTAAGGGTTGCATTGTCTGTGTGTGTGTCTGTGTACCATTGAAATAATATTATCATATCATATGGCATATAAATAATATATCATTATTAGTATATAGGCATATATCAAATAATATATGGTATAATGTGATATATATTATATACATGTAAATTTGTGTGTGTGTGTGTGTGTGTGTGTGTGTGTGTGTGTGTAAAATCTTCCCATGGTGGGAAAAAAAAACCTGATAGATTTATAAAAACTAGAACTTCAGGAATACCTTTACTCAATAATCACTTGAGAGAGTATCAGTTAAGTTTGATAATATATGTATGAAAATCTTATTATTGTTCATTTACCTAAAAGGTTAATAATAAAAATGAGAATGTTAATTATATAGACAAATTATAGGTTCACAAATAAGATAAAGTTAAATAAGTATTAATAGAGGTTCTATTTTGTGACAATGATTTTAAAATATTCACCAGTGCAAGTTGTAACTTGAAAAGTGTGTTACCACTAGGATTCTGAACATGCTGAATGATATACAATATTTATAAAACATTTCCTTGTAATTAAATATAATATATGGTCAGTTTTGAAGAACAGTTCAGGAAAGCATTGTTAAAATATAAAACCCAAAATTCTACCCACAGATAATCATTACTAATGTCTGTGAATATTGTCTGTAACACTATTTTCTTTGAATATATGTATACAGTATACATCAATAACTGATATTGCATTAGTTATGTGTTTAAAGTCAATTTTACATATTAAATTTTTGCCCATATTGGGCAAAGTCTTTAAAAATAAATCCCATACAGCAGGGAGTGGCACTATTTGAAAAGATTAGGAAGTGTGATCTTTTTGGATCACTAGAGAGTGGGCTTTGAGGTTTCAAAAGTCAGTGGCAAGTCTAGAATATCACTATAATTTGAATCTTAAGAAATATATAGGCACAGGGAATAGGAAAAAAGAAGGGAGAATGTTTCAAAGCAGGGAGGTGAGAGTAATTATGGTTCTTCATTTTCCATATTACCAAATCAGCTTTTTCTGATTATCGAGGAAGGATGTTTAAATTACTTGGGATGGTTGAGCACATGATACGGTTATGATTCTATTGATCTTTTTACCTTTTCTTTTTTAAAATTAATGTTTGGTTTAAATCCAGTAGGAAAAGGGGCTAGATTTATATAGTGAAATAAATGAAAAAAATTTGTCACTAAGAATAAAAGGTTAAAAAGCATTCATATTAGAGAATTTGTTTCAAATTCATTTCCTAAAGTTTGAAAATTATTTAAAACATTACACATTTTGATTAAATTTTGAGTAACTTTGGAAGCTCCTGTGAAGTTATCTTTACCAGAACAGTGGTAAGGATTTTAAATTATTGCTGAAGAACATTACAGAAATTTTACTCACCTATGTCCATAAGCACACGGGAAAAGATGTTACAGTGATGAGCAGGTAGTCAAGCCGCTGATGGATAGGACACAGATCCCCATCAGCTTGGCAACTAGCAATTACTATAGCAGGGTCTCTGTGGTGGTTTGAATAGGAATGGTCCCCACAGGCTCATGTGTTTGAATACCTGGTCATTTGGGAGTGGCGCTATTTGACAGGGATTAGGAGGTATGACCTTGCTGGAGTAGGTGTGGCCTTGTTCCAGGAAGTGTGTCACTGAGGATGAGCTTTGGGGTTTTGAAAGCTGAAGCCAGGCCCAGTGTCTCTTGCTGTCATCTTGAAAAACACCTTGTAGCAGAAATCTTAAATGGTCTTATTAATAAAATCAAACCTGGAGCCAGGTATTGGGGTGAATGCTGGAAGACCAGAGAAGCAGAACAAGCCACAGCTTCCTCACCTTGCCAATTCCTCAGATGATCCTGTTTCCTCAGACTGGATGCCTCGCAGCTGAACTGTGCTGCTCAAAAGCCTAAAAGCTTAACCAGCCAAATGCTTAACCAGCCAAAATGCTTCTAGTTTCTGGTCTTCACGCCTTATATATCTGTTTTTGCCATCACTCCCTGGGATTAAAGGCGTGTGTCACCATGCCTGGCTGTTTCCAATGTGGCCTTGAACTCACAAAGATCCAGAGGGATTTCTACCTCTGGAATGCTAGGATTAAAGGTGTGAGTGCCACCATTTTCTAGTCTTTGTATCTAGTGGCTGTTCTGTCTCTGACCCCAGATAAGTTTATTAGGGTGCACAATATTTTGGGGAACACAATACCACCACAACACCTATTAGATTTCGTGTTACATGCAGATAGAGAACGCTCAACAGCTTCTCCAGCACCATGGCTGCCTGTGTGCCACCATGCTCACTGCCATGCGGATAATGCACAAAACCTCTGAAACTGTCAACAAGCTCCAGTTATCTGACTTGTTATCAGAGTTGCCATGGTCATTGTGTCTCCTTACAGCCACAGAGCACTGACAAAGACAGTCATAATACATAAAGACACAGCCATAAATTTGGTCATCCCCTGGGAGATGGGTCAAAGTAAGCAAAGTCTAGATCAGAACAGAAGGTAATTTGTAGTAGGTAAGATAAGGATGTTAATGAAGGTAAAAGCAGGAATAAAAAAGTCTCAGGTGAGAAGCATGTGCAGCTGAAGATAGGCTACAGTTGCTGTGAAATGAACATAACATTTATTTTAAACATGAAAAAATTGATATAACAATTTTCTACATATATAACATGGAGCTTTTGTTTTGTACAGGCTCAAAGTATTTTTCTGAAGATGTAATGGAAAAGCTGGTTTTAGTATTGGCAAATCTTTTTGGAAGGATATATATTCCGGCCAAGTTTCAAGATGCTAACATCAAGTTTTATCAATCAAAGGTAAAATCTTCTGATAAAATTAGTTAATAATAGTATACAAATTCTGCCAGAAATGATTCAGTAGCAACAGGACTTTATGAATATGGGGTAATTAATGTATTTTATGTACTAATGTTTCTTTTAGAAATAGTGTGGTGATATTTATCTGTAATTCAAATGTCACTCTGTGAATGTTCAAAGGTTACATGCCTTAAGGATGAAAGTATATTCATGTTTTTAATTGATTGCATCAAAATACAGCATTAATGAAAGGTGTAGAGGGCTGGGAAGATGACTTTATACCGTGCTTGCCATGCAAGCGTGTGGATCTGAGTGTGGACCCCAGTACCCACATGAAAAGATGTACATGGTTGCACAGTTTATAATCCCAGAGCTGAAAAGGCAGAGAAGTCTGGAGCCTTGGAGCTAACTAGGGCAGGCTAGCCTAATTGGAGATAACTCTAGGAATGCTGAGAGACCTTGCTTCAAAAAATAAGGTGGAGAGCACCCACACACATATTCGTGTGCATACACATTGAAAATGAAGGTATTTGGGGGCAGTTAAGCCCCAAAGCCATCCTCATTGTTGAATGTGTGTCTTGAGATATGACTGTATGTCATAGTGTCATCCCTGAGAAAGTTTTACAAAGTTATCTGGGAAATTGTCCTTTGATTCCTAGAGTCTAAATCTTAGAAAGAGTTTTTCATCTTGCTTGGTCATTTTTGGAAAGGTACATTTGTCCATTTAATTAAAACACTTGCATTTGTTTCCAGGAGCTCATTCGTAGCACCCTTTCTGCTCTTCTTGGTGATTTGAGCTGATTCTCTTAGGATGTAGCACCGATGGCATGGCCGAGAAAGGCAGAATTCTTTTCTTCACAGTTCCTCAAATCCAGAAGTCTTAGATGAAGATGCTTTGTGAGGGCATGCTTTATAAGTGTTGGACCCCAAAGTTTAGGGTCTCAAGTGGCCGCCCCAAGAACCCAGACTCCAGTCCAGCTGATGCAACAGCACGAGGATTTATTAAGCTTCTGTATAGAAGGGCTCCTCTGCTCCCAAGAGCAAGAGTCACAACTTACTGCAGCCCCATAAGGGCTTTTAAAGGAAAAACCCATAAAACCCACAAGATTACAATTCCCATACAATGTCACTTTGATTGATTTATGTCTAGAAGCTAATTTCATAAAATCATTGTCTGGTTACAGTGATCACAGAGGGGGATACAGTTACGTCAGTGTGCACATTTTTCTTGAAACCTCAAGGGGGGTATCAGGGCGGGAGTGGAGTTTACACACAGGTCACAATGGTCCTTCCTGGAACACTTGCAACTATCCCAGTCACAGTTGAGCACATCTCTTAACAGAAATCTTTTTACATTGTTACATTGTTACAGGGGTGATTGAGTAGTGGCTGAATCAGGTGGCCCTTGGAACTAGTTTTCTTTTTAGTTCCTTATTTCCTGGAGCTTGGGGGGTGTAAGCCTGAAGGGTTAGGGTCTTTCAATAAGCTGTAGTTTACTATCACAAAACTACAAAAAGAAGAAACAGAGATACAGCGCTTTCATGTGTACAGACTGAAAGTGACTAACAGTGTTAGCATACTGAATACAGTGAGAGTGTCAAAACCTCTCAACTAGGTGGAGTTGATTCCAAGCCTGAAAATACGCTTTCTCTTCTTTTCTCTACAAATGTGTCCCTAGATTCTTTGAAATTACTCATGAGTCCAGTGGCAGTTGAGGACACGCTTCTACTTTAGCAAAAGTCACTTTGATTAAGTAGCATCTGAGTAAACATTATGAGTAGAGTATCTATTTTTACAAGTACAAATAAGAACAAAAAACGTTTAACCCCAGTTTAATCAAGAAAAGAAGAAAAAGTGGCTTTATTGAAAACAATTGAACTATACCATGTGGTCTTTTTCCTTCACTGCTCCAAATATTCAGTTTTTAAGGCAAGTATTCTCCTCTCTCTCTGAAAAACCTTTGGCTTTTAGGTGTTCCTTGATGACCTCCCTGAGGACTTTAGTGCTGCCCTGCATGAGTACAACATGCAAGTGACAGAGGACTTTGCTACTTTTCTGCTAATTGTGTCCCGATTGGCTGATATGAAACAGGAATATCAACTCCCCTTGTCAAAAATTGGTAAGTGTGTTTTAGTTCCACTGTGAAGTGATTTAGTAATGCCCAAGCACATGTAATGTGGATGTTAGGGATAAGGTCAGTGGTAGGGCTCCAACTGTACCATTTTTATCTCAGAATGCTGACATTCTAGAAAAGTCAGCATGCCTTAGAATAGTTGGGTTCTTTCTACTTAAAAAAAACCAAACAGACAAAACAAAACAAAACAAAACAAAAAAACAGAAGTTGGAGATAGGCATTTAAAAGGGCAGTGGAGAATGATGCTAAAACCAAATTGAATTATTTATAAACTGTTTTGATTGAGGGCTGACTTTGGGTCATTCCTAGAAAATAGAGCAAGTGTATATCTGAGACAAGAGAAACAAAGGGAATTCTATGAGCACTTTTTGGAGAGGCTTGATGTTGACTTTGGGCAGATTCCCTGACTCTGCTACTTCTTACTTATGAAATTTGGGATTAAAGGCATGTATGCTTCCCAAATACTAGTAGCAGAGGTATAAGATCTCAAGTGCTGGGATTAAAGGTGTGTGCCACCATTGCCTGGTTCTGTTTCTCTCCTAGACTGAGTCAATCTCATATAATCCAGGGTGGCTCTGAATTCACAGCGATCCAAACAGCTCTCTGCCTCCTGAGTTCTAGGATTAAAGGTGAATGTAGTGGGTAGCTGTTCCAGCTTTGACCTGGAAGTACTACCCCCAGTGAGGCTTCTGGTAACTGTCATGCCTACCTGTGACTTGCCTCTGAGGCAGGCTGAGATGGGAGCCCTTAAGACCTGAGATCTGGATAGCCAGCTCTTTGGTTCCTGGATGCTGAATGGTAGACCGAGCAGAGTTCTCCCCAGAGAACCCAGCTGGACTGTACCTCAACTCTCCCAGATCCTGTAACCAACCCTTTTACTAGCTGTAAGTTACCCCCCAAATAAACCTTTTTAACTACCTCAATAAATCCCCCAATAGGTGTGTGCCACCACTGCCTGGCCTCTGTGTTTAGTCTAGTGGCTAGTTCTGTTCTCTGATCTTCAGGCAAATTTTATTAGGGTACAACAAAATATCCCCACATGTATCCCTTCAGAAATTGGCTTGGCTGTTCAGCATGTGTTATACCAATTTGTTGTCCTTGTGATGTGGTGCCTGTTAGGTCCAATGGCTTCCCTTTTTAGCTTGGTTTAGCTCTCATACAAGGAAAAGAATCTTCCCAGCATGGTGGCACCTGCCTTTAATTCCAGCGCTCAGAGGCAGGGGAATGACTAGAGAACACGGGGATGTCTATGATCAGTCTGGCTTACACAGACAGTTCTAGGCCTGCTGGAGATATGTAGGGAGACCTTTTCTCAAACAAACAAGCCAAAAAACTAAAAGAAGAACAGCAAGCAGGGCTCTATCTCAACTTTTTCTGGCCAGACTTCACAGGTGAAGAATGTGAAGATTCACCACTTGTGTCCCACTTGATGAGCTGTGGGGAAGGCCGGGTGGCAGTTTCGCCATTTGTCTGTCTGTCTGGAAACTTTGATGTGGATTTGCTCTGTCCAGGAGTTCCAAATAATGTAAGTGAAGAGTGGATGTGTATTAGTTAGTCTCTGGGGGGCTTTTGCTCCAGTCTAAGTGGTATATTGTAACAGACAGCTGTGAAAGCTGTGGAATGCAAGCATACAGATGATAAAAAATTATACTTTCTATTGTAAGAAAAATATTTTTATTAATTAATTTTCCCAACCCGATCACAGATCACAGTTTTCCCTCCCTCCCCCCTCTCCTCCCAGTCCCTCCCCCAACCTATCCTCTTCCCCCGCCAGCCATTCATTCCTTCTCCTTTCTTTTCAGAGAAGTGCAGGCCTCCCATGTAGATCAGCCAGCCATGGCATATCAAGACAAATAACTTTTAAGAAAAATGTTTTAGGAGTTTTGATTTCTTTATTTTGTATGGATGACTATAAACAACTAGTTGGATATGTAAGAGACTGGTGGTTAAGTACATTGAAAAACCAATATTAACTTTTAAGCATTACAGTTTTCCTTTCCCAAGATGGATGTGATGGCTCATGCCCGTAATTCCAACACGGGGGACGCTGAGACAGGAGGACTGCTACAAATGGGACTGTTACATAATGAGTTTCAGGCAGGGCTAGAGTGTGTTCCTGTTTCAAGACAGGAAGGGGGTGGAGGAAGAGAGAAGGAGGGAGAGGAGGATATCAAAATAATTCCCCTTTCCATTTATTCTGTAATGACCTCAATTTATGAAGTGTAACAATCACTTTTACTTCCTTTTTACATGTAGAGTTTCCATGGCAATTCAGAGGGGTGCTGATAGAATAAACTAGAAAGTCTGTGTCTTGCTGCTGCAAAATCAGCATTAGAAGAGGCATAGGTATATGCATGAACTCGCTCCCACTCACCCTTGCTGCTCATGGAGTTCTAGAAAACAATTTCTGCTTCTCTTTGCTTCATTTTGAAGCATCTGACATAGGTATTTGATCATACCCTGCTTTTTGCTTGACCCAATTCACTTGATATAATTTTTATTAGGGTATATTGTAATATCTTGAAATTTCACTTACTTGTATTATTTATTACCATTTGATGCTATATTCTATTGCTTCTGGGTGGCTTACAAAGAGAGGAATACACATAGTGGGTACCCGTGAACCTAGAACTCTTGCCTCACTTTTATTTCATTTCCTTGTGTTCCACTAAAGCTACTGAAATTTCCAAATTCTTCTGAAAATAATTCATTTTACAAATGAGTATTTATTAATGCTTGCATTTTATTTTAGAAGAGTAAAGGAATGGTTAATTGTATTCTCCTGAAAGTATCTTTTGCTGTCTTTAGTTTTATGTCTGCTGTGGGATGGTCTGTATGTCAAGTGTGTTGCTGATTGGTCAATAAATAAATCACTGATTGGCCAGTGGCCAGGCAGGAAGTATAGGCAGGACAAGGAGGAGAATAAAGCTGGGAAGTGGAAGGCTGAGAGGGAGACACTGCCAGCTGCCACGATGAGAAACAGCATGTGAAGATGCCGGTAAGCCACGAGCCATGTGGAAATGGATTAATTTAAGCTATAAGAACAGTTAGCAAGAAGCCTGCCACGGCCATACAGTTTGTAACCAATATAAGTCTCTGTGTTTACTTGGTTGGGTCTGAGCAGCTGTGGGACTGGCAGGTGAGAGAGATTTGTCCTGACTGTGGGCCAGGCAGGAAAACTCTAGCTACATATGTCTGTAAGATTCATACCTGTTTTGCCATGAAGTTCTAGTTTATTTTCCACACAACATAATACTTCATAATATAAAACTATACATTACTCTGTCTTCTGTCGATGTTTGATCAGTTTATAGTTCTCTGTTGCAACAAACAGGGTTGGTATTAATATCTGGTGCATGTGTGCAAATTTCCCTTGGGTGGAGATTTTCTGGGTCATAGCAAAATAAAAATATTAAAATGTTCATGTCTACTACCCATGACTCCCAAACCACCCTAGTGTTGTAGAATATTAGTTAAAGATGTGTTACATTTGTTATGCTGTAGAACATTTGTTTAATGATGGAAAGATGTGTTGCATTCTTTTATGTTGCATTTGTTTAACTCTGTGAAGCAGTGCTACTTTGCCTGTCTAAAACACCTGATTGGTCTATTAATAAAGAATGGCCAATAGCAAGGCAGGAGAAAGGATAGGAGGGGCTGGTAGGCAGAGAGAGTAAACAGGAGAAAAAATCTGGGAAGAGAGATTGAGGAGGAGGATAAGGAGGAAGACTCCAGGGACCAGCCACCCAGCTACACAGCAAGCCATGGAGTAAGAAGTAAAGGAAGGAATTAGAATAGAGAAAGATAAAGGCCCAGAGGCAAAAGATAGATGGTATAATTTAAGTTAGGAAAAGCTGGCTAGAAATAAGTCAAGCTAAGGCTGGGCATTCATAAGTAAGAATAAGTCTCTGTGTGGCAGGAACCAAGAAGCAAAGAATAGAGAGTAAGAAAAAAACAAATAACTACACTCTAGAATGTAGTTGGGCCAGTTTACAGCATCACTAGCCCTATATCAGAATTCCTGTTGGTCACATGAGGCAAAGTTTGCAAAACAAATAGGCACAGAAAAACTACTTACTTGTTTTCTTCCCTTTTTATTGTTTTTGTTCTATCCTCTCTCTACTCTTTATTCTGGCTGTTGATTCTGAAGACCATTACACTTGTTCAGTTGAATAGTCTCTTGTGACATGCAGGCCTCCAGTTCTCTGAAACTCCATTTGCAAAGGTATTCTCTGAATTGTTAAGGAGACTTAAAGTTTTTCAATTAACTTTTCTTTCCTAGTCTGGTGGACTTGCCATCAGCATGCTGTGGGGATAATCCTCTTCACAGGTGGAGCTAAGCCATGCTCTAGGATGCACCATCTCAGTGTGTGCAGAAGGCCCCTGCTCTTCTACCAACAGAGTGTTCTTGAAAAGCATCAATGAATATGAAATGACTACAAGTTATAAGTCACAATCCTTCTCTCCTTGTGAATAACCATTTAAAAAATCTATTTCTTTAGGTCATTCTGCACACAATTGGTATCAATCACAATCAAGCCCCAGTGCTGTGGCCACACAGATTGGATAGTAGAGGAAGAAAAATGCCTCTTAACGCATATGCACTTGACTTTTATAAGCATGGATCCCTTGTGGGATTAGACCAGGACAATAGGTATGTTCTTTCCTGAAAGTTCCAAGAAATGGTTAGTCCTGTCAAGCATATTAGATTTTCATTTCCAGACTGATGGCAAAGATGATGACATACTCTATACTATTTTTATTTCTAGTTTATCAGCAACAATTTGGCCTTTAGGCCAACTCAATTGCCCTAAATATGTAGTCTAAATGTATCTTTGTGAATATTCAATATATTTTATATTACAGTTCTACTTCGGCATCATTTGGTATTTTAAACATAATGACAAATAGCTATCTGGTATTGCTTAATGCCTGAGAGAATATAAAGTATCTAGTTTACATATCCGGTTCTGAGAGAATTAATTTAGCTTGTTGTCAGGGAAGCCAGTTCTATAAGTGTAAGCAGGACCAAGCATTATTTAGGTCACTCTGCACACAATTGTTGTGGACACACTGTTTTGGCCACAAAAGTTGGACAGTCAAGGAAGAAAACTGCTGCTTAGCACATATGCACTTGACTGCTGTCAGCGTGGATCCCTTGTGAGGTTTGACCAGGCCAATAGGTATCTTCTCTCTTGATAATGTCAAGAAATAATAAGTAATGTTAAGCATATTAGATATTCACTTCCAGGGAAATATCCCTGAGCAAGGGAGATATTGGTCCAAGTGCTAAACACATACATCTAGAGGCAAATACACTAAGGAATTAAACATACAGTTGACATAAAAGTTTAGTAATTCTTGTAAGTTAAGGAATAAACTGTTTTGATAGTCCTCAGAACCTGGAACACTCTTGTTTATTAAATTTTTATTCACTATTTTTTTATTGTGAGTAAAGTAGCTGTTGCATTAGTAGATAATATTTTGGTTTGTTTTTAAACCTTATTCATTTATAATTCATAATTGTATATAAACTATTATGACTAAACTCCCTCCCACATTGTTGTATTTCTTCCCAATTGTACTGCTTAACTCCAGAAAATCAGCCTTCCATTTTTGAGTCTTTGAGTTTCGTTTTGCTTTCATTTTGGGACCCACTGAGTTTTACCAGGGCTGCCTGCATGAGTGTGGAGCACAGGGGACCTCACCAGTGACTACAATACCAAAGAAAAATGATTCTCCCTTCTTCAGCTCATAGGGCCCTGTGCCTCCCTTGGGAAACTAGTTGTCCTATGAACCTCTCATGCATGCCTGAATGTTAATGGTCCCAATCTTGTGCAGACCCTGTGCAAAGAAACTTAGTTGCTGTGAGTTCATGAGTCACACCATGCCCCAAAGAGAGCATGTCACAGCACTCCTCTCAGATCCAGCTCTTAGTTCTTTTTGTGTCCTCTTCTGTGATGTCCTGCCTTGGTGGGGTAACATAGATGTTCCAAGTAGGTATTAGTGCTCAGCAGTCACTTATTCTCAACACTGTGACCAATTGTGAGCCACTCATTGTAAAACAAAACAAAACAAACAACAACAATAAAAACCCAGCTTCTGTGATCATAGCCAAGATAGCCCTAATTTATGGGTGTAAAAAAAAAAAAGTAAATAATTTTGAGTCATTAATTTGTCTTTCTTTGTTTAGGTTACATCAAGGGGCAGCTTACTACTTGTTGAAAGATTTTTCCCTTACCATTAAATCTATCAGGTATGTTACATGTTGAAATATTACTTTGCTATTTTTCAAAACTTTAACTGTAATTTGAAAATGTTGAGATTTTTTTCTTGAACCAAGGTTGTAAAAGTATCATCAAGCCTGTTACATATCATGCATTTCAACTTCCCAGAGAGTCTATAGAATTCCCCATCCCTACAACCTCTTGGTTATGTTCTGTAATATCATTAATTCCATACTATTTTGGTGATTAAGGTCCATCCACATAAAGTCCCAGGCTCAGGCACTACACACTAACAGAAAATTATTCAGGAGCATTACTGACCCCAGATCCTAATATTCTCAATGATCTCAATTGTAAACTCATGTCAAATATATGATGTTTCTGAGGTGCTTGCTCTTGAGTCTCTTGCTACAACCTATATTTTTCTTCAGGGATTGTCTGACTGTCAATGCATGGTCACTTCCTGTTTTGATCTGCAACAAAGCCCGGTTAATCACAAGCATTATCAAACTTTATGTGAGCACCCCATCCTTAGGCTCCATTGGCCATATAATGTCAACTCGGTATATGACCATCATACTAACTCTCTAATCTAAATGCATTCCAGCACTTTAACAGTGGTTCTTTATTTTTTCACAGGTGTATTCAAGTGGCCATAAATCTCAATATTGTTGCATCCTTAATAAGCAATTCTTTGTTTTATTTCATTGATCAGAACCAAATTAGGCCTATGAATTTTTATATACACAGAGTGAATTTGAAGCATACAGGAGCAGAAGGGAATAGCTTTGTCTATCTATAACAGTGGTTCCCCACCTTCCTAATCCTGCAACCCTTTAATACAGTTCTCCCTATTATGGTGACCCCCAACCATAAAATTATTTCATTTTTTATTTCAATTTTGCCACTTCATAACTGAAATTAAATATCTAATATGAAGGATATCTGATATGTGACCCCCAAAGGGGTCATGATCCACAGATTGATAATCATTGGTTTGTAGTATCTCTAGGCAAGGTGCCTCATAGTTACTCAAGGTATAATCTTAAGAGCAATCCAGAAGCATCCAGAGATACTAGAGCTGTGTCCAAAGTCAGACTGAAAAATAAACATTCATTCATTCATCTAACCAGCATGGGTGTTATTATTGGTTTGAGACATTTTTACACTCTTGAGGTACAAGGATTTTTAAATCTATTCCCACCCTTTGGGGGAAAAATAAACCTTATAGTCCTTGTATTAGTTACTTTTGTGTTGTTGTGATAAAACACCATAAACAAGGCAACTTGTAGAAGAACGTATTTCTTTTGGCTTATGGTTCCAGAGAAGTTTGAGTCTGTTTCAGGAAGATAATTCAGTGTTATGGTTTAGAATTCTGGCTGCATATTTTGAGCATCGTGAAAACAGGGCAATAAGACTGAGTATGGCATAGATCTACAGTTTGAATATGTGGTAAAGATGTGTCAGATTGTCTCAGAGTCTATAACAGTAAGGGTGATCAGAAATGAATGAAGGTCTGAATTAAGGAAACAGAAGGAATAATTCAGAATACTAATTTGACAAATATTTATAATTGAGACATTAAACCTGAAGTTTATATAGTGGGTTAAGATGACCAAGGTTTAAATTGTTAATGAATCCCCCCGCCTCTCTCTCTCATACACACACACACACACACACAGCAGAGTGAAAATGACTTTTGTGGGGAAGTACAAAAATAGTGAGTTAGAATTTATATATGTTGTGGATATCAGAGGACATCATTCTGGTCTATATCTCTGGCTATCAGAAGACATCATCACAATGATGAGTCTGTAACTCAGGAGAAATAAGTTAATGTTGCAGATAGACATTTCATTTTGGTGGTAGATCACTAAAGATGGATCTCTAGTAGGGACAAAACACTAAATAATGAAAGGCAAATAAGATGTCAAACTGTTCTTGATTTCAGCCAAGGCTACTTGCTATGAACCGTTCAGTTTTGTGTTTCTTCTCCATTTCTTCATGCCTGTGTACCAGTTTTTTAATGCTGATGGGACAAGTTGTCACTTAATGATATAAACCTATATATATATATATATATATATCATCTTACCATTCTGGAGGTCAAAAGTCAAGTGTGTTCCATTGGGTAAAATTAGGTGTCTGAATACTCTAAGGGAAATCCTTGGCTCTTTCCCAAATTTAGAGGCTTTGGCTCACCATTTCCTTCTGTCTTTGAGGCCAGGGATGTTCAGTAGAGAGAGCTGAGATTGTGTAACAAGTGTCCACATTTCACTCCTTTGATGTCAGTTCTCTCCTTCCTCACACCCATGATCACCTTTGAGAATTTCATCAGTTCTATATAGAGAATCCAGAATCCGTGTTCAAGATTAACTATGATCTGTGATGGTAATTCCCCTTTGCCTTGGAATCTAACATGACTTATAGGTTTCTGGGGATTTAGGTGAGGACCTCTGAATTAGATGAGGACCATTATTCTACTGACCACATCCTACTTTCATTTTCTACCTAGAGAAAGAAAAGAAGCTTTTCTTCTCCATAGTGGATTATAGTATATTCTGAACACAATAGCAAAAAAAATGTGCATGAGGTATGCAGAGAAAAGAAAAGAAATTTGTGTTGTACTACCCAAGGAAGCAAGGATCAAATGACATAGAATTTGGTAGCCTTTCAATTACCCTTGGGTAATAAAGGCACTGCATGGAACACTTTGTCTTAGTTTCCTATTTCTTTCTCTTTTGTGTGTGTGTACACATTATTTGGTGAATAAATCTGTTTCTTATCAGTATTCCTTATAATTTGCAAATCCTATCTCATCACTTTTCAGGACAGTCTTTTTTTTAATAGTACTCTATGTCACTTAGTTGACTAATAGTATGTGTATATATGTGTTCTTCTATTTGTAGTGTCTCCTTGCGTGAACTCTGTGAAAACGAAGACGACAACGTTGTTCTAGCATTTGAACAATTGTCTAAGTCCTTTCAGGAAAAGTTCGAAAAAGTGTGAAAAGAAAAACTACGTAAACCACTTAAAATATCACCATAGAAGCTTTGCAAGTTATACATCTTTTATTCTTATGTCTTGATCAGAAAATCATGCACAATGAAATGGGATGAGGAAGCAGTTTGGAGTTAAAGAGTTGCCATCAAACTTGCTGGGCTTGGCTTTGAGCACCCTTGGCCATATTACTTGGTGTGCCTAAGTCTTGGTTTCTTTAAATGATTGACTAAAAATGCTTATGTCTCCAAATTATTGAGGATTGAATGAGAAAATGTGGGGTTTTGCATATATATGTTTGAAGACACTTTTCTACTCTGTGGGAGTAGAAAATATAGAAAAAATATTGTATTTAAATATTTTCACTGTTAATATATATATATATATATATATAAAGTTTATTGAAACTAGAAAAGAAATTATTACAGTATCTTGAAAGTGTAATATATTCTTTCCAATCAACATGAATGGATTGCACTGCTTAGATTGTTAGCTATTGAAATAGTACATCTTAGTAAATAAGCTACTTATAAAAAAGTGAATGTTTTCATCCAATTTTTAAAAGGAAACATATAGCTAATGTTTTACTTCATTTTAATTGTATATACATGACTGCTGAAATAAAGACTTCATTGGTTTCATTTGTGTGAAATATACTCATCTATTCACGTGCACACTACCATTCATTCTGTGTGGTCAGTTACATAGGATCATTCTGTAATCGGGGCCTTGTCCTCATTCTCAGCTCTAGAATCTATTTGAAACCCTCAACTCAAACTTACATCACTGAATCCTCAAAACAGAGGGTCAGTCTTTTCTGATACACTAAGCCTATAGGCTGAAGATGATGCCCCAACACTGTGGAGAAACCTCAAGTGACTGTCCAGGCAGCTGGCTGTTTCTGTCAACTCACATTTTTTTTTGGAATTTGCTTGCATGTACTTCCTGTTTTTATTTTTTTATTAGGTAATATTATTTTCCTTCTTGGATCTCTGAGGGAGTTGAAGATTAGTTAGTTATAGTTGAAGATTAATCAGGATAGAAAGTGAATTAGATACATTTTGGACTTACCAAAATAGGATAGATAATGGAATTATTTTCTCTGAATTTGTCAAATATAAATGGACTAGACATTGTTTAGGTATTTATTACTTGTATATATTGTATATAGTTATTGTACTTTTGTATATAATTTTTCTTATGTTAGTCATAACCTTTCACTGAACAATGCTCTTTTTGGTGTCACTATAAATAGGTTGCAGTGGCTTAAAAAATCTGTTATGGTTCATTGATTTCTAAAGCAGAAAATTTCTGATTATTGGAAATGATGTACCATTTCATGAGTGATGTTAGAAATCTCTTCCTTGGTGGTGGTGGTGGCGGCGGTGGGGTGCTGTGGGATGGTCTGTATGTCAAGTGTGTTGCTGATTGGTCAATAAATAAATCACTGATTGATCGTGGCCAGGCAGGAAGTATAGGCGGGACAAGGAGAATAAAGCTGGGAAGTGGAAGGCTGAGTCAGAGAGACACTGCCAGCCACCACGATGACAAACAGCATGTGAAGATGCTGGTAAGCCACGAGCCACGTGGCAAGGTATAGATTAGTAGAAATGGATTAATTTAAGCTGTAAGAAAAGTTAGCAAGAAGTCTGCCACGGCCATACAGTTTGTAACCAATATAAGTCTCTGTGTTTACTTGGTTGGGTCTGAGCGGCTGTGGGACTGGCAGTTGAGAGAGATTTGTCCTGACTGTGGGCCAGGCAGGAAAACTCTAGCTACAGGGGGGGATGCAGTTTAAACTCTCTTCATTCTTTAAATGCTACAACAGTGCTGTAAACCAAGACTCTTAGAAAACAGGATCCTGCCTAGCACCTCTTAATTGCCACTTAGTGGAATGTTATATAATGTGAAATATATCATCATGTTAGCTTTAACTTAAAGATTATACTTAGGAGTACAGCTGGGAAATGAAGATTTCCTCCATCTCTATATGTATAAACTAATCTGGCTTCTAGATTTTTAGAAGAGTGAGGTCGTTTTTTTGCCTGCAATCTGGAATCTTCTTGAAAGTGTAGAATTATATACAACATCTTTGAGGTGGGTCCCCCTCGAGTGGGAGAGGGCTGCTTCTTTAGTCTTCAGCTAAATCTGAAGAGTAAGCAGGAACAATTTCTCAAGAGTGAGTTCAGGAGATATATATCAGCAAAAAGGTGGAGCTCAGAAAACCTACAAAAACTATGAACTGGCAAGATACTTTCCTAGTATACTTTAGAACTAGGTAGAATGTATGAAGATTCCCTGGACCCCAGAGAAGAGAAAAACCAGACAATAAAAGAAATGGGTATCCTTAGCTGTGATGCTTGTCCTTCCAAGTTTGTAGGTTTCACACATGGAATAGAGTCCCAGATTTAAGTGGGTTCTTCACTGGAGAAAGTGAGTTCAAGGCAGACATGCTTTACCCTGTCTCCTGGGTCTCTTTGCATGGAGTTCACTCCTCCCACTGTTCTCAGAAGTACTGCCTATATTTCTTCTAGTGGTTTCAGGTTTCACATTTAGGTCTTTGAGCCACTTGGAATCACTTTCATGCAAGGTGATAGATACAGGTCTAATTTTGTTCTGCCACATATGGACATCCAGTTTGCCCAGAACCATTTGTTGAAGATGCTGTCTTGTCTTTAGTATCTGTTTTGACATCTTTGTTGAATATTGGATGTCTATAGTTATATGTGCCCATGTTTGGGTCTTTGATTTTATTCCCTTGGCCTTCATGTCTGTTTTTGTGTCTGCACCACATTTGCTTTTATTACTGTGGCTCTGTACTCTGTCTTGAAGTCTAAAATGTTAGTCCCTCCAACATGGTTCTTTTTGTTAAGGGGTGTTTTAGGTATCAGGAGTTCATTGTGATTCCATGTGAATTGTAGGATAGTTTTTGTATTACTGTGAAGAATGAGATTCAGATTTTCACAGGAATTGTGTTGGATCTGCAAAGAGCTTTTGGTAGAATGGTCATTTCTGTAGTATCAATTCTACCAATCAATAAGTACGGAATGTCTTTTCATTTTCTAGTGTTCTCTCCATCTTCCCTCAGAAATTTAAAGTTTTTATTGTATAAGTCTTTCACCTATTTAGTTAGGTTTATTACTAGACATTTCTTTTTTGAGGAGGGGTGTTAATGATCTCTTTATCAGTATGTTTGCTTCATGTGTATAGAAAATCTGTCTGTGTGTAGCTATAAAAACTGCTAGAAGAAAACATAGACAGAACCATGTAGGATATGGATGTAGGAGATGACTTTCTGAGTAGAACCCCATTTGCCCAGGAATTGAGACCAACCATCAACAAGTGGGACTTCATACGCCTAAAACACTTCTGCACAGCTAAAGAACACTATTAACTGAGTGAAGAGGAAGGCCAAGTTGGTTGCAAACTGGTCCAGCTGCCCTAGAAATCAGTTTGAGGAACCTCAAAAGCTAAAAATAAATCTCCATCTGACCTAAGGATACGACTTCTCAATGTAAGCCCAAGGACTCAACAGTGCCCTCCACAGTTCCTTGCTCAGACATGTTCACTGCTGCGCTATTCACAAGAGCTAGGAAATGGAAACGACCTAAATGCCTTTCACCTGATGTGTGGACAATGAAAAATCTGTATGTATTTATTGGGAAATACTATTCAACTTCACAAAATTTGACATTATGACATTTGCAGGTAAATAGATGAAATTAGGAAAGATCATACTGAGTGAGAAAACCCAAGTCCAGAAAGACCGAGGTCATCTGTTGTTCCTACCTTCAAATCTTCATATACAAGTGTGGATATATCTCCCTTGCCAAAGAAATGTCTCTTTGCCACAGAGACTACTACAGAAAACCTCAACCAATCAAAATGCAGGGAATAAGTGATCACGTGGTACACAGCCCCAACTGACACATCTACAACACAACTCCTGCATCTAAGGCTCTGGGATCATTACAGAAGATGAGCAGAAAGACTGTAAGAGCCAGAGGATCAGGAAGTTTGCTGTGAGATTGTGTTTCTTAAAAATGTCAGAAGCTATGATCATAAAGTTCCATCAAGATGCCTGCCTAAAATGATCAGAGCAAGGACACTAATGGACATGCTAACATGAAAGGGGAAAATCTCATGAGGCCACAGCACTAGAAAAAGACTGTAGGCAACTAATTAATGTTGAGAGCAGTAGAAACAGGCTTCCCCTGGGAAAATCCCCCTAACTGGACATCCAAGGCCGAGTGGCTAGGCCTCATCTCATATATCTGCAAGTAACATTATATGGACTGGGCAGATTGTATTCATATATTGAGGAATACACACACACACACACACACACACACACACACACACACACACACACACACACACACAAACAATTAAAGAGGCCATGAGTTTGAAGAGAGCAAGGTGAGCACATGTGCCATGGTACATATGTGTCCAGCCTTCCTCCAAAAATTAAAGAACTTTTAAAAAAGTATCTTAGTTATCTTTACTGGAGTGACATTAGCACAATCAAGGTATACACACAGATTCATGTGAACCCTTACTCTTCCTTCTAAATATCTTGTACAACTAAATCTAGTAAGTATATCTCTTGGTACACTTTACTTTCGACTACTTTCATTGACAGGCTGTTCTAGGGCCTCATTTCAGCTTTATTGTGTTTGTTCAAGAGTGCAGGCAATTCCCATGAGGGTGGGCACACCCTTAGTAGTGTGATCACACACTTCAATGCTATAGATTTCAGGCTGATACCAGAGACAGTCATGATCAGACTTTCTTGTAGGTACTGACAGTTCACATTTAAATAAAATCAATTCCAATGCAATGTTTTTTCTTATTTTATCACATGCAATTTAATTAATTACTAATTGAGGAAGGGGTGCAAATCCAGGATTACATATTTTCAACAGTAGATTTTTTTGTCTTAGAATAATTTTAGAGATAGAAGAAAAATATGATTTTATAGTTTTGTTTCAGTGTCAATAACAGCACAAGTTCAACAGTTTGTATCTGAGGTGTCTGTAAAGAGGGTTTCAAGACCTCCAAATCTTTACTTATTTTAGTAGTCTTCCACATCACCAGCACAGATGGCAAGCAGTGCTTTCTCATAGTGCCCTGAAGCAAAATTCTAAAAAGAAAAAATAGAGGATCTTGAAATCAAATCTCTCCATGTTTCTAAAAATCAGCTGTAATTCTAATTGCAGTATGAAAGATTTATGGACTGTTAGTCTTCACAAAATGACTTATGTTTTTGTCTAAAGATTTTCTGAGTAGTTTCCAACGTGAAACTTAGTAAAAATAAAGCTGTGGTTATAGCCAATACAATATATCTTACATAAAGCTGATAGAACTTTAATGTGTATTTGTGAGCACAATAACTTAGGGTAAAATGGATCTTCTCTTCAGCTCTAAAAGTTGGTAGCCTAATATTATTATAGTAATCAGTGTAGTCTGGACATTGCCAAAGATCTGAAAATATTTATACTGTTTAATTCAGTAATCCTATACTAAGAAATGCATTTTAAAATTATTATCAATTATGAGTGAGCACAGAGATTTATGTGAAACACATATGCACCATAATGTTACATATCAGTGAAACATTACACATATCAATGAAACATATCACATATCAATGAAAAGTTGAAAAGCAGTGTGTAATCATGTAAGATAGTTTTTCTGCTTCACAGTATGTTTTATACAATAGGATGTCCTGGTTTAATAAAATCCTTCCTTTTGACAGCAAAACATTATTATTTATGTGCTTTTAAAAAAGATCAACAGTGGCTGTCTTAGTCCCCTAGGGATTCCACAAATGAGGTGGCTTAAAGTATGAGAAATTTATGTCTCTATTAGGCAGGATAGAAAATCTAGGTGACAACACTTTTTGTGTCACTGAGAGCATACTTCTTCACAGACTCTAACATGACATGGCAGAAGGGACAAAGGAACATCCTGGAGCTTAAGCAAAGCAACCCTACTCATGGGTTCCACCTTCATGACTTAACTCTCAAAGGCCAAGCTCCTAACACCATCTACATAAGGTTAGGGTTTCAGTGTAGTGATCTGGGGAAGCCATAGCAGGCCCGACAAAATCTCATTAGTGGGTATCTACCCAAGAGAATTAGGACAATTTTGTTTCCTTTTTATGTTCTTCCATTGTTCCTAAATATTCCAGAACATATGGCTGAATGAATGTCATTCATAAAAATCATTTAGCATATTAATGTTTTACACAAAGCTGTGTAATTAAGACTCATAAATTTAAAGATACATAGTAGCATTGCAGTATTCCAACTTGTCTTTGAGGTAGCTAGGAATAATGACAAGTAGTGTATGTGAGTTAGCTTATTCACTTAGAAACTGAGTTCTGATGATTTCTCAATGGTGCCTGTTGATCACCACTAGTAACTCTGGATTTTCTCAGTGGTACATGTTGGTCATCACTAGTAGCTCTGGATTTTCATGCTAGATATAATGATTATTTTATCAAATATTAAAAAATACAATATTGAGTTTAACTAATTTATCAGTTTCTTAGAACCACTTTGGTTCCTACAAGGGCATAGGAAATCTTCTCGATTTTGTGGCGTTAATATTTGAGATGTTGAATCATATCTTGAATAATTCAAAGAGCTAAAATGTTCTTTTTGTAACTAGGCATTTCATTTAAAAGCAATGTGAATGTACAAAGTATAAATTAAGACATAGTCTCAGGTAACGTGTGTGTTCTGATGCCCTGTTCTATCCATTCTTAAAACCTATTAAATTTTTTTTGGATGAGAAATTAAGCATTTTTATTTTCATACTGAGCCCTCAAATTAGATAGATGACCCCATATATTTCAAATTTTGCCAAGTTTTATAAAATATTTAACAAAAGCTTAGAAAGATCGGAATAAGACATTGGTTTGCTTATTTTTGAATTATTTTCTTGACCTTTGCTTGCTGAAGTGGTTGGTCGTGTAGGGTTTTACATTCAGTAATAATTCTCTAATAATTCTCCAAATTAGCAGCTACTGACTGTCTTGCCTTCTATGATGCTATGAGGAGTGCCGCAGTGAGGTAGGAATCCTTCTCACAGTTAATTCATTCTTGTGGCAAAATACAGTTTCCCTGATCCTCAGTTTTGTTTTTTTGTTTGCTTGTGTTTTGAGACGAGGTTTCAAGTAGCTTGTCCGAGTCTCTAGTTGCTTTTTAGCTGAGAGTTGACACTGAAGTCTTGATTCTCCTGCCTCAACCTCAGTAGCTCTAGTGTGAAGGTTGCAGGTATAATCACAGGTGAACTGCCACATCCAAGTGGTCCTGTGCTTTTCAGGTGAGAACTGAACCCTTGAAGCACAGTCATAGGGAGTGACTATTCTCTACAATTACAACACATTTTTTTAAAGCAAAGAACAAAAGGTTTTATTTTCATGATGCAATGACTTCCCAGTTTAACTTTGTTAATTCGCTGAAAGCTGTCTGAATTCGTAAAGTCAATCATCCTTATCAGATAGGTAGCTTTCTAGATACCAACATCAAGTTGTTTACATTAAAGCTTTTATTTACGACCCAGAAAGAAGGAAATGTGAGTTAAAGTAAATCATGAAGAGAAGGCTTACTTTGATATCATGAAACAGGGATTTCCCAAATCTCTCTTTGTAGCGTTTCCTTATGGTCATTAGGTCTATCTCACTTCTGGCAATCAGAATCCTGATGACAGTTTTATTATGGAAGCCAAAGTCCTAAAAGATGTAGAAAGGTGAGTAGGGAAAACAGGACTTTAAAGGTCTGTCCAACATCGACAGACTTCCGTTTCAGTAGCAATTTTCTTGCAGGTCCACATGTCTCCAGTACCACTGCAGTGGGATGCCTGAGGCCTATCCGCAGGGATGGTGCAATGTCTTTGAAATGGAATAATGATGACATCTGGTGGCCAGTTGCATAATCTAACTTGATTTCAGAATGTTTTGAGTGTCAATCTACTAATGGACTTTATGATTTGAGGTGATTAAAACAAATGATCTAACCAAGTTTTTATTTTTAAAATGTAGGTCATTTTGAGTTTTTTTTTAAATAGAAAACAAAGGGTTTTTTTTTGGGTGGGGGAGGGGTGGTAAAAACAACTTTTTGACAATTGTTTGATATTCCAGCTCTTCATATATGAACTTTTGGATTACTTATACGTAATCTTCATGAACTGCAAACTACTTGTCAATACAAGAATATTTTTTCTTCCTTGAATACACAGAGTTATGTTTTAATTTATAAGTTATTAGAATGAGTTTCCCTGAATCAGGGCATAGCTGGAATCGGAATAACAACTGTGATTATTTGTCCAGGGTAATTCCCAGGGGAAACTTTAGTTTCTTGTTGCAGTCATGGCTCATTGGAGAGGAATTGCTGAATTCTCTTACAGCTTTTCTCAGGATGCTATTGTGCACAAAGCAAAGAGCTATGAGCAATGATTTTTCTCCTGAGTTCTGAGGCTATGTAGATTCTTATGCATAAGTTAGAGAAAACTCCTATGTATGTAATACATAAGAAAAATGTTCTTGACTGTTAACATGCTTTCCCAACATGCTGGCAAATATCAAGAAGTTGGCCTGTAAAATGTTTTGGTAATACTTTACTTACATGTATGAAAAATATCATAATGAAGCCTGTTATTTTGTACAAATAATATATACTAATGTGAAATAAATTGCTTTAAGAATAACATATTCTGATTATCAAAATTCTATACTCTGTTCAAATTACTATACTATTGCATTTAGTGAAATTTTATTTCAAGGCTATGTTATATGTACAATAGCCTATGTGAGATATTTTCTTTAAAATTTTATTACATTTATTGTATGTGTGCATGTGTGCCTGTGTGTGAGAGTGTGTCTGTGTTTGTGTGTGTGTGTGTGTATTTGTGTGTGTTTGTGTGTGTGAGTGTGTGTCTGTGTTTGTGTGGGTGTGTCTGTGTGTGAGTGTGTGTCTGTGTTTGTGTGGGTGTGTCTGTATGTGTGTTGGTTTGTGTGTACGTGTGTATATGTGTGTGTTTATGTGGTGTGTTTGAGTGTGTGTGTCTGTGTATGTGTGTGTGTGTACCACAGTGTACCTGTGAACATCAGAGGACAACTTGGTGGAGATGTTCCTTACACCATGTGGGTGCCAGGGATTGAACTCAGGTTGTCAGGCTTGGAGGCACTGAGATGGAACCATTTCACGAGTCCAGGCTTTATTCTTTAAGACAATTTCAGAACATAATGGGGAAAGCGTCTATCCACTATCTGATGAGCGTAAGTGTTTGTGTCCTTAATATGAACTGTACAGGGTGTGCAATTGAATATCACAGTAGAGCATCGACAACTACAGTGTTCTATTGAACATCACACCAAGACATGGACAGCATTATCATTTAATTATAAAAATAGCTCTAGAATTTATTGTTACTTAATTATATTTTACAGTATTTTTTACATATAGTACTTTAACACTGAAAATAACAAGTTATTTTGTTTTCAAACTTGAAAAAAATATAGCTATTTTTTTTGGCTGAGAGTTTAAAATGTTTTGGCGTTTTCTGCCCCATATTTTGTGCTTGCATGTATGTGATGTAGGGTCTTTGAATATGTCCAAATGTGTTTGGATTATCAGTTGATGTAAGTGCTCAGACTCTAAACTGCATGAAAGAGACATACCCTGAAGCGCAATATGTCTTATGTGCCCATACTGTATGTCTTATGTCACACATGACTTATGTGTCTTATCTGCATTGGATAAATTTTGCTTTGGTATTTAACTTGTTTTTTTTACTTGAACACAATTTCTTTGAAATAACAAATAATATTAATTTTAGATGAGTTTTAAAACGTGTTATACTTACATGGATTGCCCTGTATAATTTATAAGCGAAATAGGTTGCTTTGTCCTGGACACAGTGAACTAGAGAGATAGGGAGCAAGGAAGATATCTGAATGATAAGATGCAATTCTTCAGAAGTTTAGAAACAAATAGAACATTTTCACATTCTGCCAAAATCATCACATTATAATTTCAATACTCAGAATAATGGTAACATGCCCACGCAGTGGAGCTGGGACCTGTCCTTGGTGCATGGGCTGGCTTTTTGGAGCCTGGGGCCTATGCTGGGACACTTTGCTCAGACCGACTCCCCAGGGGAGACTTTGACTTGGAGGAGGTGGGAATGGGGGGTGCATTGGGGAGAGGGCTGGGGGGTAGGAGGAGGGGGAAGGGGGAATCCATGGCTGATATGTGAAATTAAGTTAATTATAAAATAAAGCAAACAAAAATAAAACAAAAAAGAAAAATATAAACTGTCAGCATTATATTTTAAAATAACAAATGATGTAAGGTGAACATATGACCATTTTTAGTAAATGTTTAGAAATGTGGTGCTTAAATATAAAAGCCAACACATACAATCTGTTCATCTTCCCGAATGTCACCTATTCACATAGTCTCTAAAACTGGTCTAGCCTAGTTGTTCTTCAGGTAGCATCGGATCCTTGATAGATTTGTAACTAGATTGGAGATCCTTTAAGGAGAAGCTGTAACAAATATAAAGTGTCTCCTCCAGCAATAGATATTATTTGACTAAACTTGTCATGGCTTTGAACCGCCTGGAGCCTTCCCAATAGCTGTGCCTGTTAGTATCTGTTGAGACTGTAGACCATCAAATAGTCACATTTGAAAAAGTAAATAGATTAATTACTTAAATGAGCAATAAATGAGGAGCTATACTGTTTCTTCAAAATAAAAGCATATTCGTTTCTCTTCAGTTCAAGTAAATATTTTAGATCATGATCTAATTTTTTATACTTATCTTCATCTTTATCTTATTTTCATTATAGAGAGAAGTAAACCTAACAACAAATCTTGAGTCGCTTCTAAAAAGCGAGCTCCCAGAGGGCAGGGGCTTTTGTTGATATTTTTGGTTTTGTTGCTTTGGTATTCTATCTGCAGTACCCAAATCAGAGACACAACAGGGCTCGTTCTGTATTGATTGATGGAATGAACCAGATGGGACTTTCCTGGTGTTCCTGATGTCCACTATCTCTTCCATCAAATCCATTGTTTTGTGGCAACAGTTTGGGCTGCCTTGAGAATTGGTGACTTGAGTTCTATTCTGACTCTGTTGCTAGTTAGCTGACATGTGATGTATGCCTAATAAATTTATTAGAAATTTGATGGAATATACATATATTTTGTCTCAGAAGCATTCACAGACAAAAGCCACTTTATCACTTTATCACTTATCTTTAGGGGTTTCATAAAACCCATCAAATCATTTTCATAGGATGCTTGCTTACTAAATAATCCATAAAAATGCTGTAACCCCTTAGCTCCATATCAAGACATACTTGGAATGGAAAATTCACAATGACTGTTTATTCAGCACATATCTAAGTATCCATTTGATGAACCTATTACGGGACATTTTACAATGACTCTTCATGTACCTTTCCTGAAGTCTGTGCTGCCAAGCCACAGAGTACATGGTAAACCACGGTAAGTACATGGAATAGTCTCTATGAATAAGAGTGATGGCCTTTTCTACAATGGGCATATCATTTTGGAGAACATTCAGGAGGCATGCCTGTAGAATTCACTACTAATTAACAATTTAGTTTCTTTTGATAATACAATTTATCCCTAAAAACAAATTTATTAAAAATAGTAAAATTAAAAAAAAACATCAAAAGCAAAATTTTAAAATTCCCATTCTTCTTGGAGAAAAAAAACAGTCCCACTGTTAGTATTTATCTGCTCCTGAAAAGGGGGTGAACATCAATGATGCTGGCATAGATTTAAAGCTGTGAGAAGTTGATTCCTGAGGCAGGGCATTTGAGACTTCTCTTTTCTCATACAAAAGTTGAACCTGTTCTTAGGGAATGACGCCAGTATATTAATGTCTCCAGGTTGCCAGTTCATTGCATCAAACCATGAGCTGATAGACTTTCCTGGAGTTTATGGATCTTTCAAATAATTTCATTGAAAAAAAATGCTTCAATCAAATTCTACTTGTGAACATTTAATCCAGTCGGAACCAGTCAGACTTGACTGTGGAAGGTGAGGTCTGTTGTTCATCACACAAAATTCGTCATACACCTTACCAATTGCAACCAGCAGCTCCTGGAAGTAGCCATCGTAACAGTCATTGAGGGCATTCACCAGGTCTTGGCCAGAAATATTTTGAAATTCCTGGAAAACTTCAAGAAATTTATGTAATTCAAAAGAGATTTTCATAGCATCATAAATTTAAAGCACACACCCTGGCTATTTTACTATACATGTAAAGTGTCTTCTCTGAAGTATTTCCTAGTACTACTACCCATTGTATTGAAGAGTCTACTCTTTACAACAAGTATAGATCCTATGAGATGCTAAAACTTGCATGAATCCTGGACTCCCAGGACCTGCTCTTGCTAGGCTGGGGAGCAATGGTTACCCTCAACTGGGCCTCACTGACTCAAGTGCTGATTTAGATAGAGGGGAAGTACAGCGTGAGCTATTGTCTATGAGACATTTCCAGAGGACAGACATAAGGGTCAGTTTAAATTTATTTGTCAAAAGGAAACTTTCTGCTAGACCTTAGATATGAAAGCTAAATACAAAAATTCCCTGAGTAATGTTTAGTAGTGGAGATTGGAAGAACGATTTTGAGAAATAGGAGATTACCATTGGCAGCTTAATTTACTAACATAAAATAATGTTCAACTAAACTTCCCTTTTAAAGAACTTACTCAACTGGCTCTATCCTTGGCAATGTTTAGTTCTCAGCCATTTCAACTTAGATGTGAACAAGTATTGTTATTGTTAGTATTAATCTTAAACTGACAAAGTAAAAGAGGCATAGTTGAATTAGAGTAGGCTGTTGCTTAGATAATTGATATGACTTTACCTTTCATTTAATTATATTTAATTTGTTTTTCTAATATGGGGAAGGAAAGGTGCAATTTAGAGAAAGTCAAGTGTAGGTTAATGTGAACACATCTCAAAGACCAATAGGAAGTATGGATGTCTCATAAATCACAATGTCTGTACAAAGACCTTGACTCATGGGCTAGCCACACTAAACTCACTGGAGATTATTCAAGACACAATGTAAAGTATCTGGTAAGAAATGGCTAATGAGTCTAAATAGGTAATTTTTTAAGAGTTGTTATTAGAAAGCTATGGGATTTAGTTGTTGGAAAAAATTAAATAGTGGCAGAGCTGTATTCTTTAGCAGTGCTGTTAGATGAGACATACTGTCTAGACATAACTCAGGGCACTAACTGGCTTTTCTCTATTTCTGGGTGACATTCCATCTTTTATCCTAGTTACTTGTACTCAATTGGTTAAAGAGCTGTAAAGAGCCTGTTTCTTATTACCCAGCCAGAGCTGTGGGTAGCTCTTGTTGCATAAGATCATCTGTAGCATGGTTTTATGTTCCCCAGTCTTCTGCTGGCAGGCTTCCCACAGGACCTGCAACATCACACAGTCAGGAAGAATGATCAGACCCAGCTCCGCTCACCCCATCAAAAGCACTGTTAGTCAGGAGGAGAGTCAGGCTTAGTTACCACAGCATCCTGAGCAGCCATCGCAGGATCTGCGTATCCTTCCTCCCTGGTTCCCTGTGAAATAAGCAGGGGTTTCCTTTTAGATGGTCTCAGTACACAGAACACATAGTGAAGGCCTTATCTAACTATTATTTATCAATAAAAATTGGGAGTCAGATATCAGGGTAAGAATCTGAATGATCAGAGAAAGGGTAGAGCAGCTACCAGTGACTTCTATCTCTTCATTCTTCCATCCAAATGCGTCAAGACCTTCTCTAAGTACTGCCCTACTACTTTCTGTCTCTCTATCTGTCCTCAGTCATCTAAAACCTCTATGATTAATTTTGGTCAGCTAGTAGCTAGCTCTGGCCCCTGACCCAAAACAAACTTTATTGTCAGTCTTGGGAGCATCAGAATGCAATCAAAATATCACAAATAAATATAGGATTATTGGGACAAAAATCCCTGAACCCCCAAACACTGGTGGTTCCTTAGCAATCTCCGTTATTAATTTGGATACTTTGACACATGAGGAATTGGTGTGTAGTCTTGTAAGGAGTTTCATTTTTGAGTTTTTCTTTGCAACAGAGGAACTTGGTGAAAAATGTTGAGATTCTTTATGCTTTTCATTTCTCTGTGAGGTATTTTGCTCCATCAAGATGAGCATCCATTCCTTGTCAGAGGTGGTAGTGATGGAGCTTAACACTGTTTATGCAACGGTGTAGACATAGCAGTGTCTGGCTTGTAGAACAGAAATAACGCAACCACCAAATAGTGATGAAGTATAGGCTTTGTAAATGAGAACTTTCCATAAAATCTTTTTTTTTTTTTTTTTTTTTTTTTTTTTTTGGTTTTTCGAGACAGGGTTTCTCTGTGTAGCTTTGCGCCTTTCCTGGGACTCACTTGGTAGCCCAGGCTGGCCTCGAACTCACAGAGATCCGCCTGGCTCTGCCTCCCGAGTGCTGGGATTAAAGGCGTGCGCCACCACTGCCCGGCTCCATAAAATCTTTTAACCCCCACTCCCTATCACATAAATGGTGGAGGGTCTATTTGATCTTCCAAACAGAAGAAAGGAGTACTAAATAATGCAAGACCCAGTAGTCTCCAGGGTCAAGCAAGAGAGGAGAGAGATGGTAGAGGTTTGTGATTAGAATTTATTTCATTTTTTTTTGAGCTGAAGTATGGAGAGGGAGATTACTAATTATGAGAGAACACTAAGGATACAGTGCCTTTCCCTGTCATGAAGTGGCTCATTTGAGTGAAGTTAGTTAGATTTGAAGATGGACAAAGGTGTGTGTGTGTGTGTGTGTGTGTGTGTGTGTGTGTGTGTGTGTGTGTGTGTTTGTGTGCATGCTCATGTGCATGCACATGCACATGGTGGGGATAATACTGGATTTCTTAGTCTCAACTTCTAAATAACATGAATAGTACCTCAATTTTCTTACTTGCTTCTTGTTAGAGGAACTTACACTTTGGCTGAGGAACTAATGGTGAAGCTTGAATAATTTGTTTGTTTATGATCATTACAAGGGCAGTATTTCAAAAGTTATAATGAGATAACATTGACTAGACTTACATAGGAGACAAGGCTAGACCTTAGGGGGACTCCTCAGATGCTAAGAAGGTAAAGGTGAGGTTAATTAATTTACCTTAGCTTTGACCAGACAGAGACAGAGAAAGCATCATTAATAAACTCAACGTCATAAAGAGTGCAGAAAATGTCTATTATTTGAGGACATCATCACTGTCCTTTGCAAAGACATCTTATAAGCCATATACACATCTTTCCACCTGGTAGCATCTTGGAGAGAAGAGGTGATGGAGAGAACTTTGAGAGTTGAGTAGTCAACTCAATAAAATTATCAAAGGGATTGAATATGTACTCATACAGTTCGACTGTTCAAAGTATCGTAGGATTAAATTTACCATATTAAATTAAATTAAATTAAATATTAAGCATTTTTGTTAATCCAAACCTAGACACATCTAGGAAAGTTTAATTACTCATAGAGAAATAAATTCACATTTTCTTACGACTAAATTTGTAGTCCTGAAAATTTAGGAACAGGAGACAGCATCTAAAGAATGAAAGTGATTTTACTGGCCAGTGGGATTATGGGTGTTACTTTATCTTTAAGTCATGAACGTGTGACAGTGCAGGATCCCAAGAGGTCTTACATTTCTTCCTTATTTTGGAGATGAAAAATGAATGGACTTAGAGATATTAAATCAATTGCCTCAGGTCTGAGAGTTACAGAAGGGCAATTATTAGATACCACTGGCTTTGTTTGCTTTGGGATCTAGGTATCATATGGGAACTCATTCTTTACAAATGCTGACCTTGGGCTCTGTTTCCAACTTTCTCTAAAAACTTTAATTTATAAAGAAGGAAAAACAATTACAGCCTTATGTCTTCTGTGAATGGGTACTATTCATTTGGGAAGCTCATCCGAGTAACTGTTAGCTTTCGTCTTATCTGATGTGTCTGGCAGGCTTTGGTGCCATTTCTCTTGTTTCCTCTCAGGGCCTCCATTACTGGGCTCACGTCATCTTTGTTTCTTTGCTTCTGTTTCATTGAAAACTCCCCAGTCTTGGGGAAGTGCTTCCTCTGAATAGTCAGTCTCTTAACTTGGTGAATCTCCTGCACCATGCTGCCCATGTCTTCTTGTCCGTCTTTATTCTCCCTTTTCTTCTAGTCTCAGCTATTGATATGGGTTCAGATTCTGTCTGCGTTATAGTAACACTCAAATTCTCTAGCTGGAGTCTATTACAGAACTTTGCATTATGTATGTCTGTTCCATTAGCCAACTCAATGTCTCTCCTTGACCTTTTTCTATGTATAAAATTCAAGACAATCAACAGCCGGCTTCTGTTACCTCTACCTCAATGACCCTTTCTAAGCTTTCCACATCTCAGTGGCTGACCACTTCATGCTTATTGCTCAGAATGAAAACCTGAGCCATATTTCATTCTTTTTATTTTCTTTCATGTCTCACATAAAATTCCTCAGAAACTAACATGAGCACTGCCCCCCCCCAAACACACCCATGAGCACTCTAGATCCTTACTATGCTACCACATGGCTCACAAGTAACATTATATCCCTGGTTTCTGCTGTGACCAGCTTCATTCAGGCTTTTGGTTCTATGCTTGTTTCCATAGTCTTTTATTAAAAATGGAATTTATTGTGAATTTCATGGAGTTTAACATCACATTAGTCATCTATTCAAAACCTAGAAAATGCTTACCTAACCCCTATGCCACCCGAAGTAAACTCCAGGTTTCATAAAGGTGAAGGATTTGCCAGAACCTTAGCCCTTGCTGCTTCTTTGGCCTCATCTGGTTCTTTTCTTGCCTTAGACTTTTTCTCTGCTTTTATATTTTCACTGTACACCCAGTTACATCTACTTGTGGCTTGATTCACTCTTTCATTTGTATTTCTTGTGTGTGAATTAAGTTTTCATTTATTAGGAGTAAACTGATTAAGAGTTTAACTTTATAAAATGCTATCAAATTGTTTCTTATGAAAAAATATTTTTGGGATGGGGGAAACTAATCAGAATAAATCCCCTATGTTTAATGAGATCTACTCTGACCAACCTATACAACAATTCAACATACTGACTCTGTCCAGGCCTGTAATTCCTGTCTCCCACATCCTGATTGGATACATTTGGTTATCACTTTCAAAAGTTCTTAATAATGTCTTTATTCATCATTGTCTAATCATTTAATTTGCTTTGATAGATGTGAAATTCACCAGACCTAAAGACTTTGACTCCTGTGTTTACTGATGATTTCCAGTTGTCAGAAATCATATTTGATACATTGTAAGAGACAAAGAACTCCTCGTAGGGAAGGCAAAGAATGTTTTTTGGATTGTAGCCTTTTAAATTTGCCTTCTAGATTTTTTTTATTTCATGAAGACATAAATTTTATTTGGTAATGAGATAAAATATAATAGCTACAGAAGCCTGAAATTTCAAAACACCTGACAAGTGAATTACTGTTTTCATGTCAAAAATCTTCAAAGTGACAAAAAAGAAGCTGAGTATTTAGTAACTTTAATAAAAAATTCTGCATAGAGTAAAATAAAAAATCTTTAGATTAGAATTTATGCTTTCTAGTGCTTGTTTCTAAATTGACTACTTATAATCCACATATGTACTTGATATTCACTAAAATATAGTCTGTAAATATTAACCCACTAGGTTGTTTATAATTGTTAGATATTGTCATGGTTCTATTGTCAAAAGCACACACTTAGCTTCTAATCATTTTATAAATGTGTCCATAATTGTATCCTCCCTACTATACTTGTGTACCAATTAATTAATTCATTAGGTAGATAATACTACCTTAGAGAAGAGATTCAAGTATGTGATATAATTGGATGAAAATGAAGTAATGACCACTTGTTCTTGATGTTTTATTTAAGACAGAGAAAGACTGAAAGAATTAAAACATCAAGAACAAGCTTTCTGGATTTTTGAAATGCGATCTTTAACTATACAGCTAAGTAAACTCCATCACTTGCAAAGATTGGGAGAGCTATTTAGAGATTTTCTGCAGTTCTATTTACCTGAGCTTTTGCATAGAAAGGTGATAAGCTTGCATATTTAACTCACAATGGTGGCCATCAGTATGTGAGTATAGGATTTGAGCAGGAGGAAAGATAAAAAGGGAAGAAATTAAAGGCATGAAAGTACTTGAGCAGAAAAACTGACTATAGATGATTACAGAAGGATTATGGTAGTAATGCCCTGGATGTCTGCCTCTACAGATTTCAGAAAGGGCCCTCAAGAGAATCCAGAAAGCCAAGATGAGGAGTGAGGCTGACGTAGTTAATCAGGTTGCTTCCCATCTTTTTGAGGAGGTACTTATCCACAATGTAATTTGCACATGTTGATTAATTAATCTCCAAGAGACTAATCCTTCTTTATTTGACAGATAATTAGACCCTCCACAAATCTAGTGCAATAAAAGCATGCAGGAAGTGTTGTGGGCCAGCTTAATTACTGGCATCAGTTTTTTTTTCTTTCAAGAGGAGTGTGTTCCTCTTCAGTTGCTTCTTG